GACCGCGCCATGCCCAAATGAGACCAGCGCGTCGACTGCAGAAAGGAGAAGAAACCCTGAAGCCTGTCTGGTGGCTAATGTCAGAGGAGCTGTAGACGAAGTTTGACGACTGGAGACTCCATGGATGTGGCGTTGGGCTAACACTGCTAGGCACATGCTGGGAACTGGGAAGATGCTCGCAGTAGTTTTGCACAGCTATCACGTGACACGAGCTGTCACTGTAGCGGCGCAATGCCAAGAAACGCATTTCCGCTGGCACATGCTAGAGGCCAACCGCCTGGTTAACGGCGAAGGGCAGCGCAGCGAAAGAGCAAGCAAGGCCGAGCCATTGTTATAGGGGGGTGGAATGTCAGTTGGAGATTGGCCAGTTGTTCAGGCGTCGGTCAATCCCCTGGACATGATTTGGGGCTGAGAAAAGGGAGCCGATGGCGCGGTTAGACAGTGGCAGACTTGTTGCCTGCACTCCATGCTCGCTGCCCACGTCGACATTGCTTTGCGCCCGTGGTACGAGTCGCTGTTTTCCTGAGCTGCGGGGCAGGGTCGACAGCTGGCCGCATATCAGATCTCATCTGGAATACAGTGTTAGTGGCCTTGAAGAACGACCCATGTGAGGAGGGGGTGAATGGGTTCATTGCACGGCTGAGCGGTGTCGTGATCGAGGGCAGCCGGGCGAAGTCGAGGCTAATCGTATGTGTATACAATTATTGTTACTCCGTGAATTTGCAAGCAAAACTCGATGTTTCGTGGATCGGATCCGGCGAGTGGAAGGGCGGCCGAAACCCACAGGCTGATCAGCCGGATATCCTCAGATGGGCCTAGCGGCATGCCTGGGACACACACGGAACACAAGAGCTAAAAGCTGCTCCCACGGAACTGCTGGCCTCTATGTGGAAGCACGGAGCTCGGTGCATGGACAAGGGGAGGGTATGCTAAGTCAGCAGAGCGAGCTGAGCTCGGGGCTAGCGCTGGGGCGATTCAGCCCTCCAAGGAGAACAACTCGTGCGTGCGTGGGCGGACCGGTAGGGCGCAGACGCCATGGCAGGAAGCGGAATTGCTGCGTGAATCCTGCTGCGGGCACGACTCATTGGGTCTTGATGGCTCCGCCCAGCTGAAGGTCAAGAGGCCTTGAAAGGTCGAGGACCCCATGCCGGCGAGGCAAGGTCGCAAGTATTCTGGCATCTGGGTGACAGACCGCGGAATCTGTCGACACGTCTGGCAAGCCACAGCTCGAGCAGCCGGGTCATCTGTCCACGGAAATTGCAACCGGGGAGCTCGGTCGGACCTGAGAGGCCGAAATGTCTGGCCGTCGACCTGCTCTCGACGCAGGGCAAATCGGGGTTAGCTGACCTATCTGACGCAGCAGCACGCATTAGCACAACGCCGCCATGCTCCGGTCGGAGATGCTGCATATCGAGGCCTACCCGAGACCAGATGAAGTGAACCCGAGGCACATTTCGCGGTTGGCTCGACGGTCGATGGATGTGGTCACGGCGAACGGAGATGCTGGCGGTTGGTGACGTTTGCATTTGAGGGACCAACTGAGGCTGGGCTGATTGAGCTTCGCTTGAATAGAAAGCAGAAGGCGGTGTTGGGCGGTATAATCTGGCCGTGGCTGCTCCTGCCCGCCTCGAGGTGCCATCGCCACTACAGTCGAGGTACAGCCTCGTCGCGGGCGGCTACCACTGCACCGGGAATTGCTAAAGGTACTCGAAGTCGCGGCTACCTGTGCCTGGCCGTAGTTGTGTGGGGGGCAGGCAGTAGAGGATACTAGGAGTCGCCGTGGGAGTCGGTAACTCATATCGCGGCTCAAGTACCTTTTCAGGTAGCGCTTCACTTGTAGAGCCCAACGTCATTCAACCGCAGGGCTGTTGTCCGCCTCGCCTGCATCTCGCAAGGCTTCATTTCACCTTCATCGCATCGCATCTCATCTCATCTCCTTTGCCGCGTCTCCCGGATGGCGCTTCCAATAGACACCCTCGATCGAGCGCGCAGGAGCAACAGTCATTCCGCAGCCGCGGACCAGTACCATGCCTGGCTGGTTCGCCGATGAGGGCTATTGCAGACGCAAGATTTGACCGTGATGCTGGATGCTGGCCAGCATCAGATCGCTCAAGCATCGTCTGTAATTTGCTGTCCAGGATACGCCTGAAACATCACCTCCCGCTCATTTTCGGTGACATTTTCTTAGCAGTCCGTGTTCCTATGCTCAGGCAAAGACGCCAAATCCCAGGGCGATGCTGCCGAGCTTTGCGTATCAGAGCTTGTGCCCGCGGCCATGACGAGACAAAGACGCATGGACTGGCGAGTGTGTGCGCCGCACTTCATACACAGAGAGAGAGATCAAGCCCATATTACAAATGCGCTGCAACCATCAGTTGCACGCAGGGCTGCCACAACAGAGCCCTACGCCCCTCTCCTCTCCTGGCTTCTCCTGCCAGCCGGAGGAATACGGTCTTTTTCCGTTTCGGCTCTGGAGTGCCACCATTGGGCCAGTCTTCTACCTCCGAATCGTTCCCGAACGCTACTTTTGCATATACATGTACGGAGTAGCGATGCTGGTGCGAAGTATTACAGGGACGGACGGAGCGCAGGCTGGGCGCCACTGGGGCTGTTGCTCTTCCTTTCTGCCGCTTCCATTGCCAGGGTCCCGGAAAACAATTGCCTACAAACTTGCAAGCCCTACTGGTGAGCTTGCCCTCGCTCCGCTTCCATGGAGCAACTGGTGGCATGCGAATGCTGATACGGACAGGAGAGACTGGACTGGGCAAGTACCTAGGGATGGATGGCAGACGAGGTGGAGCGGGTTGAGGCAGGCCGCCATGTACAGCATCCGGCATTAACAAGCCCAGCAGTCGTGGTATGTATTACTACTATTGTTACCTCTACCTACCGGCCAGCACCAGGACCAGCATCGTCATCATCATCGCCAGCACAGGGCCACAGCAGCTCACCTCGACTGAGATGGATGTTGCCTGGCTACCTTAAATTGTTTAGCGCCATCCTGGGCCAGCACGCCTCGCCGAAGCCAGACGCCCCCTCTTCCCCTTGTCCCTCGTCCAGCCCTGGGAGAGACAGCCCAGCCTAAAAAGAGGCGCTCCACTGGTGGGATCAATGGCCTTGCATACATGCACACCACCGTGCTTAACCCTACCGGTCCCTGCCTGCATCCTACACGCCCCCTCCTGGCCGCTGGGGTGTTGCTCAGTCTTTCTCCCATCATCTTCCAGACGGCGTCAGTGCTTGCCCTACAGCCCAGCGATGGACACACACACCCCCCTTTCTCGGCCGTCCGTCTGTCCCCCAAGCCAAAGGACCGTACATAGGGCACTACGACAGGGCTGCCCACGCGCATCCCGTTCTGCTTTGTACGAGGTAGGAGGCCAAAGTAGTCAACAGTGCATGAGTATCGACCAGGGTCCTCCGACAGGGGTGCTCAGGTTCCCTCACACGCTGCCACGCACCTCCATTACTCAATATCAAAACTTCAGTACATGAATTCGTGCTCCACAAGCCATTGCAAAGCCCCAGTCGATACCCGTCTGCGGCTGGCTACATACCCCGGAGACCTCGTACTTGGCGTGTAATGTACGACGGTGCTAGAGCAGCCGCACCCGAGGACCGTTGCTGGCCTTTGTACCTGTATGTACTTCACACACACACTCGCTCACACAAGTTCAACTGGGTGGCCTTTGGGAGAGGGGAGGGGGGGGGGGCTCGCAGTCCAATTCCACTGCACCTCCCATGTCAACCGATCCTCTGGGAACGCACTTCGCTCGGCTTCTGCTTCTGCTTCTACAACTAGCACTCCTGCGTGGTCTCTTGGCCCCTGTTGCTGCTGGTACGAGTACGCTTCCAAACTCCTCAAGGGAACGGCAGCATGGAGACGCCCCTCCCCCTCCCTTGGATTACTCCGCTCTGCTCCAATAGGGCTGTTGTATCTTCGCCCTTTTCCCGGGAATCGAGCAGCACGAGCACCTACGTTTGCCGTCGTTGATGCCTGCCGGTGTGCCCTTGCGCTGCCGTCGGCTCCATCGTCGTCGTCTCATGCCCCTGGTTGTCGAGGCACTGGGGGAAGCGGGAGCAGACAACGTGATAGGGAGGCGAAGGGAAGCAAAAGAAGATAGGCTACTTTTGGACACAAGAAACAAACATGGCTGCTCCAACGCACGGCGCCCCTCGTCCAACCAAGTCCCTGGTTCCTCTGGCCAAACGACCACCCGCGCACTAACAGGATTGGCACTTGTTGGAGGGCCATCTCATGCTGGTCGCCTATCTACACCCCCCCGGCTGTGCTCTCGACCTTCTATTCTCACCCCCGCGCGGTCCATCTCACTTTTGTCTTGTCTTCTTCTGTTTCTCGCTGGGCCGAGCAGCGCAGCGGAGACCAAGCTCGATATTTCTCTTTTGGTCTCCCGCCTCTTGCCCCTACATTAAAAGTCGTCCTAACCTCCCACTTGTTATAATTCGAGGCATCCCATGTCTTTGGTCCCTTCGACTTGCCTCTAGCGGCTTCGTGTATCATTCTTCCAATCCTCGTTCTCCAATCCTATTCGTCTCTACACCTTTGCCTCTTTGTCTGCTCCTGGCCTTCTTTACCCCATCTGCTGCCCCGTTCAGCTACCATCTCAAACCACACCTACATACGCACTGCCTCGGAGCATCGTTGCGGCTACCTAGAAGCTGGACCTGGATAACGCAACAAAGCACTCCGGACCAGGACCCCGTTGCCACCTACGCACTTCTTCCCTGCTTCGCCCACGCGACACGTACGACTTGTCTCCGTTGCCGCGGCCGAAGCAGCGGATTTGCCTTTACACTGGCGCATTGACTCCCATCAGCTCTCAATCCGTTTCCATGACTCGAATGGGCGTGTAACGGCAAACACCTGCTGCTCACATATTCCACGCCAAAGGCCACCTCGGCCTTTGCTTTCTCTTCTTCTCGACCTTGTCTTCTCGAACTTCAAAAGCCTATTTCTCTCCCACCTCGCACTCGCAACAATGGCCTTTCCTCCGCAATACAGAGAGGCCCCCCCTTCCCTCCCAAGCATCATCGTGCCCGGATCCGGGGCCAATCGATACAGAGACCAAGGCATTCCATTTCCAAGTAGTCCAGCAATGGCCATTCCGGGCATGGACTTGCGAAACGATGTGCCGCCTCCTCTGCCGCCCCCACGGCATCTTCCTTTCGGCGAGGCTCCCACCCAGTATCGGGACGAATTGAAGGACAAGAGGGACTTCTCTCGCGGCTCATCCTTCGCCAGCCGCTCGTCCTTTGCGAGCGGCTATGGTAGCATGAGCCCTGTCATCTTGGAGGACCGATCTGGCTACAAGAGGAGGGAAGCTGGAAGCATCAACAGCGACGAGGGCTATGCGAGCTACGCTTCAACAGAGAGGTGGGAAGCTGGATTGTCTGCGACAAACCGCGCAGATGGATCATGATTGCTAACATATTGAGACTTGGCAGGTCCCGCGATTCCCTCTCCAGCGAGCCGTTTGGCCTTCACCACAACAAGTTCCAGTTCCAATCGGCAGCCGAGCTTCACGGCGACAGCATGAAGAAGATGCTGACGCCCATTCGAACACTGGACAGGTCGCCTCCGCGATCTCTTCTCGGCGGTCCTGTCAGCAGTCTTTCCCAAGGACTCCAGAACGAGGGCAGATTTGCCCCCAGCTTTAACAACCTCCCCATCCAACTACCCATCCACAGCCGCGCGCCTTTTGAGTCACAACCCCGAGACTCGCCCACCTTTTCTGCCGTATCCCCCCTCTCAACGCCGTTTCACCGATCCCCAATTGATCACCGCTCTCCCTACGACAGCTCAGAACCAGATCGGTCACCACGAGGCAGGTCAAGGCGGAACAACAGCGACGATGCCACTTCCACCCAGGGAAGCTTCGCTGACGACATGGAGATTGAAGAGACGTCATCGCTCAAGAGGCTTCACATTGAGGATGCGTATGCGGGTGCGGGACAGAAGCGCCGGGCCGCCAGCCCTGCCTCAGACGACCTTGGCCTTCCCATGATGCCTGGCCAAGGCGCATCCCGCGGCTCTCCCACGCCTCGCTTGTCAACAGGCCCCTCCACGGCGACGTCCCTCCTGAGCGGCGCCTCTTCGCGACCCAGCTTCTTCATGTCTTCCATCTCCATCCCTCCGAACACCACCGCCAGCGCTTACGGCCACCGCTCTCCCGGTGGAGTCTCGCCGGGCGCCCTGTCTCCCACGTCATGCACCTCGCCTTACAACACGCCCGCATCCCTGAACCCAAGTCCCAAGTCTTCAGTCGCCAACAGGACGTCTATGCACGCGCGAACGGCGTCTGGCGCCAGTCCGCGGAAGCTCCCCGAGATGCAAAAGTCCGGCGGCAAGTTCCAGGGCTTCTATATGTGCGAATGCTGTCCCAAGAAGCCCAAGAAGTTTGAGACGGCGGAAGAGTTGAGGTAAGTTGAACCCATACGCTAAGCTGTTTCTTTTTTTAAACATAAAATCGGGGTTGGGCATTGTTTTGCTTGTGGACGTGGCTTGTCGTTTTCCATTCCGGTGCGCTGACTCATTTCCCCCCCCTTTAGTGCTCACGAAGCCGAGAAGCAGTATGAATGCAGCTTTTGCGGCAACCGTTTCAAGAACAAGAACGAAGCCGAGCGTCACCAGAACTCTCTCCACGTGCGGCGTCACTCATGGTCGTGCTCCGCGCTGTCGGGCTACAGTCGGGCGTTCCACGAATCGACAACGCGTCCCGGCGAGGCCGATGCGTGTGGTTACTGTGGGGAGGAGTTTCCCCGAACAGGACCTGTGCCGCCGGGCGCCGGCATCCAGGCAAGACACGCTTCCGAACTGGACTGGGAGGAGCGAATCCGACACCTTCAGGAGGTGCACAAGTTCAGGGAGTGCAATTCATCCAAGAAATTCTACAGGGCCGATCATTTCCGACAGCATCTCAAGCACAGTCACGCAGGCACTAGCGGCAAGTGGACGAATATGCTGGAGAATGCGTGCCTGATGGAGGAGGACCCTTCTCCGAGATGAAGCATGCTGGGTCTCGACCAGGGATCAGCAATGACGATTTCTACCTTTTTTCTCTTTTCCATCGGAAGGTTCGCAAGTTACGAAACTCTTCCTTCATCACGAGAAGACGGCATAGCATTGAATGTGTTTTTTTGTTTTTTCTTCACCTCAGTCGGTTTTCTTATGAAAAGGAAACGACAAACAAAAAGGAATACCCGCTCCGGAAGGCGATATAGTGGAGCTCAGCATTGCATTGACAGTTCAAAAATAAATATTCTTCGCATTGGCCGAGGTTCTCTTCATTCTATTCAAATTTTCCCTCTGTTGATAACGACTTTACGACAATTGATTATAATTGGGCGTTTGGGTGTCAAACAAAAAGTCTTATAAAAATGATAGAAAAAAAAAAGGAAATTCATGCGCGCAAAACTCACCTCGCGAGCTCTACAGCGAGTGAAGCTCTGGGTGCGATTTTTTTCCGATTTCGCGACGGTGCCTGCACAGGCGACTATTGCCCACAACTTCAGAATGTTGTTTGCCGGATACGCACCCGTCGCCACAATTGAACAGACAAGTTTGGGCCACTGATGGGAGGGCAAGGTGATTCCAAACGCGGATCGCAAAGCTGCAGGGAATGGGGAGGGTTGGTTTGTGTGCCCATGGGGAGCATCACGGCGGAAAATGCGCTGGTGCCGGCCTTAACAGAGGCCTCAAGCAGCAGCAGGAGGTCGAGCCGACGATGCCATTGGACGTTTGGAGCAAAGGCCAGGCTGACGAAGACCACCGCACGAAGCTGGGCCTGCAGAGAATCCTAGAAGTATTAGAGCTTCCTCCCCTCCCCGGCTGATTCCATGACGGGGTGAGACGTGCACATGCTGCTGTTGCGCCTGTGCCGCCGAATTCGGCGAAGAGAGACAGCTCCCCATGTCAGCCGCTAAGATGGGCATCGCACAGGATTCAGGATCCTCTCTTTCCCCCATCTTTTCCATCGCAGGGCCGCCCTTCACTGCTGATGCTGATGCTACAGAGCATTACGATGATCACTTGGTGCTACTACCCAAGGCCAGGCCAGCTGAACCTCACAAGGCCAGGGCTGGACAGATGTCGGCTGCTTCTCTGACTACGAAGGGGACGCCAAGGCCAGATAGGCCGGGGGATATGGATGAACACTTGCCTGTTCCCAGATACCCGTCTCTCCCCGGGCCTATCGCGGACTCGACGAGCCAGCTCTGGAGCGAACTCGCATCAACACGACAGCGCAGAACACCCTCGCTTATTCCGGGAGCATTAGGGTCAGCAAGCAGGATGCAGCAACCGTGCTTGGAAGGGAAAATCGTAGATGCGCAGATTTCCGCTGCGGTGTTGCAGAGCCCATCGGGTTCTGGCAGGCCGTAGGAGCCGTCGCAAACCCTCCCCGTGCGGAACTGGCACTAATGCTGGGCCGTACGCAAGTGGCTGGCGATAAACGACTTCTGGTTGGGCTGAAGGCACGAGACCCTGGTCCCCAGATACACGGCCCCAAGCCCTACCCTCACCCGGGCTAAGGTGGAAGGACAGCAGATGCTCAGCCAGCCGTCGTGTGACGGCGCCAGCGAACGAGGACAAGGGACGCCCATTGGCAACATCAGACCGGAACGGCTGACATACAGATGTTGTCCCTCGGCGGGCTGCTGGGATGGGGAAGCCGGGTGTTGGTCGCCTGAAAGTGGTGCCACCCCATGCAGCGAGGGAGCAAGCAAAAGAAAAGAGGTGTTTCATTTCCTTGCCTTCTTTTCCCTTGCTCTTTCTGCCGCCGTGAACTTACGTACGGCTCTTGAAGGGCATGGGCAGGTATGACAGAGGATGACGAGGTTCCATCGGGAGGCTTCACGGTCTTTCCCGGCTCCAGACAATCCGGCTGCGAGATGGAGGGGCGGCACTTACGGCTCTTGGGGGGACGTTTGTTCCTTAGGATATGGACGAGGAAGCGGCGAAGGGGAAAAAACGGGCAGAAGCCTTATATCGAAAAGTGAGCCGTGAGGCTAGACACCATACTGTATGTAACAAAAATGGTTCGGGGAACAAAATAGATGAAATCTTTAAGATGCTTCGGCATATGAATCCTAGTTCCATAACACGAGGACTTCTCCAGAGGTGACTTCGATGATTACCTATTACTCCAAATGGCGCTTAACACACGCTCCCCTCTTACACATTGTGATTGATCACTTTATTTTCTGCTTAACGTTCGCAAACTTCTCCCACGGACGATTGAAGGATTTAGAGATCCTACGAAGAAGCAGCTACACGCATTAGCCAGCCCGCAGTTCTCTCTCCCCCCTCTTCTCAAAATTATGCATACTTGAGACCAAAACCGCCATGGCCGAGTCGCACGTTACTTGAGCTGTACTACCAAGTGTCTTACATTTCCCTGCTGCGACTCGTGCCGAGGCCGAGTATGGTCTTACCCGTTCACGTGTATGGAGTACAAAGACAAGCGCCCCCCATGCCTTTAAAAAGTGGTGTAGGATCTGCTTCGTTTCTTGCATATATTACGAGTAGACCCTACTGCCTGTAGTAGCAGTGGTGGTGTAGCGTAATGTAGGTTAGGTAGTACACACATAGGGAGGAGGATGGGGAGGTCTGTGCTGCTAAAATGGGTAGCACTCAGACCGGCATCTGGGCCAGCCAAGGTGCTTGGATGACAAGATGACGGGGACACACCACCTCACTTTTTGTTGGGCGGGCTACGGTGCTTCTTGGGTAACGTAACGTATTATGAGAACATTGAAGGGCAGTCAGTGATACAATGACACGCATAAGACATGTATGTATGCTAACGTGCGTCCGCGGTCGTGTGATACGGATTTGCGGGATGATGAAAGCCTTGTTCATTGATTGCATGGTCCATCTCTTAATCAGCACTTGTCATAGAATGGCTGGAGCTTTGAATGGTGGTTCTGGTGTTATTTTGCTGTTATGCTGACAAGGCTGTCGAAACGGAGGAACAAAATACAAGACGTGGGTTCGTTGTGTCCAGTAAAGGGGGAAATAGTTGTAATACAAGGCTTGGAAAGGAAATTCCGGGGAGGTAGGAGATGCCATTTCGAGGGCAATTTGGAGGGATCGGGAGGCGGCATGTACTGTCTCTCCGCGGCCTGTCTGTCTATACCAGCATGGAGGGCTGATTGACCATGGCGTTTGTCTGCGAGATGGATAAGGTATGTATGTATGGATACGGGGGTTTGTTGACAAACTGACCGTGCATTTCTGTGTACGAAATTGACCCTCCGTTCGGGTAGATTTGTTACGTGATTCACTGATTGATCCGTCATACTGACTCAAGAAGATCTACCTATGTTCGTACGTGTTCGACCGAGGTCCGCTTGGACAAAGATTTGACGCCGGATGCCCTGCTAGAACGCCGAAGGGAGAGAAATGCCGTGGCAGGGAATTGGCGGCGAGCTGTGGATGCCAAGTCCCGGATACTAGTAAGCCGGGGGTGATGAGGCCGAATCGGCAGGGTACCGGGTACAAGGGTCTAACGGAGCTGACACTTACACCTTGATGTGCCAGGGCACGAGCAGCCAATATAAGCAATTGCATGGAAGACGGACGAATGTATGTAATATGGAGTAATCTCGATGGCATCTCTTTGTAAGAGTCAAACAGGGACAATGAGAGTATATGTCTGACATGTCGCCGAGGGTAACTTCCACGCGGAGTCAGCTGCAGGGGCTCCGTATTGACGCCGTATTAGAAATAAATGCATAATGAAGCTTGGCCCGGTCTAAGTCGATTATGAGGTAGTACTCGTATGAGATGCTCGCGGGTAAGGCTGGCTGGCTAGGCTGGTTTGACAATACGCCCCGTCTGTTTGAGTTGCCGCCTAGTGCGAGTGGCTCTGGTGTTGTTCGCCGGGAGTATAGCGATATGCACACTTCTCCACGATATAGTCTGCTTCGCCCTCTATTTTTGCCAAGAATTGAGGCCTTCAGATGGAAACTGGCTGAGCCTGGCTCGTCTTTCGTACGTGGTTACTTGTTTCCCAAGTGGATCATATAGTGCATTTTGAAATCAGACCCGGCAGTTGTTCTGCTTGACTTCTAAATGTACGCATACTTCATTTCGACGATATTGATACGTAAGAGACGATGAGATGACGGGCCGGTTAGTATGAGGTGTAACTCATATGAAAAGATCAGAGACTGGGATTGACCTTCTCCTACAAGCTACGGAAACACCTATTCTCCTTGTTGCATGATGATCGAGACGAGTGTTCTACGGAGAACAAATTGCACGTACCTTGGGTGCAATGAAGGTTGAGATGGAATCAACCCAACCGGAAAAAGAAAGGAGTGTTTGCCTTGCCTTGGTTTTCATTGCAAGACGCGGAATCAGGCATGGACGTTTGAAATGGCAGATATAAAAGAAAGTGACATGATGGGAAAATAAAGATGATGATAAGCTTCAAAGCTTCGATTTGATCAGTAATTGTAAATCAGCAAAACGGCACATACATGCAGCGGGAGAACAAGCATAAATGAAGCACAAGGGGAGACCACGAGGGACGTACCGCCCATTTAGGAATTTGTAGGATTGAAGGATACTGGTTCCATTACCTTGCATTCTCTCACACAAGAAGCTCACGCACACCCCCTCCTGTTCTCGGCTGTCCTCTTATTTTCAATTTTGTAAGGGTGTTGATCTTGCGTTATGCTGGTACGCTTCTGGGCGGGTGCATTATGTGCAACCAGACGTCCTGTGTCATCCAGCAGTTTTCGAGACAAGGCAGGCGCTTACAGCATGCTTGGTGCTTGGATTGGGACGGCCAGATGCGTATGGCGTTACATTGAGGATGGACATGAGCATGTCTCTGTTGGATTTGCTAAATATAGAGTCGATGAGGTCGCATCTCCCACGATTGGGTGGTAGTATCATGTCGTAGCAGTACAGAGCACTCGTGGTGTAACTGATATTCGGTGCCATTAATAACGCGCAATTGATGTCTTGGATGTCTACGAGTAAGTACCTACCGCATGTATGTATGTACTTGATCCTCTGTCTCTGATGTCTGGTGCAATTGATATACTCGTACTATATGTGCCACAAGCCAGTGAAACAGCATGCATGTCAATGTACGAAACACTGAAAGAGGCAATTGGGAGGTGATGAAAGATTCCGCACATGGACCTGCACGCTTTGGCGCCTGTAGCTGTGCCTTGTCGTCTGCCGTGCGTCTTGGAGGGGCGTGTGAATGCGGGAGTTTGTACATGTTTCAATTCCTGCTGCTGTTGCTTCGCCAGCTCAAGATGTAGCTGTACATCATTTCACTTCAACCATGAGAATGAAGAGGCAAGTCGCTTCAGCAGCTAGATTGTGCTAGTGTATGTAGATTCGAGCAAGAGGGTGTGTAAGAGAGGTATACATGCATGTACATCATCGAGCACAGCAGCAGCAGCATGTGAGGTATCGACCGGAGTTATTGCCTCGCATCGTGTTGGATCGTACATGTATCGATCAATCAGTTCGCCCGGCGCTCTCGCGCAGAAAAAGTGCCGGTGAAACCCACTGGCAGCTTGCAGCCCGTTTAGCGGCCAGAGCGCGCTGGGGCCGCACTCGGCATAGCGCTGTAGCACCTGTGGGCAGGTGCTGCTGTAGGGCAGTTTTAGGGCGCTTTGGGGCGGGTTGGGGGCGGGATATAGGGGACTGCGGCGAGACGAGGCTGACCAGCCCTGCTGTAAGGCTGAGGGAGGGGTAACTGTGGCTGTGCTACGCAGAGTTGGTGTGGCTGTACACGGCAAAAAGCTGAAAACTGAAAACTGCATGTGACGAGTGAGCTTCAAGAGGATGAACATTGATTGCTGCCTCATGAACCCAACAGCTGCGCAACTGATACGACGGTCGTTTACCTGAATGCTGCATTGAAGCCTTCAGACTCACCATATTCTAGAGGTTTTCGCATATTTACTTCGGCTTAGATCAGAGCTCACAGACAGGGGTCGATACAGACGGATTTTCCCCTCTTCGATCACACTCATCAGACAGACTCTATCCATCAGCAACGACTTTCTCTTCTCTTCGGCTCTCAGCTCATATCTCGTCATTTACTCTTTCAATTCATACATAAAAGCAAACCTTCATAAGTCAACAGGCCAAAGCAGCCTGTTACACACCACCATCGTGGCCCCGTCATCAGATAAATCGGCTTCAGTGCCGGCAGACGTCCCCCCTGTCGAGGGCGGGAGGGAGCAGGTTGGCCATCGGCTCGAAGTGGCGGCGCACAACGCCCTGGAGAAGAGCGTCATCGAGATGGCGCTGAGCACAATCGAGGGGGTGCCCAATCTCTATGTCGGAGGGTGAGTGTTCGATGTTGATGCCAATATTGCTGATGAAGATATGTTCCCATGTGTATGGTGCTTACACATCTATACGTCTTGATACATTTAATGTCAAACCATCAACTAAAAGTCACACCACAGCTAATGCAAGAACCCCTCTACAGTCTATGGGCCCTCCGCCGCTCACAATCGCTTCTGGACCGCAAGATCACACACGTCCTGTCCCTCGTCTCCTTCAACCCTTCCAGTCTCAAAAACTTCAAGGACGAGCCCTTTTCCGAGTACGGCAAGCCGTTCAAGCATCTTCTCATTGACATTGACGATGTCGAAGACTCGGATCTCCTCATTGAGCTGCCAAGGGCCGTCAAGTTCATCGACGAGGGCCTCCGGAGCGGGAGGAGTCAGCACCAGAGCTCCAACAGCGATGCTGTGGCTAGTGTAGTGGAGGCAGTTGAGAGCATCAGCCTGGATGCCTCCAAGGAGCCAGGCCAGTCCACATCAAATTCAGCAGCAGCACCAGCTCAAACCTCAAATTCAGGATCACCTCCACGGAACCCCCCCAAACGCGGTGCCGTCTTCGTCCACTGCGCCGCCGGAAAATCTCGTTCCATCTCCGCCATCATCGCCTACCTTCTCTGGCGTTACCCGGATCGCTTCACCGGCCCTGCAGGCTCACAGCTGGCTGCGACTCTACCTGAAGACCAGCATCCGGAAGACAGCTACAGGTCCTTTAGCGAGCCCGTTCGGGCAGCCCTGGCGCTCATCAAGCAGACGCGACCCCTTGCCGGCCCCAACACGGGCTTCATGGCCCAGCTCGATCTATGGTGGCAGATGGGCTGCCCTGCCGACGGCGATATGGAGGCCCAGCCCATCTACCAGAGGTGGCTGTATCAACGCGCCGCCAGGGAGAGTCTCGCCGTGGGACAGGCGCCGTCACAGCTGTGGTTCGAGGACGAGGCTGCAGCTCAGTCAACGTCAGATCCGTCAGCCTCGCCCTTGTCATCGTCATCGTTGCCTTCTTCGGCCCCAACGGCGGACCGGAAGCTCCGCTGCAAGAAATGCCGCCGCATCCTGGCCACAGGGCCCTTCATCGTCCCACACCAGCCGCGCGCGTCGGGGACCACTGAGGACGACGGCGACAACGGAGTCCCCTCTCCGCCGCCGCCGCCCTCGAGCCCGCTCTGCCAGCACTTCTTCGTCGAGCCCCTCAGCTGGATGCGCGCCGAGCTGGAGAAGGGTGAGCTGAGCGGCCGGCTCGCGTGCCCCAACCCGAAGTGCGGCGCCGGCGTGGGCCGGTACGACTGGAAAGGCTTCCCGTGCTCGTGCGGCGCTCGAGAGGACCCGGCCTTTTCGCTGCAGAAGGCCAGGGTCGAGGAGGAGGTCTCCAGGGCGGCCCTGCGGATGCCTCCTGGCCGAGGCGGCAGCGGCAGCGGCAGCAAGGGCAATTTGTGATGATGATGAGAAGACACTTCAGTTAGCGGGCTAGGATAGCACCGGGGTGGTGAAAATGATCATCGCCAGGGGGGGCGTTGGAATTCCTGAGCTGATTACTATATGCTCAGTCATGTGGCTCGATGTGACCGTCGAGCTTGAATATCATGCATCGCCATGTGCCAAAATAGAGTACTACCACGTCCTTGTCGCATATAGGGCCGTTTGTCTATGCATAGAATCGACGATGGCTCTTCCTTGTCCCTGCCTCGCCTACTTCGTCTTACTTGCTACACCGGGTATCTGGATTATACTATTCAGCAGTGACGCGGCACTCGTATACATTCGGTGGCCAAGAGTTATAGCTCAGCTGATAATCAATCTACATACACGACTCGGATCCAAAAGACAGAGACGGTATGAGTCGGGAAAGAGGAGAAATGGTATCAAATTGTAATCACTAATTCTCCGGTACAAAGAGGACCAGCGCTAGCAAATAAACACAGCAAGATTAGAAGCTGACAAGCACATGGCCGGCCGCGTCAGATTCATGGCCTTTTTTCGCCTCCCCCTCAATCCACTCTTTGCCTATCACTTTGCCTATCACTTGCCCTATATCTTTGTAATAGACTAATAGCCCATTCTTACGTTTGTGTAAGATAACTCTCGGCAACCAGAATAGTGACCGTCGAACAACGACAATACTCTTTCAAATAGTAAGGTACTGTACGGAGCAGATATTACTCCGATGTACTGTCGGAGATAGTCGTAGTAAGCCCAACTACAATGCCGAGACGGCGCTCTCACCTTCCCCTTTCCAGTCGAATAAACCGACGGTAACATGTCATGATGGCCCATCACTTACATGACAATACATACGTACCCTGCACTTCCTCATGCAGGTTCAGGTAGCACTCGGTGAACACACGTCCACAACAGACGGAGTAATCACGTCTTCATGCGCGGAAGTCGAAAGCCGCAGACGCCCTATGAGGACGAACAAGGGGCCTTCGACAACAATACCACCTACCTACCCAAGCAGCCATTGGTAGATGGATACAGCTGGTAACTTAGTAGTAGAGGAGACCCAAGCACGTCATTTGGACATTGATATTGACTACTACCGACAAGGCGGGTTTGTTCTCCCGTCGGCCGCTGAACCGCTTGCCAGTCATAAAACTCCCATCGTCATCCCATATTCAAAAGAGCAGGTGCTTTTCAGCATCCCCCCATGAAATGGGAAATCTTGGAGGGCAATCGCAAAGGATTCTGATCCCGGCCTATCTGGCGGTCCGATCGGCCCCGACATCCGGCCTTTTTTATCTTCTGATTGCCTGATGAGACTGCTACAATTCAGCAGAGGGTGGAACAGCGTCGTATCCCGATTCTTAAAGAGGGAGTCAAGTGCGTAAAATGGCATCTTTCGACAGCCAACAAAACCCCAAAGGTCGTCATGTGTTGCTGCTTATGAAAAGGACCATGCATGTATTACCCAGTTCGTTGTCCGTCTTTTGCTACTTTCGGCCGCCTTTTCCCATCCGTAAAGCCTAACAAAGCAACAAGACAAAAAAAACCGACAAGGGGCAGAAGGGATCGGCCTTTTGGGGGTGTATGTATGTACTATCCGGATGTCGCCTCTTAATCGCGATAGTATTCAAAATCCCACCAATCGGACTTTTGTGATGTCAATTACTTCTTCGCTTTCGCTACTCCTTATTCAGCCCAGTTGCAAGAGACGAAGAAGATCAAGGAATAGAAAGCCAAGAGCATGTCAACATCACAACCCGGGGCTTGGCATTTGTAACACCGTAAGAGAGAAAGAATAGTCTCTTGAATATGCTGGGCTGACTTCGCATGTACAAAGTACTTGTGCACTTTCCGCTTTGATATACCTAGTAGCTTGATGGTCTAGTAGGCATGGAGTCTAGCAGTAGCAAGTTTGTCTTCTTTGTGCGACGACTGCATACAATAGCCTGATGGTGACAACCAGTTTGCATTGCTTTCTTCACCCCTGTTCTTTGCATCTCACCTCTTGCTTCCGCTTATCAAACCATCTGGCCCCTCAGTTGTCTCCAATTCCCATCGTTGACATTTGTATACCCGTTATCCGTATGCTTTGTTGTTTGTCTCTGAAGAGTTCAGAACTAGAGTTGTCATGTAGTTCAAGAAAGAAATATGGAACGACGTAGTCATCCAGGCAACTGAATAAACCAGCACGAGCCCTAGGCTGAGGCGTGAAGCTAAGACACCAAACAAGCAGGGACAGGCCATGGTGTTTGATAATCCCGTCGACTACACCACGCCTCAGGCGAGGATAGCTCCTGGAGCCGTCAGATGTTCATCCCAACTTCTTGGCCCTCGTCTCGCTCCTTCCCTTCTTCATCAACACCAAGCCCAATATTGTCGACCGAGAAAACTGCCGTTGAGTCCTGCCGAGTGAGAGGTTCTCCATTCTTTCAACTTCAAAGTGGTCAATACGCCCCCTCCCCCCCTTTAGTGGACGGCGTTAATGATGATAACAATGACGGTATTGCAAACCACCCCGGTCTGCTGCATTTTTCGAGATGCTGTTGGCTGGTTCTTCATCCTTGTCTCTTCTGGAAAGCTTCTCCTTTGCCCGCTTATTCTGAGCCAGGTCGCTTACTGAGCCTGGCCTGGCCTAATATCAAGCCCCCTCGCGCCAGCTTATTACCTAAATTCCAAAGGCCATTCTCGTCCCGGAGGCGTCTTACTCGTCCAAGGCACAGAGCACTAGGATCCGATGAAACCACGCAGCTGGGATCGTCGGTGACCCCGGTGGCTTGAAGGGTGTGCGCGCGTGTCCATGTACAGGCATGGGCGTTCCCCAGCAGGCAACGCGGGCAATTAGGGCCTATTTCCCCCCCCCCATGAAATCTCGATCTTCTGGGCAAGCTGCAATCCTGGACGATGGGGTCTCCGAGAAAATGTCCAGGCGTATGGAGCAGCGGTAGTAGTAGTAGTGGTCTCAGCGGCTTTTCTTCGATCGATCCCAGGGCGCTTCGTCGCATGACCCGCTGGCATAAGCAACCTGAATCTCAAATTGGAGAGGAAGAGAGGGGTGGCTTAGACAGGAAGTCATATCCAACTGAGTCCAGGGGGTTGGGTCGGCCAACTTATGGGTACCTTCCAGCCCGAGAGAAGCAAGAAGAATCCCATCAACGTAGCTCAAGTTGCCTTGCTGCCAGCTTTCCAAGCACCACAGTATTGCCCGTCCAAGACGACGTTGCACTCCCGGAGAGTATCTCGTCTCCATCTCCCAGATGAAAAATTAGCCGACCGATAAATGCACCGTCCAGACTTCTTCTCCTTTCAGGGTCTCTCATCCCAACCCCAATAAAGCACCGAAGCGAGTGGCATCGATGACAGCTCGGACCGCGCTATGGGGACATGCTGCACCTCCACAAGGCCACTTCTTCACGCCCGTCCATCAGAACGATGTTGACGCCTCCCCCGGCACAGCGAGCCAGACTGGGTCAAAGGTCGAGCACAGGCCTCGAAGGGGGGTGAATCTCTGCAGGCCCTTTCCTCCTATGGATCGTCTCTGCTGCTGCTGGAACCGCGTACCGGAGCCGCAGAGCTCGAAGTCCGCGGGTCAGCTAACTTGTCCACTCATCTCTTACCAATCAAGTGGGTGAATTAGCAAGACGCATACGGCCCTGTATTTTAGGTTTCTGCGCTCACTGCCGTGCAACTGACCGACATGAACACACTGAAAGCGGTGACAGGAGCCTTGTCAGGAGCCTGAAAGCTGAGTCTTCTCAAGGGGATACATGTGTTCCGTAAAGAAAGCGCCTGTGAAGGCGGTAGATGAAATGTTCAAGGGCGTCTCGAAGAGGGCGAGGAGAGTAATAAAGGCGACCCCGGGAGAGAAGGCAGGGGCTCACAACTGCCTGTGACTGCTGGTGTTGATTGGCTGGCGAGGCGCATGTGCAAACATTCAACCAAGGCGTAAATGGTCAAGTTTTGCGACGGCATGCGCCAAGTCCCGCCGCCAGAATGGCCGCCGATGGTTGAAACAGCCGCCGGTGTGCGGGCAACTGATGGCTGCAATGGCAGATCGTCAAGAGCTCCCCAGATTACGGAGCAGAGCAAACCAGGAGTATGGAGTACGGCGTGGCAGCTGTATCGTACTGTACAGGTACTGCTACTGCCACATACAATCCGTAAGGCGTGCGTGTAGCTTGTGTATGCAGAGTCTTCCGGAAAGGGCATCGTCCTTGTCTCCATGTCAGCATGCCGCATGCCAGGCAGGGTTGCACAATGAGCACGGCTACCCGTACAAGGTAACGGGGGTTTCAATTTCGTTTCCTCTGGCTGGCTGTCTGGTAGGGGGCGTGTAGCAATTCGACTGCGAGATGCTCTGATGTTGGTAGGATCCTAGGATCAAGAGGCCAGTATGAGTATGGAGCTGGGACCAGGCTCGCAGACATGTGTGGAACAAAAACATCAAAGGGATGGATAGCAGCACTCCTCCGATGCTTCTCCGCCGGCCGGCCGTGACCTGTGCGAGAGTACAGGTACATAAGCGAAAACAATGGCAAGGCGCATGGGCCAGTTCCGTACGCGTAGTTTTGATACTCCGAAGCTGTAAGTCCTCTGAAGCCACTTCGTCAAGCCCCGGTGTGTCGACGCTGGAGTTGATCTTCTGAGCTGCTAGATTAGACAGGTCGCAATGCGCCCTCGCGTGAGAATCGGGGACCAGGAGGCCATAGAGTTTGCTCTCTGGTCCCCGAACGCCATAGATGGTCACAGTACTCGGAGTTTCTGTAACTGCACATCATGGACGCCCGCAGCCTCGTCTCCGAGGCCGTTGCCATAGAACGCCGGCCTCTTCCGTTCGGGCTGTATCAACCATCTCATGATCCAGAATAGAACACAGCAAACCAGTGGAGAAGACGGTAGCACCCCCCCTCCCATTTTCTTCTGGTTTTTTCCTTCTTCTGCGGCATTTCGTCTTGTGGAGGGCGTGTGATTTCAGCCCTGGAACCACCAAGTGGCAGAGCATGCAGCTGGAGAGCTGTAGACACCGCAAGTGTAAGCACTAGCCAGTCTGCCACCATCATGTCGCGTTTAGGCTGCCCGTCTGTCGCTAACTTAACTGCAGCTATGCGCTGTACATGGTATTGCACAAGTAGTGCTACTCCATAATACAACTAAGCTTCAACCGGATCGATCACCAGCGTTCGTGGATAGCAACTCTGCCGATTCCGATCGAAAGTCGATGTCAGCGAAGCCATCCAGACCAGAGTAAACTCCGTCTCGGGACCGAAACCAACATCCGGACTCGAAATCTCCGGATGCTGCTGGTAAAGAAAATTTTCAAGAGCAGACTTGATGATTGGCCACCTCGTATTGTTTTGCTTTAGATTTGTCTTGTTGACTTCTTGAGATTGGAAGAAGTGAGATGCTGACAAGATTTTGCTCACCTTGGCCTACTTGGCCTGCTTGACTTGCTTGCCCGCGGTTCTTTTGGCCCTAAAACACCGCCAGAGCACAGCTGAAGCCTTGGCTAAGCCTGTCCAGGCATGGAACGATGATGAGGACGAATATCGCAGCTCCGGGGGTGATATGATGTGATCTACTCAGAGACGAAGACGGTATCCGGGATGTTGGAAGTTTGTGCGATGAGGTGCACCAATTGGGGGCAGATGAGTGAGTCGGTGATAATGTCTCTCCTCTTGTCATGTCGCGACTCTCTTTACTGCGTTGGGTTCTGCAACTGTCTACTCCATGGCTCTGGAAGACGAGGAGGGCATACGACTGGATTGGCTGCCCGGATCGTACAAGGTGACGGCTGCTAGGCCGGATACATGGGCACCATATGGCGTAAAAGGCCGTGTCGAAGATGTGACGAGACAAGAAGTATGTTGACGTGACTTGAGACCCAGATTTCGACTACTTTCTCGGTGGCTCTGTTGGTACGGACGGGAAATAGTTTGGCTGAGATGCCCTCTCGCGGTCTCTTTTGGCGGCTTCTGCTTGGCGTTTGCGCTGTAGTCGCTGTTGATAGAAAGCACTGCGCACGTTAAGTACTGATACGAATGAAAGAAGGGGAGAAATCTAATACGAACCTCTTGAGTTCAAAGACACGCGGCTCATCCTCCTCTTTTGGTGTCTCAACACCATCGCTCTTCTAGCATCTGGTCAGTATGTCACGCCTTCAGTCCGGCAGCCATCCAGCAACGATCTCCTGACTTGACTTACGGGGCTGAATTCCGCTTCATCTTTACTTTCTTTCTTTTCTTTGCTTTTGTCCTTCTCTTCATCCTTCTCTTTGTCCTTGTCCTTGTCCTTGTCTTTGCTCTTTTCCTTCTCCTTCTCCTTCTCCTTCTCCTTCTTCTTGCGCAGCTTCTCTTGGTACTCCTTCACCAGCTTTTCCTTCTCTTCAGCCAACTCCTTCTCCCTCTTGGCCTTGACAGCATCCTCGTCAATATTGGGAGTGCAAAAGTAGCGGTCCTTCAAGTGGGCGGGGCAGATATAGAAGAAGTCCTACGGCAGCCACGTTCAGCCCTGTGCGAGAAACGGACTCTGAGCATGGCCAGGATATACCTTCTTGTCTGGCGTAATGAGGACAGACGAGCTGGGCTTGTAGCAAACGTCACAGGCCTTGGCGGCCGACTCGGCCACCTTTCGATGGGTGTACAGGTTGGGGAACGGCGCCGCCATTGTGCTGAGAGCCAAGGCCGTTTGCTGCCGACGGTGTGCGTGGAACGTTGCCTTGGATGTCGTCGGTTCACGCAGCAAGCGATTCCCAGTGATCTCACGATCTTTTGATAGGGATCAAGTGATGGAGTGGCGATAGCATAGACGGCTGTCTTGCTGCCTGAGAACATGAATCATTGACTCAGGAGTGAAGGTGAAGCAGCTTCCAATAACAATGGCGGGGATGTCGACACGCCCGATGACTAAGCAGCGCAGTTGACGTCGCTGCAAAGTCGCGTCAGTTGCAAAAGTGACACCTTGAATCGTGAACCTGAAGCATCAACCGCGACTCGTTTCTCTGCCATCAGCGAATCTGCGGCCTTTGCAGCGCCTGTCCTCTTGACCGTGGTTCCCGTTCGCTGCGTCACAATGGCCCAGTCGCTCAATTCGCAGCGGATATCCGCCGTCTTCCAGGCCCGGCCAGACATCATCGCCAGCATCAAGCAAGCTGCAGGTATTTGAGCTGCAGCTTTTTCCAACCTGTATCAGGCAGCTAATCAGAAGCCTAGACTCTCCCAGCCGGATTGCCCTGTTCAACAACATCGCCGACCACGTCTACGAACGATTGCAGGAAAACGGAGAGCCAGCGCAAAAGAAGCGGAAAGTCGGCGCAGAGCAGCAAGCAAATGGCAGTCCCAGCAGTCAAGCGACCCTGTCCAATGCAGCAGATGAAGATGTCCTTTTAGAGGTCAAGGAGATTTCCGTCGTTGTCCCGCAGAGGAAAAAGCTCGAAATCTGCTTCACTGCAAACCACTTATATGCCAGGGCCCCTGGAACGACAGCTCCTCTTCCGGGCATTAGCTATGCATGGAGAGATATTGGTCCGTTTTTCCCCCTTCAAATCTGATCATTGTCGTTGAGTACCCTTGGCTGACTGATACTGAACAGAATATGCCTTCTTTCTCCCCGTCCCTGACAAGGCTCAGGTTCAACACAACTACGTCATATTCCCTAAAGGAACTTGTCTGCCCTCCAAGGCAGGTAACCCGCCTTCCGCGGAGCCATTCGTCTTCACAGTCCCCATCACCGCCCCAAAGCAAGGAACGGTTGGAGGGTCGGAGGCAGGGGCTGCGGCTGCAGTATCAGACACATACAAGTCTCTGTTCCACTGGGCCCTGAGCACCCGATTACAGGCGGCAGGTAACGGTGTCAAGATCGTCTCTGCCGACCCCAACAAGTTTCGCAGCATGGTGCGCCAGCCCCATCGACCCAATGAAACGGCAGTTCATGTCAGCGGTTTCAGGGGCTCAAAGGACGGCTTTCTTTTCTTCCTCGAGAACGGCATCTTGTGGGGATTCAAGAAGCCGCTCATCTTCATTCCAATCAACCGCATTGCTGCAATCAGCTACACCAACATCCTTCAAATTACGTTCAACATTCTAGTCGAAGTCTTCACCGACGAGGAGGGCAACACAGAGGAGCTGGAGTTTGGCATGCTGGACCAGCAAGATTACGGCGGCATCGATGAGTATGTCAAGATGAACGGCCTTCAAGACAGGAGCATGGCTGAGCAGAGGAAGGCAAAGCTGCAGCTGGCCGAAAACAAGGGCCCCAAGAAGAAGGACGGGGAAGCCGAAAATGGCGAAGCTGGGGCCGTCGAGGGAGAAGGAGATGGCATGACGGAGCTGGAGCGCGCACAGCATGAAGCTGAGCAGCAGTTACAAGATGAAGAGGACGAAGACGAAGAAGACTATGACCCCGGCAGTGAGGGCGATAGCGAAGGATCGGGCTCTAGCGATGATGATGATGACGACGACGATGACGACGATGAAGATGATGACGAAGACGATGAGGAGGAAGGCGAGGGAGAAAACGAAGGCGAGCCCGAAGAAGAAGAAGAAAAGATCAAGGAGGAACCGCCCAAGCCTGTTGCTGCGCCAGCAAAGCCGGCCAGAGCCGCAAGGGCACCACGAGCAGCGAAGCCCGCTGCAAAGCCAGCCGCAAAAGAAGTCAAAACGGAGACACCCAACGTGCCTGTTCGAAGCGGCTGGGCGGCTTTCACTTCCAGACCAGCAGCCCCTGACGTGGACATGGCCGAGGGTGATGACGAAAAGTTTGATGTGGTGGGATGAGAAGAGGTGCTTGATCGTCTCATTTGTTGCGCCTATAGGGCTTTGCGTGCATATTTCAATATGACTCGGGCGTTGAAAAGGAATTCATGATGGCCAAAAGGGTTTTCGTACATGGATCACCATATCTCTGACAAAAGTTGTCGAATGCAGAATGGCGGATTGAGAGTATGTTTGTATGGAGAGAGAGAGCTTCAAAAGCTGCTGTTGGCAGCGGAGATCAATGAGCATCCGATAGTATCGTCAGTTGTGTCTCCTAAGCCAATTATTGGGAAGAATAACAACAATTAGAGGGCCTCCGGCTCTTAGAATTTCTCGTGATGCATCAACTTCAAGTTGCTGGGAAATGTGCTGAGTCAGCTTGCTGGACAACTTGGCTGGCGCCATAAAGTAGGCAGTGTTTACTTTACTGGGTGTTTGCCGCGCATCCTGCAAACACAGTACGTTTCATTTCCCCGTGCCACTGTAAGGTACTTTCCTCTTCGTCCACTGTTCCCAGCCTCATGGCCTGGACGTGAATGAGGATGAACGAAAGACATTCACAACTCCATCAACTTCTTCTTCCGGTATCTTTCAGTCAAAGAAGAATGTGACGAGCTGGGCCAATACCCGAATAAGACCTTGCACTATGAGTACTGGTAAAACAAGGGCCATGGTTGCCTGCATGCACTGTCGCCAGCGGTAGGTTCAACCACGATCCAGCCGCGTCTATAGGTTACTCTTTGCTTGTTCACGCGTGACTGACGGCGGTATAGGAAGAGACGCTGCGATGGGCTGGAACCGACATGCACGGGATGTCTGGAGAAGGGGCTGGACTGCGTCTACGTACTACCTGCTCCTCCGAGGTACGTGACAGACGTCAGCGCCTGCGGGTGAATGCATACGTCGACGCTGTTCACATCCCTAGGAATCTGTTTTGTTCTGATGAGTCCGTGGATGCAGGGGGATTTCTGCACAAAGACAGCAGAACGGAGACTCGCTGACCTCGGATGCGGTACTTCGACGCCTGGAGAGCATCGAGACGTTGCTCGGGGAGCACGCAGAGGCGCTCAGACGGCTGCAGCAGGAGAGGCAGCCACAGCCGCGTAAGGATCTTCCTATCTCGATGGTGCCGCAGCCGCTGCCAGACTTCTTTCGCCGGAATGATGGGAGTACCGAAGGCGACGAGAGCATGGACTCGCCGTCACGCGAAGCAGCGTCGATGCCGCACTCCACTTGGGCACTCGCCACACACGAGGGGGGAAATTCATCGAGACGCGGGATGAATGGAGATGATGACGTGCCTCCGATTACAATTCCTCTAGGGCACCAGACGAGCACGAGCAGCCTGTTGACGCTGCCGCAGATGCGTCCTCTGGTGGGAGATTATCCCGAGGACTTCATCTTTCGGGTCGAGGACACCAGATCACGATCTTTGGCATTGGACTTTATGGGAGTTTCAGGACTTGAAGCCGAGGATAAGCATGTTGACAGAACGGTTGCGGATGACTATCTGAGTAGCTTTCTCGCTTTAGTACATGCCTTTCACCCCATTCTTGACCGCGATCAACTTCTGGCCAGCTACGAAGACGTCATGCGGGAGGGCCTCGGTTCGGACGTTAGGTCGGCCCTCTTCTTGGCCGTTTTGGCTCTTGGGGCCACTGCGTCCGACCCCATCGACGATGAAAGGGACCACGAGAATGGAAACACGGGCGATGCCTGCATGCAGAGGGCGCTCCGGATTCTGGTGCCCGCGTGGATGATCTCCTTCAGTGGCGACATTCAGCTCTCGCAAGGCTTGATATTGTGCGCGCTGTACTTTACGTACGTGGTGCAGCCGTTGACGGCTTGGAGGCTGATTAATATGGCGTCGAGCAGCATACAGCAGCTTTTAATTCGGCAAGTTGTGCCGTTCCTCCTCAGTGGTAAAGGATATGTCTGACCCGGAGTAGGTGCAAGGATATCCTGTCGAGTCAGGTTGAGATTCAGGAACTGACGCGGTTGAGCTGGGTCTGCTTCATCATTGAGAGGTATGATGGCCATTACACGTGGGCAAGAGTCGACGAGGATTTGCTGACCGTTGGAACCATAATAGTGATATCCTAGCTGAGTTCCACCAGCCACGGAGCGGCATCGATGTCCTTGTTGATCGCATGCCGTTCCCCAACTACGGGACTAACCCCAAACTGGAGCATCTTTGCGTTCTCGCTGAGATATCAGCTCGCTCTCTTCTCAACCGCATGCATCACGCCATCTACTTTACCGACAGCCTCACCATATACGCGGGTCGCGCTCTTGACTCGCTCGCCTCATCAGCCTCAGATACGCCTCATCCAGATGCGTCCCTGCTGAGGATTTGTAGCGAACTCAACTTCCAGCTTGAAAGGTGGTATGAAGCCCTTCCGGTGGACATCAAGCCCGACTTGTTCGATCGCACACCAGGAAACAGGCAGGCGTGCATACTGCGACTGCGCTACTGGTCGGCGAAGCAGAGCATCTTCAGGCCTTTTGTCGTGTACGCCACGGGGTCCTCATTCGACAGCGGAGGAGCAGAGGTGCCGTCGTCGGTAATATCTCAGTGCAAGGTGTGTCTGGCGGCGTGTCGAGCTTTCCTTCACGGAGCGGGATATCTGCTCATGGAGAGGACGCCGTACACGTATAGCTCGCTGCAGTTGTAAGTAACGGACATTGATGAAAAACAGGCAGTGAAAGTAGCCGTTGGAGATGAAGCTGACCAGTGTTGACTCCAGCTCTCTGAACTGTTTCTTGGTGCTTGCCCTGGCCGCAAATTCTCCGCATCTCAGCCATCTCGCGGCGGATATCGATGCAAGTCATCAGACCGTTGTAAAGGTGCTTGAGCCTTGGGCGCGGCCGGGATCAAGCGTTGAACATGCACTGGAGATTGCCAATACCGTTGCGAGAAAACTGCGTCTTGGTGATGATCGACGAAAATATTCATGACATGGTAGGGCGATGGTTACCAGGAGAGTGCAACATATTCATGAGACCTGAACCATACGTGTATTCCATCTTCATGTCTACACTTGGCCGTCATTATTCACAGCCCTTGAGCAGCAATCTCCTTCTCAATGGCCTCCTTTGCCTTATTCTCCATCTCATTGAAGAAAACCTCCACATCCTTCAACCTCTTGCCGGCGATAGGATCGTTCTTAATCGCCTCATCCAGCTTCTCGCCGTCGTTCGCAAGGTAATCCGTCTGCATATCGGCCAGCTTCCCATCCCAGTCCGGACGCGCAAAGGGGTCGATGGTGGACAGCTTGGTGAGGCGCTGCACGGTGGCGAACTCGCCGTAGTTGAGCTTCTCGGGCTTCTTGGTCGTCGGGAGAGGGAGGGTGTCGGGCGTGTCGAGGAGGGTGCGGATGAGGTGCGGGGGGACGGTGACGTGCGGGCAGCCGAGCTCGGCCATGGCCATGATTTCGGCGGGGGTGAAGTGGCTGTTGTTGAAGGGAAGGCTTCGATTTTAGTTTCTTCTTTCTTTCGTGTGTGGGAGTTGTATTGTTCTGTGAAACGGTTCGTGTATCTCGGGGGAGGGGTTGGAGAATTACCTTGCAATGACCATGATGGGCTGTTCTTTGCCGGTTTCGCGGTATGCTTTGGCAAAGGCCTCGAGGATGTGAATTACGCGGGGAGACATGGGATGCTATTCGGCGGTTAATGCATGATACCTTGGTGCCCTCTCATGATTCTTCTGTCTCCTTTATTGCTTCTGATAGGAGGAAACGACATACCTCCAGAGCCGGATCTTCTGTTGTGGGACGCAACGAAGGGTCCAAATGCGCAGCAATTTCTTCATCATGTCAGTCTCGCAATGCCATTCAAGGTTCAGTCATTATCATCATCGCAACACACCATTATAATAAGGACTAATAAAAAGACACCCGCTCTGACTCGCCGCAATTCCCTGCTCCAGCGAAAAGACGCTCGTGGCCAGCGTCCGGATGCCCTCCCTGTTCAGCACCGCAGCAGCGGCGGCGGCGGGACCGGAAAAGGGGATCTTGATGGCGAAGCGGTCGCGGGGGACGCCGGCGGCTTCGTAGAGGGCCGCGAGGCGGCGGGCGTGGGCGAGGGTCTCGGCGGAGGAGGAGACGTGGCGGAGGGAGGTCTGGATGAGGACGCGGCCGGAGAGGTGGGGGACGTTGCGGGCGGTCAGGTGGACTGCCTGTTTTGTTGTTGTTGTGTGAGTGGTTGTGATGGTGATGAGGGTGATGATGATGGATAAGGGGCGGGGCGCTGCTGTGTTGAGTGAGTGAGAGAGAGGAGTTGAGATGGGGTTGAGAGAGAGATTGAGTGAGTGAGTGATGGAGGTTTTGAGTCGGACATACGGCTTGGTCGTAGACTCGTTCCCATCCCTGAGAGCCATACTGCCGAACAAGGTCCTTGAGCAGAGGTTCATCTGCTAGAAGAGCGTTTGTGATGATGGCCTGGTTGGACGTTTCTGCAGCAAGACGAGCCGTTTCATTAGTTCCGCCGTCCCTGACGAATTGACCAAGGGCAAAAAGATGCTGTACGTACGGTTGTGCGGTGTAAAGGGTATGCTCTTGATGACCTCTGTGTCGACATCGTCGACGTCGACGTTGCAGAGCTCTTCGAGACGATGAAGCATTGAGCGAGCCATGGTCGTGGGAGCTGTTTTACACGGATGATGAGAGTTACCTGTCAGCGTAACAATTAGTGCTCTTTTCACAAATGGCAAACAAAAGCAGTAATATATACCTAGCAAAGAAGAACCAAGTTGATCGAAAGTAAAGAATATATGTTTTTATTAAGCTGCCTTACGTGAATGAAGACATCGTCAATCTCGCCTTTCTTTCCCCAGCTTTAATCGTTCCTTTCCCCCGCTTCGGCTCACTTGCTGCATTAGTTCGTGCATTTCAGCCACCGAATGCGCAGTACGACGCCGGCGGGCCGCCGTTCCGCTTCGTTGCCTGGAGATGTGGGTTGGCGGGCCGCCGTTCCGCCTCACGTATTGCAGGATGTTGAAGCTGTGAGTTGTCCACCTGACGATCCCATCTGATCCTTTTACATAACATTTAATTAGTAACATGACTGTTTTAGTAGATGAATTGAGTAAAGACGCGTCTGATATCTTGAATGGGAAGCTTACAAATTGAGAGGTAGTTATCGTGGCTTCGGTTATTGTAGAGTCTAGACTCGGGCTTTGACAGAAACATACGATAGCAATTGTCTATAGGAAGTTCAATTGGAGACGAGCCGTCATGGGGTTTTCTTATAAATCAGGATATCTTATGCAGTGCCTCTGGATAACTGGGTAAGAACGGGAACCACCAGGCGGCTGGCGGCAAATGGGGCCGCCGACGAGAAACGACCGTGTAACAGTTAACACTGGCATTCTGGACATATATCTTGGAAGTATATAACTTCAACTCATGACGCAAAGAATTATCGTACATCCATCAACAGAGTATCAATCATCTGCAGAAGCACAAAAGTCACCATGGGTTCCACAGAGCCAATCACAGATCCATCTCTCTTCACCATCACCACCCCAAGCCTCTTCTCCCTCAACAACCGAACAATCATAGGCAAGCTTTCTCAGACTCTCTCCCAAGAGTTCTTTCAATAACACTGTACTCAACCAGTGACTGGTGCTACTGGCGGTCTTGGCTCTCAACTCACCAGAGCCATCCTCGAGTGCGGCGGCGATGTCATAGCCATTGATGCCCACGAGATTCCTCTAGCGACCACATGGGGTAAACAGTCCTTCTCCTTCAGCCAAAACCCGGCGGTACACGAGACATTTCACTGACAAAAGACAAATACATGTAGAACCCCTCAAAGCTCTCGCAAAATCCCTCTCCCGCACCCTTGTCTACCATGCCTGCGACATCACCTCCCCGTCTCTCCTCGAAACGACCTTCCAAACCGCCGCCTCCGAAGTCCAGCATCCTCTCCGCGGCTTAGTCAACTGCGCCGGCGTGGGCACCGTAGGCGAATCCATCAACTATCCCGAGTCACAGACGCGACAAACCCTCGACGTGAATCTCGCAGGAAGCTTGTACGTGGCGCAGGCGGCGGCCAAGGTTGTGAGAAGGCAGTTTCAAGAGGGGAAGAGTCTGGGGGCAAGTTTCGTGTTCATAGCGAGTATGAGTGGGTATATTGCTAACAAGGTGAGTCGTCTTCCCAACCTGGTGTGCCCATTCGAAGGCAGCCATCACTGATTTAATCATACTCAACTTTGTTCCAGGCTACTCCTACTGCAATCTACTGTGCCTCCAAAGCCGGCGTCCACCAACTCACCCGCTCCCTCGCCGCCGAATGGGGCTCTCCATCTTCATCCTTGGCTTCATTCTCATCATCCCTAGACGACGCAGCAGCCTCTTCAGGTCCAGTCATCCGCGTCAACTCCATCAGCCCAGGCGTCATCTCCACACCAATGACCCAGCAAGTGCTCGCCCGTCAAGATTGGACGTCGACATGGCAGGAAGAAGCCATGCTCAAGCGCATCTCCACACCGGACGAGTATCGCGGGGCCGTTGCTTTCCTCCTGGGGGACGCGAGTTCGTATATCACTGGAACGGATCTGCGGGTTGATGGAGGATCGACAGGGTGGTAAGAACAACAACGCAGAATAAGTAGACTCAATTTGATCTTGAAAAAATTACCTTGATCCATATCTAAGTGTTGACTTGAGTGGCTTGACATGTGATTTATCCAGGTTCGCTCTCATGCTCTCCGTCATTGGGCTCCCTCATTCCCCGAATCACAGGCCGCCTCTTCCAGTGCAACACCTATCAACAAGCAATTAGCAGGCGAAGGAAACACCCGCGTCATATTTAGAAACAGACCGGGACCTACCCGTAGATAGACCCCCACATACAGCGCCAAAAGCACCGCATACCCGATCCTCCTGAGGAAAAACATCCTTGATCCCGAGAACACGCACGAGAATGCTCGAGAAAGAGAGCACGGACCAGATAGACACAGGGCCTCGATGGCAGCCAAGCAATTCAGATGTCCCGTATCATCTTGCAGGACTTCCAAAGTAAACAATGATTAATAAGATGATATTTACTATGGTATTGAGGCTTGAACTGAGGCAACATGTGATATGTCGCGTCATCACGTGACGCAACGTCTTGAGTCCTTTCGCCAACTCCGATCGTTGCGAGAGCGGTTGGACATCAGCTGCCCTCGGACTCCGGAAACCCGCTGTGCATAGGTACCTCCAGTAAACCTCCTTTCAACACAGCATCTCGTTTATTGCCCTTACGCGTTGCCGTGAGCGCGGCAGAGCCGGCAGTAACTACAAGCGATGAGAATCCCGTAGCGGCTCCCCTTACGGCCTTCAGGCAAAGGGGTTCCGATTCCCGCCGCATACGGCCCTGATGCTCGTACAACCACTTTGCAACGAGACTATAGGAAAGGAGAGCGGTGATGAGGCAAGTAAACAACGTTGACAACTCCGCTTTAGGGGTACATCAGGATATAATAATTAGCCTGTTCAAAGTTGTATACTTGAAGAAATTTTAGCAATTACAGGTATAATAACCTGAAACATCAGCCTGTCGAGTACACGTAATTAGCCTGTTGCAATAAACCTGAAGCATTCAACTCTGGCAATAGGCTGTTGTTCATTTCCTGTTGGCATCGCATGCCGCTTACAGCTGTTTATAAAAGACCATGTAGTAACCAGCTATATCAATCGTCTTAACATATGTTACCATCCATACCTGTGTGTTGCAGAGCAGCCTCTAACCAATATCTCGAGACTTGAGTGCTGCAATTAATCGATCTGGTCATCTACTCCGTGTCTTCTCTGTGACTTATTGTTAAACATGAAGTCTACTCTGTTCATCGGCTCGCTTATTGTGGGCTCTGCTTCCGCATACAAGGCTACCACCACTGTAAGTACCAGGTTGACAACGTTTGCTTAACTTCGACTAACTGAGAGACACAGCGCTATTACGATGGACTGGAGGGCGCTTGCGGATGCGGCTCAAGCTCTGGCGCATTCCCGTGGCAGGTAAGCATTTAATCGTTGTCTGGACGATAGGGCTCGTCACTTACACCCTTTTCTACAGCTTGGTATCGGCAACGGAGTCTACACGGCTGCTGGCTCTCAGGCCCTCTTCGACACGGCCGGTGCTTCATGGTGCGGCGCGGGCTGCGGTAAATGCTACCAATTGACCTCGACGGGAGAGGCGCCCTGCTCCAGCTGCGGTACGGGCGGTGCTGCTGGCCAGAGCATCATCGTCATGGTCACCAACCTGTGCCCGAACAACGGAAACGCGCAGTGGTGCCCGGTTGTCGGTGGCACGAACCAGTACGGCTACAGCTACCACTTCGACATCATGGCGCAGAATGAGATCTTTGGAGACAACGTCGTCGTCGACTTTGAGCCCATCGCCTGCCCGGGCCAGGCCGCCGCTGACTGGGGAACTTGCCTCTGCAATGGACAGCAAGAGACGGACCCCACGCCCGTTCTCGGCAACGACGACAGTGGCTCGCCTCCTCCCTCCGGGGGCTCGCCGCCGGCGACCTCATCGAGCCCGCCATCGGGGGGCGGCGGCGGACAGCAGACGCTCTATGGCCAGTGTGGAGGCGAGGGCTGGACGGGTCCCACGACGTGCCAGGCTCCAGGCACCTGCAAGGCCCAGAACCAATGGTACTCCCAGTGTCTTCCTTGATGAAGCAGGCCTGACATAGCCAAGTCTCTGTTTCTGGCGTCGAATCGAACCTTTTTTCGGCATCAATTCTATCTGTCTATAATTGTGTAGTGTGTTTACCTTCAGAAAGTATATAAATCTTTGACCTAGCATAGGTAGGCTTTCAATTGGCACGTGTCTACAATGTTCCGTTAGACCTGAAAACGAAACCAGATCGCTCCAAGTTGAAAACCCCAAGTCTCCGAAAGTGGCAGCCTGAATTTCGATGAAGGGCTTGTGGGACTCCGAACTTTCTAATACCTCTGGGCCCGGTGCTCGGACCCCTATTCTTGTTGCAGTAGCGTTCCTGTTGGCCAAATGGAGCACATATCGTAAGCATCGCTTAGATCAGGAGATCTGTAGACTATCGCCTCAGCGCCACGGACTTTTGCCGGCACTTGCAATTGGGGTTTATTCTTCCGTACGATCCCATTAAAGCTCCCGAGCCTTGAGTCCCGTTAGACCGCAGTCCAGTCAGCTGTCAGCCCTCTTTTTTTTCGCCTTGTCCTTCCTCCTTTGGCCTTGACCGAAATCCTCATGGGCTCACACTCTGGATGCCCGACGCTCCGCTTTCAAGGCCGATACGCCGCTTATACTGCTAAAGTCCGGGGCTTGCTCTTCATGAACGAAGGGTGGCCGCGTGTCAACCATGAAGTGGTTTCTCTAGATACGTGCTGCTTGTGGTATGCTGGAACTGTCTGTTAGGGCAAAGAAGTTCCATACTTTTGTAAAGAGTTAAGTGTTGAGCATAAGTAGAAGTCTCCAAAGCTCATTTTCCTTTTGACTCCCTTTTTTCCTCTTATGCAGCGGGACATAGATTCGTGGCATACATAAGGCGTAGAATGGTGTCGTATGCGATTGATGGGTCTCTATCCTCTCCATTCGCCTTCGCCCGGTGGAGTGCCTTCAATTGCTGACGACAGTCATGACTGCTATTCCCTATAGCGCAGGTGCACACCGCAAACGGTGTTTTGCTTACCGGGAATACCAAGAGTAGTACTATCTCGTGAGAAATGTTCGTCCCAAACGGTGAGACCCCTTGTATACTCGGTGTTAGCGCCGCAGAAACTCCACGTCCACGGAAGTTGTGATATACTCAAAAACGGATACATCATTCCATACGAACAACCGGACTTTGAAAGAGAAGGCATAATTACTTTCCTTCAATCAGTTGACACCGTAAGAGCAAGGGTGTTGTCGAATCCGATGAGCAACAGAATGGATATCTCCGGTTCTAGACTCTTCCTACATCCTGTCCACGATATATAAGTTCGCCATGATCCACGAGCTCTCCGTTGCACAAAAACCACATCACTCCAACCACTCCAACCATCCATAACCAGTCACCAATCAGTCAAAACAATATCACCATGCACTTCTCAACTGCCTCCTTCCTCGCGGTCCTTACCGCCTCCTTTGCTGCCGCAGACCAAATGCAGATCAACTTCTACAGCGACTCCTGCAGCTCCTACGAGGGTCAGGTCGACGTGAGCTGGGCGACCGAACTGTACGGCGGACCTGACAACTGCTACAACTACAATTTTGGCAGCTGGGCAAACATTGCCGACTGCTACGAGAGCGGCTGCCTGTGCAACTTCTTCAGCGATCAGAACTGCGGAGGAGGCAGCATCGGACAGGCTACCAACGGGGGCAACTGTGTTTACGTGCAAAATGCTCATTCTTTTGCATGCTACTACCAGTAAGGTAACTACGAAAAAGCGTCACAATTTGGATCGGTTGTGGTGGTACGGGATACGTTGGACTAGGACGGTCATCGGCGTCACGATACGGGATAGGCTGAAATAGAAGGAGAATCAGCGTTATGTTTGTATTGCGAAGATGTAGACCGACCAGCCAACCAATAGAAAGTCGACCCCAGCTGACAGATTTTGTCCTGAATCTACCTTGATGCTCTCTACGGCTGTGTGACGAAGGGGCACATTGAGGTTCCCTCTGTAGCCTGCCTATTTCTCCTTGAATCCCATATAATAGCCATTTCCACTACACCAAAGATATGCAAACGACGCAACTACAACACTTTAAAAGTTGTCAGCTACGTAGACAGAGAAATTCAACACTAATTGTATCTAGGATATAGGAAGACTAAGTATTGAAAAAGTTTGAAGACGGGCCAAGCCGGCCTCATAGCGGTACGCCCGGCCAGAGATCCCTTGAATATCTCTTTGAGAAGCATAGCAGAAGTCCACATCTGCCTGTAGCCTTGAGCTTTATTACTTTAGGTTGCTCATTGAAGAGATGTTGGCAGTCTGTACGTGGAAGGCTGTCCCTTACTATGACCGCGAAGAAAGACAAGACTTGTCCAGAGAACTGCTTCTGAAGTATGTAGATAATAGTAGATTCACTACATGTTTCACTATGTTCGACCAGCTTATAATAAACTCACTTGGGTACGTCCGTTGTTTTCGACGATCTCTGAGGAACCCTCCGCCTGGACGGAGTGCAAGATGATACTCTATGCCGACTAATAGATTTCCTTCAAAAACATCAGGAGGCTATTGCAGAGAGTCCCAATATAACTGGTTCCAGAGCACCTCAAAAGCCAACCTATTCAATATCTTCGATACACCTGAAATAAAAATCCCAACCTCGCCACTCAAAGGGGGTTATGTCAGGCTCAGGAACCCAAACAACACCCAGCTCTTCCGCAGCAGGTTTGCTCGCATCACCTGCCTGAGAAAGATCAGATAGGACCTGACCCATTCTGTCAACCCAGTAGCCGTCCCAAAAAGCAATCATACTATCAAGTCCATCCGTAGCTGCATCAAAGGCCTCGAAGGCGTGGGCCTCAAACTCCTCCACCAAGAGCTCCAGTAGCTCTGATAGCTCGGCATACTCATGTTGAATATCTTCAATCTCCTCTGCAACCAGCTCATGCACATATCGCGGCTGAGATATACGTATGCATGTATGCGCGATTCCGAGAGCTTGGAAGGTGGTAAACCGTATCGCAGCCTGATAGTGCTCCCTTTGCAGAGCGTTGCCGTACTCTTCTAAATACGCAGTAAATCGGGCGGCGATCTCGAGTTCGTCATTCCGCAACCCCATTTCCTTCATCCTTTCCACAAACGGGGTGCAACCTCCGGGCGAGCATAGGCAGTGGCAGCCATCGACCGAGCGGTCGGATAACATTCGCTCTTCAAGCACACGCGCCACCTCTTCATCGCTTTCCTCTGCACATCTGTTCCCTGCGCCGCAGCCACACAAAATTGCGAGTATGAACGCATCTGCAATACGGCCGTTCCCGGAAATACCCCAAAGCACTGCCCATTCGTAAAGAGGAGCATCATGATCCAGCAACCATTTTACAAAGGGTAGGCTCATATCAAGGTACCACTCATAAGAAGTTGGCCTCGACTCCATAGGCTTGTCCAGGCGAGCTGACATATCGTGGAACCCCAGGCCGAAGTAGATCTCAGCATCTTCGACGGTGGATAGTTCATGATAGATGGACCCGTTGTCATTGAACGTTGATTCTCTCTCGAAATATGTGGACAAAGGGCCAAATTCAATATATCCTCTGTGGCGAAGAATTTCATCAACTTGCATAGCATATATGTCAAGTACGGCCGGCCGGCGCAAATTGAAGCCGTTGATTTCTCGAGGCGAAAGGTATTGTAGCGCAATAGATTTCAACCTCTGGCGACGTTGCAATAGCGACTTAGCCAAGTAGACTCTGCAATGCTTCGAGGCAGAGGCAAGCGTTTGGTCCCCGAAGCTGCAAAAGTCTCGATAAGGTATAATGGGGCATCCGCCTTCCAACAAGATTCTCAGGGGGAGTGTGCATCCACACGAAGTCTCATCTTCGCCTTCTCGTTGGCTGCAACGAAATTTAGTGAGGGCAATAGCACAGCCAAGGACCGTACGGCCACTTGTGTCGCTCTGGGCTAGATGGCGTGGGTTGGACCTTTCGACTAGGTTCCGCATGCACTCTGGATTGTTCAGGGCCATGTGAAGAGGAGTCCAACCCGAAAAGTACCCTATTTCATCAAGGTATTCTGGATGCTTTCGTACAAGACGGTGGGTTTGATCTTGATCGTTTAACAAGACCGCCGCTGATAGAGGATCGTGATATACTTGTAATGCGATAAGTCATTGGAAGGAGGGTGATGACAACGTGCAATCTCGGGTCACGTACATTCAGCTACTCTTGGGATTGTAGTAAAGAATTCCAAACAATGGTTGAGCCACTGCGGTTTTTCCCCAAAGACAATCCAAACTTGTCCCTTTATAGCATCGATGGCTGCATCTTCTGGGTAGAACGCTGCGGCGAGAGGCACTGAAAAGTGTATCGAATGCATCGCAATCCCGAATGCCTGGCTTTTCGAACATTTTCATGTCAGTTGAGACAGTACCATAGGTACTCAAGGGTTCATTGGATTTGATTTGGATGCCTGCTCACTTACTTTCCGCGCAAGTCTCGCAGCGATGCCGGTACCTGCATCTTAACAAGAAATCCAGCCACTTGTGCGATGGGTGAGGAAAAGGCGTCTTCAGTGTTATGGAGCCAAGTATCATGTCCTCGAGACTGTTCCAAGGTTAGAATTCCCGGTAATTGTTGAGTGTCGTGGAGCATTCTTTACTTACCACCTCAGCTGCGGCATGGAGTAGAGATCGGTTGTCCGAGTCAACATCCTTCGCGTCCGCTTTACCCAATCTGAAGAGAGTTTCAAGCTTCCGAATTGCTGCGAGAGCAAGCCGTTCCCACTGAGCTTGATATTCGCTTTGCTTCCAACGCTGTCGTTGCAATATTTGCGCACATGTATCTAAAACAGATATGACACGGAAGGCTGGGGATGTGTTCCGATCAACGGTTGCGTAAAATCCGAGACTCGAGCCAAGGCTGTGTCCACCTGCGCCAGTAGTCGTGTAAAAGGTGATGATGATGGCGGTTTTCAGAAAGCCCGCGAGCTTCAGGCGTCGGAGCCGGCTCCGCCCATGACCAGATTTTCTGAAGTACTTGCAGCCTTTGTAGTGCTCAAACATGAGTACTTCGGCGTCCCAAAAGGTCCATGACCACCACGAGACTCGCTTACTCCTGTAAATTGATCGCTGGCGACAAGGACACGAGCTCGCCTTGACCGTTGGGGCTTTTTGGAGGGGGTTGATGGTGGGAGTTGCATTAAGATTATTCAGGCTGTCACACAGCAACGCCAAGTTACTTTGCTTAGAGACGAGCCTGTAGACGGAGATTAGGGGATCGGGCTCATCAGTCACTGCTGACACTGCTGTTAAGCCATGTTGGAATCGATCCACTAAGCCGTCTAGTTTTGCATGCAAGCCGCTCACACTTCCGCTGAGGGCATCGTTTGACTGCGTACTCTGCCGATAGAGCTCTTGGACTTGAGCGAGCTGCAAATCCGCTTTCATGCTGATGAGAGGCGGTATTGATTCAACAAGGTCCTGCATCGTAGACATTTGCTTTTGAATAGGAGAAACAAGATCCCTCAGTGCGGAGACATTGGAGACAAGTGCATCAAGGCTGAGTGATGCCTGCCCAGATGCTTCTTGAAGTTCGCTCAATTTGCTTATTGCCAACTGGCTGTAACGCCTGTCCAAAGTTTACCAAGTCAGTGCGTCATAAATCAATCAACCAGGAGAGTAGCTTCCTCACAGCCCGAGGTTTTGGAGAGCTAGATTGAGGTTCTCTTTGATCACCCCGAGTGACTCTTGAAACCGATCTATATCTGGCTTCCGCAGCGGATACTTCAACTTTGTAGCTTGTTGTAGCATCTTGTCTTGCGGGCGCGCATTGGGTGGGAGGTTATCCGAGAAGCGTGCTATCAGCTGCTTTAAGCTGCTGAGCTCAGCTTCGCACGTCTGCATAGAGCTTGAAACGTGAGCAGCAGCTGAAGATGTCGAAGGATCCAAGGAGTCCTGTGCTAGGGACTGACTGAGAACCCGAAACACGGACTCCAGGGCTTGCGCCTGTCGGTTGATAGAAGCGAGATCCTCATCTCGATGCTTGAGAGAGCTGATGTAGGTCGCGATGGCGGAACAGGCCTGGACCCCTGACGAGGCGACACCGGCGAAGTCGGTCATTGTCAGGCTCTGTCGCGAGGAAGATGGATGAGCTGCTTGAAGGACTATCAAAGAGAGAATAAGTATGGGCGAAAGCAAGCTGAGATCTTATTGATTTGAACACTTGGAGCCGGGGGAGGAGTAAGGCATACCTAGTACTCCATGCAGACATCTGGACTGTGGCAGTGACTGCTGGTTAACCGCCCAACGTACCCTCATTCGTGAAACAATTTCTGCCTAACGCCACCAAATGAATATGGCTGTACCAGGCAGCCTCACAGTATTAGAGCGCAGAGAGGCTGTATCGCTAAATGGTGATGGCATGCATTGTCGTCGGGCAGGCCAATCAAAACAGCAGAGCCATATGCACGATGCTTCCTCCCTCCATATCGGTGCGTAGAATCGACCATGCGTGTCAATGTAGGAGTGGCTACTTCGTACAGGCCTGATGCTTGCTTGGCGTTTAACTGGACGACATTGTCTGATCGACCACAGGATCTTGAAGGAGGCTGACCATTTGAACGCACCTTCGAATAGCTGCTTCAAGCTTTGGTTGAACACATCTTAAGGTCACCAAGGACCGTGAAGGTAATACCTACCTATACTTGGTGGCGATGCATGTGATGCCCAAACGACTACCTACGTTTTTAAACTGTTGATTCAGTACCACTCAAAGAACGGAATCTCGCAACTCCAAATCAGCAAAAAAACCACTGCCTAGATGTGACCGTGCGTGTCCCTGAGACTCAGAGACAAAAGAGTAAACAGGGTTCAAATCCATTTGTAACTCTGCCTCGTCAACACATTAATCATACACGATCCTTGGAGCTACCGTATATAAGCCCTCCGCCATACAAGTCCTCCATACTCATTCTCATACCCATGATCCTGCTCATCCCATTCGTACACGCATATTTTCATGGCGCGTTCAAACTTCCCATGTCCACCCAGAGACTAAAGACGGTGAGAAACAAAAGTCATTCAAACACTCCAGTCTAAGGTATATAATCTAGTCCTTGAAACCAGCACCGTATTCCGTCCCCACGGTGGCCTCGTCGTCATCATCATCCTCAATGCTCGTCCTCCGCTGCGCCTCCCGGACTTCTACCGCCCGCTCAGGCTCGTCATCCCTCTCTTCCGTCGCGGGGCCTTCGCCTTCGCCCTTCTGCTCGTCCTTGCTCTCTCCGCTCTTGTCTTTATCCGCCCGCGAGCCAAAGGGCCACAGGCCGCTCAAACCACGGCTACTTTCCCTTGGCGGGTGAACGGCAAGAGGCTTCAGCACCGCGTTGTCTTCGTCCTGCCCCTCTCCACTCTTTTCCTCCTCTGCCATGGCAAAGTCCCCAAATTCCTCCTCGTCGTCAGAGTCATCATCCTCCAAACCGCTTCTCTTGCCAACAACGCCTCTCCACCATGCTCCACGGCCCAGGTTGTTCGACATGTCATCGTCCAAGTCATCGTCCAAGTCACCCTCGCCGTCGCCAAAGGGGTCTTCGAGGTTGTCGTCATCATCGTCATCGTGGTCATCGTGAACTGTGGCCGACGAGGCCTCTGCAGCTTGGTTGTTCTTCTGATGCATCGCCAACCGCGCCGCGAGCTGCAGCCGAGCTCTAGAGGGCGGAATGTTCAGCGGCGGCGGCGGTGGTGGAGGAGGCGGGATGGACGGCGGAGCCATGGATCCCTGTTTCTGCACGTCAGTCAGAGATCGGAACTAAGCCCTCGTGATCAGCACAGAGGGCTTCCCGAAACGAAGCAAGGAATGCAGGGGAATAGGGGGGCGAGGGAAGAGGAAGAGGAAGAGGGAAAACAAGGGAAATGGAAATGAGCGTTGGCTGTTGATCAAAGTCCCTAAGGCTGACAAATGGTGCATGATAACATCTGCTCTCCCTCCCTGCGTTTTGGTTGCGCTATTCTCCTCAAACAATGCTGCGAAACAATGACATCTTCCGAAAATCGCGTCCCCTGGCTTTCTTGTTCTTCTTTCAATGCGCTATCCACAAAACAAACAGGCTGTCATCTGACTTCGCCGCATCTTATCCACATGGTCCAACGAAAAGGAAAAGAAAACAAAATGCCTCAACGCCCATTCGTATATAATGCATCCTTCACGTTCCCTCCGCGCTTGCCAGCAGTCTGGCGAGATATTCCAGCTCAATGATGTACCTCTCGGGAGCTCCATTGTTCGGGCCCGAGGGCCGTGGCGCAGCAGGGGCTCCAGGTGTCTCTTTGGTATCATCGTCGTCATGATGGGGACCCGACAAGGCGCCAGTTGAAGCTGCAGATTGTCCCTCCTCCTAAGAGAAATCCAGCCTTCTATTCGTGCCCTGGCCTGGGTCCCGCCTCTGAATCCATCCCCCTTCCTCAATCACCATGATGTCCTGACCCGGTTCATCCAGGTCAGCATCTGCTTCCAAACCGGCCATTGCGTCTGGAGAGCCCGCTCTGATCGGTTCAGGAGACATCATGATGACATCCTCGGGTGTGTATGTCATGCCCATTGTCGCCTCAGGAGACTCGTTGCCATGCTCATCGGAAGAATCAAAACTCACCTCAGAATTCACTTCCTCTTCGTCACCGTCACCCTCATCCTCGTCTTCGTCGCTACTGCTTCCAAATCCAGACATCAGAGTGCCCGCGCTGATCGCAAAAGGACCGATTCCGTTTCCGTCTCCTTCGTTCATCTCCATGCCGCCATTGAGGCCAGCCTCTGCCAGGGCGTTTGATGCGCTGGCCGAGTTTCCAAGGCCCGACAATCCGATGCCACCCAATCCACTGCCGCCCAGGCTGACTCGATGTCCCATAGCCACCTCAGGTCGGACGCCACCCAGAATGGCATTGTCTCGCTCTCTCGTTTCCGCAAGAGCGCCCTCGACATAGTTGATCCAGTCTTGGCTCATAACCTTGTCCAGGACCGTCTCTGACAGGAGCTCCGGGGGGTGGCGTTCGGTGAACTTGACAACTTCCTCGGCAATGAGCGTGAGGTGGCCCATGTATCCCATACGCGTCTTAGTCTTGGCCTGAGATTCGTCACTAGCCTGCTGGCCCTTGATAATGGCGGTGGTGATGTCGGCAGCCTCGAAGAGTGAAACGGCCAATGTCGGGTTGTAGCCCCGGTCCATCGGACCATTGAACACTTGCTGTACAATATCATACACGACGTTGTGGAGGAAGTTGTTCCACGGGTATGCGAAAAAGAAGGACTGTCTGATGTTAGAGGCGGGCTAGGAGAACCTGGTTTGATGCAAAGACCACACTTACCAAAATCGCTGGAACGACGCGATACTCGACAAACTGCATCTTGAGATAGTCTCCTACAACAGCTTCGCCCGTATCGCTCGTAGGCTCTCCAGAATTCTCCCCAGATGCGGCAAGGATGGGTTCAGGACCCTGGGGCGGTGTGAATGAGCCATCGCGAGGCGGCTCTTGGACACCAGAGTCAGGCGCGAGAGGAGCTGAGAAGAGAGGGGCCGGGGTATCTTCAGGATGGGGGGATAGGCCACGAGACTTGTCAACTTCGTCGGGAACCAGCTCGCCAGCGGCAGAGGTGGCCTCTTGCGGAGCGCTGGGCGCAGATGCGCTCTTCATCGTGTCGTCATCCCTGGGCAGCGGTGAGGGCTGCAGCCCAGGCTTTTGAGCTTCGGGGTGGGATGAAGAATCAGTTGCAGATGGTTCCGCGACGGCTGCATCAGCTGCTCCAGGAGTCTCTATTATGATGGGCCCTGAGAGAACAGTCGAAAGGGACTGAGACTCGTGCTCCTCTGCAGCAGCCTTGACCTGTTCCTCGCTAACAGTAGGGTTCTCTATCTCGGCTTGAGCCAGGTCGGCAGCCTTCTGCTTGGTGGGCGAAAGAGGCGCAACAACAAGATCGGGTTCTTCAAAGCGCTGCTCGTTGATGCTGGCCGTGGCCACTGCCAACCGAGGAGAGCTCAGCGGCTCGTCGACGAATTCCTCCTCGTCCTTTTCGAGGAAAGAAGATGAAGACGGGTGTGCGGCGATGTCGTCCTCGGCCTTGACAAACTCGTGGGAGGTGTCCTCGTTCATCTCACTGGTAGGCTCAACCTCTTCAAAGCCATCGTCGTCGGCATTAGTGACTTCGAGGCGGCGAACCTCCTCCTGGTGGGCGGGGTGGGGAATTCGCATCGTCAAATCATCGGCAGATCCGTCCTCGTCGCGGGGCGAGAGCTTGCCCTCGGCTCGGAGGCGCTGTCGCTCAAGGTCGCGGTGTGCAATCAGCTGCTCGGAGCCGGGTTCGTTGAGCAAGCCCATGTTACTGCAGTGCAGCAGCTCCGCCATGAGCTCGCAGGTCTTGAACCTGTCGAATCCGAGAGGCTCAAGCTTCTCGTTGAACGTCGAGTTGACGCTCTGCTTCTTGGACGGCTCGTTCATGATGAGATTCATGAAGTTGGGCACGTTTTGGGCAAACAGGCGCAATAGAGTACCAAGGTAGATCGGGTCCCGACTGGAGGGCGTGGTGTTGGCTTCCGTTCCGACGTCGGGATCGTAGTCCGAGTTGTTTTTCCGAATCACCTCGATGATGATGCCGACGCCAACAGTCAAGGGATTGCCGCCACCGAGCATATAGCCGATGAGCTGCTCGACACAGGGTTTCGAGACAAGCTGACGAGTGAGCTCGTTAGGGCCGATGCACTGCTGCTCATTCTGCGAGGCGTTGGCGGAGATGGTAATGATGGCCTTGATGAAGTCGCTCGCGGCCGTCTGCACAACCCAGCTGTGCTCAGGGCCGAGGAAGGAGAGGAGAGTTGGAATAATGTCCTTGGAATACAACCACTGTAAATGGTTAGAATAGACGAAGCGAAATCAAGCAAGCCTGAGAGATGTCCCAAAAGGGGCATAACCAACCTCAACCACGCCTTGTCCGCCTTCTGTGCGATCAAGGGCGATGATTTTAAGCAGCAGATCCATAATCATGGGGCACTCGACGTGCCTCAGCATGTCCGGGATGACGTTGGGCAAGCTCCAGAGCAGTTCCATCATCTCCTCCGTCTTCTTCTCAAAGAGCGATTCGTTGACCTTGGTAAAGTAGCTCGCCTGAAGAGGGTCGAGCGGCGCGGGTCGAGAGAGGAAGTTCCAAAAGTCACGGATGAGCTGCCGGTTCTCGACGAGGGCCTCGTATATGGACCATGTATCGGAGCTCAGTACCTCGCAGGCAACGTGAGCATAGCGATTGCGCTTCTTGTCCAGCTCGTCATCGTTCTCGCCGGGATCGGTAGCGCGCGACGAAGCGCGAGGGCGCGAGAAGGGCAGCAGACGGCCCTTGGTCTTGATGTCATCATCGGCAGGCTCCTCAGCACCCTCAACAGCCTCAAGCTTGGGGGCAATGGTATACTCGAGCAGCTTCTCGAGCACCTTGTCCTCGCGCAGGAACTCAATGAGCTTGGAGTTATGCTGCTTGAGCTCCTGTATCAGATCGGCCTCTTCGAGAAGCTCTTCGAGGGTGAAGTCGGGCTTGTCGAGGATAGTGTCGATGGTCGAGATGTTGGCGTAGCCGCCAAACCTCCAGAACATGGTGGCGGATCGATGCTACCGCGCCGGGCGAATGATGATCGCCGGCGAAGGAGCAGATGGAGGCGTGGGGGGGAGGGATGAAGAAGGGAGGGCTTGAGGCCGGCGAAACAGGGTGGTCGAGCTCCAAATACCAGCGACAGGCTCAGCAGTGGTCGATTGGAAGCTGCGGTTAGAAACTGTGGCCACGTCAACTGGGGGGGGCCAGCGGCAAGGATGAGCGCCAAAGAAAGGCCTGTCTGTCCCGAGACCGGACGAGAAAAGAAGAAATATGAAGGGGAAGACGTAATAGAGATGGAAGGAAGAGAAAGAGAGAGAGAAAAGAGACCGGGGAGGCCAGCCGATTAGATAAGATGCAGATGCAGATGGTCAGAAACAGCGTCCCGTCAGAGGCAGTCACAGGAACCGGCGGGCGAGTGAATCAGAAGCAGGCGAGCCGGGAAATTGCCGCTGCTGCTGCTGCTGCTTGCTGGTCGTCCGGCCCTCGCAGATGCTCGCAGGCGGTCGTCGCACGTCGGACTCTGGCAAAGGCCTCGAGAAGGCAAAACGCTGTGCGGGTGCGGGTTGCAAGTGGGAGGGCGGTGGAGGGGGTTTGGCCTGGTTGGGATCAGATTGAGTCGCTGTGGGGAGGCTGCCGCGATAAAAGAGGGTTGAGACTCGCGCCTTGTCTTATCTCATCCAGGTACGCAGTACTTTGCGTGCAAGTCGCTGCCGGGTGCTGCCGGTCACAGCTGCGGCGAGAGTGCAGTGGAGTTCTGCAGCTGCGGTTACCGAGCGAGTACCTGCGTTGGGCCCCAAAAAATGTACCTTGCAACATTTATCGACAGGCACGCGCAATGCCTTGACAGAAACACCAGACAGCAGGGCAAACGGCGACAAGCAATGCCTCAGGCAGGATACGCTACAATCCCTACAGCTACAGCTCTCGAAGATCCCTACCTACTTGCCTGCCACCCAAGTAAACACCTCGAGTGACTGTAATATGTAGTGTGCATGTATGTATGACATGAAAGGCCGCGCAGCAGGTCACCGTACATGGAGCAGAGGAGCCTGAGAAAGTGGCCAAAGCCCGATCAGGGGGGCCCTGTCGTCAGTGATCCATCCATGACGCTGCATGCCAGCACGGAACACACATACAGGCGAACCGAGGCCGGACACTTGCTGTACATACGAGTATCATTGAGTACCTAGTATACAAACGATGCGAACGACTGCGGAAGGCTCGCGCAATCCTCCGTACAGCAGCACTGTCTCGGCTGTTGGCAGCATATATTGTATGTTGTATAGCCGTCGGTTCATGTTGTCGTAACCAAGGCACAGTAAGAAGAGATGTACAGCAGCACATTTCAAGCATCACAACCTGCATATGGCTCTCAGCACATCATCTTTCCACGACCCGAGTGAACAGGAGCACCCATCTGCCCATTCGTCTGCAGCCTCATGAACTTGGCAAGCTTTCACTTCAGCATCCTCCCGGTGGCACCTTGCTCTACCAAATTGGGTCATTCCCCGGTGCAGGGTAGCCACATGCCTCGAGCTGTTACACAACGTCCCGATGGACTCAGATGCCATGAGGGTCTCTTCATCTAGGTAGCACACGACGAACGTAGCAATGACAAAGAAAGAGTAAATCGTGACAATAACCAATCTTCATAATGGCCCCTCGTGCATTGCGATGGTGATGATTCAAGCCATGGGTCCACCACGGTGAATATACCGTAGCATACAGGCATTAAGCTCCAATGGCCGCAGGCTCCAGATAGTATCAGCTCCCTGAGACTCGTGCCACCTGGTTATCGTGCCAGATTGTAGGGTAAAGTGTCTCCTTGTGTCAAGTAAGGTAGTAAGACTCGTCTTTATTTCCAACATACGCGGACTCCTTCATAAATACACTCTCATCTTCTCGTCTCCCTTGTCCATTCAAGCCAGGTTTTTGTCTAGATAGGTAGCTCCAAAGGCCAATTTACCCAGGCAAGCCAGGGGTAACACAAATGCCAATAGCCGGCACCCCAATGTACTGAAGAGAAGAAGACGAAAATAAATCTGACAATACCATACGCTATGCCGTTTCGTTAAACCATATTCACAAGGTGCAGTCCTCTGTCGAGTTCCACCCGTACTGCCTTGATCTCTGCCATGTCCTTCAGCAGCACACCTCGCCACCAGCTGTACCAATCTGCCACCTCCGCAAGGTCCGCTTCGTCAAGTGCAAGCCATTCTTGTAATCTGCTGCTCCACATTGGGAACATGTCCTGAACCAGAACCTCTGCCAGGACGGCATCGCCAAGGACCTGATTCCACTTCAAGATGCCAACCAGAACGGGGAGATACAGTTCTTGTTCTGCTGGGTCGACGCGGAAGTTGGTCCGCAGATACTTGCCCATCGATGGCAATACGTGCGACATGATGAGCGGCCGCCACTGGTCTCCCAAGACGTCTTTCCATTGCATCAGCCCAGGAACAACCCCCCTCTCAAACTCCCAAGCGTCGATGAGGTGCCTAAACTTCCTCCTGACATCGGCAACGAGACCAGTGCCCTTTGGATCCAGATGATAGGGAGGAAGGTACTGTAGCCAAGGAAACAGCCAAGTGTGTGGGAGATGGTGGCTTTGCCGCTTCTTCTTGGGGTTCCAGTCGGAAACGGCCGTTTCCAGCTTCCGGGCCACATTGTCCATCAACTGCGCCCGGACAAATGGTGGGAGCAGATCTTTCCAGCTTTCCATGATGTTAAGCATTGGCGTGGGATTCAACGGATCCCATGAGCGGACTGCTGTCAGTACTCGAGGTAGCCAGTTCTTGTACATCATGGTCTCGTAGGGCGTAGTGGCCTTGTGGTGTGTTCGGTAAACGCCATCGTCCATGCCCGCGGAAGAGTTCCATTTGTTCATGGACTGATTGGCATTTGCAGATTTGTTGAAAAGACCCGACAGCTTCTGCAGGTCCGATGCGAATCGAGACGGTTCCGTCATTGGGTCCCAGTCGGCGCTGCGTAGAAAAGGATGTATAGCGGCTACCGCGATGTCAGCGATGGCATCGCTCGCTGACCCGGCGTCAACAGCTGTCTGGAGAGCACTCATGACCTGCTCCCACTCCGTCGCGTCAACAAGCTGCTCAGACACAACGTTGGCAAACGTTTTAAGTCTCTCGAAATCGGACCGCAGATCTTCAATCTCTTGCTCCCTCTGCTTGAGCTCCAGATTCACCCACGTCTTGCGTGACTCTAGGCTCCTCCACTCTTCCGAGAAAGCTAGCAAGTCTGTCTGCGCGCGTTGGGCCAGCTTTCTCGCCTCAATCAGTTCGGCCGATTCAGGCACACCGGATGACGGCGTCATGATGCCGCTCGTCGACGTAAGCAGCTTGCCTCCAGGGCCGGTCATGTCGAGAATGGGGGCAAAAGCCTCCGGAATGTTTAAGCCGGGTGCCTTCTTCTTGATTTCATCGGCCGTAAGATACTTCGTCCTCTGCCGCATTGGGGTACTTCCCGTACTGCTGTAGGCCACGGCTCCTCGGGCCTTCTTCTTGGCTTTCCTGCGCTCCTTTTCTTCCTCTTCCGAGTCGACAACCTCCTCGCCTCGTAGCCGCGCCTGTCTCTTCTCCTCCTGGCGCTCCTGCTCTGTTTTTTCCTTTACGGCGCCGAGACCTATGCCCTGGGGTCGAAGGTTGGCTTCGATGATGATGTTTCGTCCTTCGCCCTCCTTGCCAAGACCCTTGCCCTCAACGTAGCCCATCTTGGCCATCATTCGCGCACCAAACGACTTGGTGTTGATTTTGCCTTTCGAGCTGAAAGCGCTTACTTGAGGCTTATTTCGCGGAGTTTCGTCGCCATTCTTCGTCTCCTTCAGTACGGGCTCCGTGGCAGACGAGGGAACGAAGCCACCGCCGAGGACGCCGCCGGAGCTGAAATTTGTCTTGAAGGATGGCTGTGTGTTCGACTCCTTCGGCGCATTCGATTTGCGGAATCGTTCGCCAGCTGTGAAGCGCAATTGCTGGGCCGCGTTACCGAGTCCGAGTCCAGCGGGTCTGTCGCCATCCTCCTCATCGTCGTCGTCTTCGTCTTCGTCCTCATCACGACTATTCATTCCAATGCCCAAAGGCCGTGGTTCGTCTTCCGATTCGCTGCTCGCATCTTGCCCAGCGCCCTCGGCAGCAGTCGATACAAAGCTGACGCCTTTGCTCCTCAGTGTCTTTCTCTTCCAGCGCGCGTTGGGATTGTCGTCGTCGCTATCGGAGCCAAAGATGCCCAGTGCGGCCTTCTCTTTGCTGTTTCCACCGACACGCCTCTTCTTGCGGGGATTGAAGTCCCCAAAGTCGTTGTCGTCGCCATCGAGCCCAGGAACGGTAGGATCATCGGAATCCGACTCGGACGACGAGTAGTCGGCGGCAGTCTTGGCGTTGAGGGGGAAGAAGGACGGATGCGAAGAACCCTCCATGTTGCGACCGTATGGGAAATGTCAGGATAATCACCACAATCGCTGAGGCCGCTCCATCTGCCCAGATAGAAAAGTTCTGGCTGCTCCTTCGAGCGATGACAAGCTGCGGATGAGTGGAGCCTTGCCGGAGCGAGGCTGCCTCTGAAATTGTTTGACGCCAAGGACCGTTGGAGCTTCGGGGATTCTATCTTATCTGCACGTGATCTGTATCTTGGCCATGGTGGGGTAACAAGGCGGTGAAGCAGCTGTCACTGAGGTGACATTTACACGTGCTTGGCGACGTCGTGTGAATTGACACCTGCTGCTGCTGCTCCCTTGCGTCATCGGCTAGCCGCTGGTCTCTCTGCTAGATGGTCGTGAGAGTGCATTGCGATCATGCCGGCTACTACTGTTGTGATTTCGCAGTGCCCAGGAGCTTGATGGATAGGCACGTCTCGGGGTTTGTCCTGCCGCGGGGTTGATCTGGGGACATGGGGGGCGTTTGCGCAAAATGTGTAAGTTGGTGGTGCCTGGCGCTCCCTTATGTGCTTGTTTATTCAGGGACCTTGCAGGTGCTCTGCTGAGTCTACTGTGGTATTTGGGGAGATATAGTAGAGTAGAGAATTTCCCTTGAGATGAGGAACCAGGACATAGGAAACGACCAGACAAACAATGTGAAGCGAGTCCTGAAAACAAAGCAGAGCCCGAGGCACCCAGACCATCCATTCAATTTGTTTCTTGTATCGTGCACCACCTCCTCTGGTGATTTGCACCAAGCTCAGAAGAGCCCTGCCAGGCCCGGCTGCTGATTGGTTCCATCAGGTGATGGGTGGGATTTGTTGACTTTTTGCGGCCTCGCGGTGATTGGCTGGGCTCGACTGTTGATGCTGTGGGCAACCTGGAACCCTCCGCGGATGAGCCATAGCTCAGCACCAACCAGAAGCACAAGACAGCGTCAGTTCCTGTCTTTCTGCATCCACGGCGGGCATCACGAGATCTGGTATCGCGGCCTGCTATTTTCTTCCTCTTGTCGCGCTGCCGCCATTCGCATCCCAGCATCTTCACCCAGACACACCGAAACTCCTCGAACGAGCACATCGCAGCTCACACCGACCCTGACCGAGGCATCGCCGTCCCGCGTCGCTGTGCATCTATCCCGTCTTTTCACATTTTTTTTTATACAAGCACAGGCACAGACTGGCGCAGGGCCCGCCGAGAGGCATCGCCGCATTCTTGCCAATCCTGATCCCGGTCATTCAGCTCGGCGAAGGCAGGGTAACTGACACTTGCGGCCGCGATCCCCGGCACTGGCCGTTGGCAGAAAAAGTACAAAGTAGCCTCCTGGGCATTTCCGCTTAAACTGTCTGCTCCCTGACGACCTCACCCGAACGTGTTCTTGTTCCCTTCTTTCCATCGTCTGTGGTATGTCGACGTCTCGTCTCCCCGTCTTCCGTTGTGTCTAGCCTCATGCCGCCGCGAGGCCCATTCGCACAATGGAGTCGCGACGGCGTCACCACCCGTTCAAGAAGCTCATCCGCAGAATCGTCCATCTAATTGATGACCGGTCAGCAGATACCTCGGAGCCGAAGCATTCCCAGACCCCGTCCGCGTTTAGATACCTCTCTCGCCCCTCTCTCGCCGCCATGGCCGACCAAGAGGAGGACTTCAGCTCCTTGCCGCTGCCCGACCGCTTTTCACACAAGGTACGAATCACTTCTCTGCGAAACATCACGTCTGCGCCGATATGGTCTGCCCGTCACGGCTCCTTCTCTTTTTGGCTGACATACATCTCCTCTCGATCTCTAGAACTGGAAAGTACGCAAGCAGGCCTATGAAGATGTTGCTAAGCAGTTTGCCAAATCACCGGACGAGTCCGACCCTTGCTTCCGACCCTTTCTCAACGACCCGGGCCTGTGGAAGTCTGCCGTGGCCGACTCCAACGTGGCCGCCCAGCAAGAAGCCATCGCTGCCCTGTGCGAGTTCCTCAAATATGGCGGACGAGACTGTGCCCTGCGTACACGGGGCGTTGCCATTAGCCCCATAGTCGAAAAGTGTCTCTCTTCAACGCGGCCGGCCATCAAGCAAAACTCTCTCGAAGCTTTGCTGCTTTTCATCGAGCTGGATACGGCAGCCCCCGTTGTCGAAGAGGTGCTGCCCGGCCTTGGCAACAAAGTGCCCAAGAACGTCGCTGCTACACTCAACGCTCTGACCCAGATCGTCCACAACTACGGCTGCAAGATTGTCGACCCAAAGCCGATCCTCAAGGCCCTGCCCAAGGCTTTTGGCGCTGCTGATAAAAATGTGCGTGCGGAAGCCACTGGTCTTGCGGTGGAGCTCTACAGGTGGCTGCGCGAGGCCATGAAGCCCATGTTCTGGGGAGACTTGAAACCTACACAGCAGACAGATCTGGAGGCGCAGTTCGAAAAGGTCAAGGCCGAGGGCACTCCGAAACAAGAGCGGTTGCTGCGTAGCCAGCAAGAGCAAGCCGAGTCCGGCGGCGGCGGCGGTGAGGACGGCGAAGAGGGTGAAGAGGAAGAGGCGGACGAGCCGGCAGAAATCGACGCCTTCGCCTTGGCCGAGCCCGAAGATGTGCTGAAGAAGGTGCCGCCCAATTTCAGCGAGCTTCTCGCCTCGTCCAAGTGGAAAGATCGTAAAGAGGCTGTCGAAGGGCTGTATGCAGTGCTTAACGTTCCTCGTATCAAGGATGGCGACTTCAACGAAATCACCCGGGGTCTCGCCAAGTGCATGAAGGATGCCAACGTTGCTGTTGTGACCCAGGCGGCCCAGTGCATCGAAGTGCTGGCAAAGGGTCTGCGGCAAGCGTTTGGCAAGCATCGTGCTACCGTCATGCAGCCCATTATGGAACGACTAAAAGAGAAGAAAGCTACGGTTGCTGACGCCTTGGGCGCAGCCCTTGATGCCACCTTTGAGGCGACGTCGTTATCCGACTGTCTTGAGGACATCTTTGCTTTCCTCGGCAACAAAAACCCACAGGTCAAGGAGGGTACCATGAAATTTCTCATTCGCTGTCTGCGGACCACGCGCGAGGTTCCCACCAAGCCCGAGATTGCGCAGATATGCGAGGCTGGAAAGAAGCTGCTGTCGGAATCGAGCCCGGCCTTGCGAGATGGCGGTGCCGAGATTCTGGGAACCATCATGAAGATCATTGGCGAGCGTGCCATGACGCCCAACCTGGAGGGCCTGGACGACATTCGAAAGACCAAGATCAAAGAGTTCTTCGAGACGGCCGAGGTCAAGGCCAAGGAGAAGCCCAAGCCCGTCCCGAAGCCAGCGCCAGCGGCGGCGCCAAAGAAGGTCGTCGGAGCCAAGAAGCCAGCGGCGGGTGTCAAGAGACCGGCGGCTGCTGCACCGGCCGAGGCACCTCCCGCGACCAAGGTTGCAGGAAGCAAGCTGGGTCTACCCAAGACTGGTGGACTCAAGGCTCCTCAAAAGCGGACCGTGGGTGCTTCTTCCGGGGCTTCGTCGCCTCGCCGGTCCGGCCCAATCATGCCGGAGGAGGACCCTCTGCCACCAACACCACAGCCAAAGGCGGCGGCGCCCTCGCGTGGCCTGACAGGGCGCTCCCTGGCCAAACCCGTTTCGGCTCCGGTGCAGATGCCCTCGGAATCCCCTCCTCCTTCAAGTGGCCTTACTGCCATCGAGAGGGCCGAGCTGGAAGAGCTTCGTACTGCCAATGATCGCCTGACTCGACATATCGATGACTTGCGGCAGGAGCGCAGCAAGTTTACGTCGGAAATCCAAGAGCTCAAGAACCAGAATGCCAGTCTCATCGAGGACCACACCCGGGATGTGTTGAGTATCAAGGCCAAGGAGACTCAACTGGTCCGGGCTCGGAGTGATGCAGAGGCTGCAGAGCAAACCAACGAAAGACTACGGCGTGAGCTGGATCGCCTCAAGAAGGCGCTTAGCCGTGCTGAAAGCCTGAACGCCTCTGCTGGTAAGTTGAAAGAGTCCCGTTTCGTATGTCTTGAGATTCGCGCTGACATGCGATCACTTATCACAGGCATCACATCGCCGACGTTCGAGGACGCGCCCATGTACCGAGACCATATGGCTGCCCCAAGCGCACGTAATAGGATGAGCTTTGCCAGCAGTATGTCCGAAGAGAGGGAGAACGGCGATGCTCCCTATCCGCGAAACAAGTTCAGCCCGGAGCTGCGTTATGCAGGCAGCACTGGCTCCTCTGGGCGTGGATCGCCTGCCCGAGGATTTAGGAACATTGCGGCGCATGACGACGGCAGCGATTCAACAATGACGTCGGCCAGAGAGCGCCCCGTGTCGTCAATGCCGCAGTCGGGCTCCAACGGAGCCGAGAGCTGGAGGCGAGCAGCTGAGGTGACAAGCCAGTTGAAAGCCCGAATTGAACAGATGAAGGTATGGAGTATTACTCCGTGAACCTCCCTAATGCCTCGATCTCTGTACTAACGAGGGTAAAAGGCCAAGCAAGCATTTGCCAGACCTTAGAGGGGGAAGAAGTAACGAATTGACGAGTACGATTACCAAAGCATAATGTCCGAGCTTCTCTATACGTCTACGATGGCCTACGATTTTGGTGAACCGGACAGCATCTCTATCAGCTCTTGCTACGTGGCTTGACCTGACGAGGTCTTGTGTGCATTTTTAGGCGTTGGAATTACACCCATACCCCCCTTGTCCCCTCTTCCGCTTTTATGTTGACAAAGATTGGTTGGTAGAATGAGAGAGAGAAGGTATTACCGCAGATATAACCGCCGTTGGAAGTCGAGTTATTATATGAGTTTGGGAACCGCTTTTATAAGGGGATGGCTCAACTGAAGGTGGAATGGAAGCTAACTTACATACTACTTACGCCTATGGGATGAAAATGGGTGATGACCTTTGTCTGGGCAGTTACCCCTTACTTAGTTTTCTTACTGCCTACTAATACCAGACGTGCTCAGTTGTGATTAGTTCTTGTACTGGTCTTCAGTTGATGACTCAGTTTTTATTTCCGCACTGCCATATGTTTGCGACGGACGTGTTGCAATAAGATACATGAGGCTAACTAATGGCTATGCATACATTATATGATATTGACGCTCCCTTCTCTCCTTGTTGACATGTCTTCCCCTCTTAGTCAGACTTTTTCTTGTCTTGGCCAGACTTGTCATCTTTGGTCTTGTCATCTTTAGGCTTGTCATCTTTGGGCTTGTCGCCCTCCTTGGCTTCGCCCTTTTCGCCGTCTTGGGAGTCGTCCTCTTTCTCGTCCTTCTTCTCCTTGTCTGAGCCCTCATCTCCGTCATCTTTCCCTTCTTCCTGACCCTCCTGACCCTCCTCATTGTTGTCATCCTCCTTCTCATCCTTCTTCTTGTCCTTGCCCTCCCCATCCTCATCATTCTTCTTGCCCTTAGCGGCGTCATCCTTGCCTCCCTTCTTCTGCGTCTTCTGCTTCTTCTTCGCCTCTTCCTCTTCCTTGGCCTTCTGTTCCTTCTCCTTTCGAACTCTCTCCTTCTCCTCGTCCTCTATCTTCTTCCAGTTCGTGTGGGTATCTGCCAGTCCCGGCTGAGTCAACTTCGCCTCCATGCTCTCCTTTCTCAGGGCCCCCTTCTGCGTGATCTTGGCCCGTCCGACGAGCGAGATGAAGATGGCGAGGCCGACCATGGCGGTCAGCAGGAAGCGGTACTTTGCGTACCATGTCGGCGCCCAGCCCAAGCGCGTGGCCTTGGCATCGGCGTAGTAGAGGGCGACGAAGGCGCCGAATTGGGCCGTCAGGGCGTACTCGATGGGCATGAGGAGCGTGGGCCAGGCGGCGACGGAGGCGGCGAGGCCGATGCCGTAGCGGAAGCGGGTGCGGTCGTGCTGGGGCTTCTTCTCTGCGTACTCGAGGCCCTGCAGAAGGTTAGCATAGTCGAATCGCAGAGGTCATGGCATGTCTGTCATACCCAGTGAATGGCTCCGAGGAAAGAAATAATGACGGCGCCGTAGCCGAGCTGTAATGGCTCGATCAGGTCGAGGAGGTACTGCGCCGTTCCGTGTTCTAGGAAGATGGTATTGTAGAACTTGTTACCCGAGGGGATCTCGGTGTTCAGATTGACGGCCAGAAAAACGGTCGAAAGAGAGGTAGCGAGATACGGCAGTGTTCCAGTAAGACCGAGGATGTGAGATTCTCGAGGGACTGTGTCCAGGCGGAAGGTATCCTTGACCATATCCTGTGAAGTTTTCTTTAGCCCAGCGAACGACAGATAAGTGGCTTTCGCTTGTACGTACGACATCCTGCTGCAGACTCGAGTTCATGTTGTGAGTGTCTTTTGTGGTGTCCCCCTCAGGCTCCAGGACACTTCGAACGCTACTAGTTGTGGAAACGTCTGGTCTGGGTTCGAGCTTCCGAACGGCTGGACTGTCCTTGTCTTTGTCGCTCGGCGGTTTTGGAGGGCCATTGGAAGAGCTGGTGAAGCGAATAGCATTTCTCGTCGCGTCTATTCGGTACAATGGCTGTCGGATTGGTGATGGCGGTTTGAGGCCGGCGAGTCTCGCGCCAAATGCCCTCTCCGAAGCTCGAAGGAGCGAAGACCTGAACATGGTTGCTTTGCGATCTCGAATTTCAGTATTACTTTGGTGATGGAAAAGGTGAGAGAGTCGAACTGCAGTGGTACAAGTTGGGAGAAAGTGAAGCTACATCCCACTAAATGAGTGCCCTCAAGCTTCCTTTTGTCGGTTACGTGTAATATGGAGAATGCGACCGGTTTCTGTGGTGCTCCAGCTCGGCACGGCTATTCGGATTCATAGTTATGGGATAGCTTCAGTAGCTCTATCATGCAATTTACTGCAAAACCCACGATAAAACAGTTGGGTATCACATAATAATGGGTGCGATCATCGCGGGAGCTCAGAGGCAGTGATGCTATGATGACATCCTTTGAAGACGATGGCCAATGACGTAATGGCCACGCGCATTGAAGCGTGGGACGGGACTCGGGAGAGGCTGCGAGGAGTCGGTTTGAGTGGCTGTGTTTGGATTTAGCGGACAAAGTTGATATGGAGATTTTAGTTGGAGAAGACGTATCAGAAACGGGGCTTTTGGGACAGAGATGGAGATGCTATGGGGATTGTAGTGATGGTGATGCTGTGTTTTCGTGTAATGATATCTTATATCCTATGTCCTACCTTACTTGTGATTGCTGCCTCTCTATACGAAGGTTACCCTCACAGGGCTATGCGAGTAACGGCTTCCCCCTGGTAGCATCGAGCCTCTAAGCGAGTCCCCATTCCATCTGATCTCTTGCATGGCAAACCAACGCCCAACTGATGCACCTGTTGCGCGCATAAGCCAGCACTTGTGCAGGTTAGATGGCGGTTTGCCCCGGACTCTGGACAGCTTTGTGGCCAAAACAGGAAATCAGCCACCTGCTGTCCGGCTTACACAGAAATTGGATCGGACAGCACAGTACGAAGTATGAGATACAGGACATCCAGGTACCGGCTGCAGCGTCTCTCCGGACAGGAAGAGAACTACTCAATCAAGGGCTACTCTATGGAGTACTTGTACGATAAACCGTTAGCTGCTTTGCTTGCCCTTGTTCTCGAGTTGTTCACGCCAAAGCTGCGATTCAACTTGAGGCACTTGGACAGCACTTCGATTGGAACTTGGCCCAGGTCGCGATGGTGGGGCAGTCCCTTACGTCATCCCATTCCGTCATTGAGCCTGATTTGCTCTTGGCCAGGCACTTCCACTTGCAGCCGCCGCTATGGGTTGCAGGGGCTGCTTAGCAGGCCGAGCGCTGAGGGTGGCAGCCTTGCAGCGCTGTAGCGGGCCTGTAGGTGAGCTCGAGGGCGCTGCAGCTGCTGCGATCATCGTGATGGATAGGTTGATCCTGCCGTGGAGCTGAGTAACTGCCCACCTCTTGGTGTTTACCTTGCCTTACCTTACCTCTACCCTCTCGTATCTGTCTCTCTCTGCCCTGGCCCGAAGACTCCTCATCACCACTTCACACCAAATCCACAGCAGCGGCATCAACCACAGAAGTCACACGAATCGCCGTCCACCTGCCATCACCTCGAGGTTTGATACTTCTTCCGCCCTGCCCCTCCTCAGTCGGGCTGCCACGCAGCGACGCACTCCGCACTGGTTCGCAGCTCCAGCCAACCATTGAAACCCCAGTTCGCGCCCAATCTCCCCACCTCGAGCCGTGATTTTCACCACTTCGACAGCCATTCAATTCCTAACCCTAGAGATCACTTTCTCCTTGGCTCTCGAACCGCTGGAACAGAGAAACAGCTGATCGCGACCCTCGGCCGGCGAGCACTGCTTGTGCACAGCCCAGATCCCGCCAATGTCCCGCCGATAGATCCTCGACCGACAGACTCTCTCCAACCTCCGTTTCCCCCAGCCCGGGTTACGGCACCACAACCGCAAACATGTTGGAAGGACTCGTCGCCGGCCTGCTCAATCGCTTCCTGGGCATGTACGTCAAGAACTTCGATCCCACGCAGCTCAAGGTTGGCATCTGGTCGGGCGACGTTAAGCTCCGCAATCTCGAGCTGCGCCGGGAAGCCCTCGACCAGCTCAAGCTGCCCATCAACGTCATCGAGGGCCACCTTGGCGAGCTCACGCTGGTCATTCCCTGGTCCAACATCCGCGGCGCTCCCGTCAAGGTCTTCATTCAAGATGTCTACCTGCTCGCGAGTCCCAGGGAAGAGGCTGAATACGACGAGGAGGAGGAAAAGCGCAGGCAGCAGAGGCTAAAGATGGAGAAGCTGGAGAGCGCCGAGCTGATCAAGGAACGGAACAAGGCCGGCATGAGCCCCGAGGAGCAGAAGAAGAACCAGAGCTTCGCCCAGAGCCTGGCCACCAAGATCACCGACAATCTGCAAATCACCGTCAAGAACATCCACATCCGCTACGAAGACTCCATCTCTGCCCCGGGCCACCCCTTCGCTCTGGGCGTCACGCTCGAGGAGTTCAGCGCCGTCAGTGCCGATGGTCACTGGACGCCCACCTTCGTCCAGGAGTCGTCGACCGTCACACACAAGCTCGCGACCTTGGGCTCGTTGGCTGTGTACTGGAACACGGATTCGGAGCTTTTCAGTAGTGGCCGCGAAGCTCCCAATGCCTCCCAAGAAACGATGTCTCACGACGAAATGGTTGACAGGTTTAGGAGCATGCTTGAAAATATCCACGATCCTGACTCGAGCAATCAGTTCATTTTGAGGCCCGTCAGCGGGCAGGCAAAGATTGAGCTGGACAAGTCTGGCGACATTCATGCGCCCAAGTTCAAGGCCACGCTCCTCTTCGACGAGATTGGTGTTGTGCTGGATGACGACCAGTATCGCGATGCCCTGATGATGGTCGACCTTTTCCACTACTTCATTCGCCATCAAGAGTACAAAGGGCTCAAGCCCAAGGGAGTCACTCCGAAAGAGGATCCGCGCGCCTGGCTGCAGTTTGCAGGAAACGCCATCCTGAGTAAGATTCACGACAGGAATCGCAGGTGGTCATGGGACTACTTCAGAGAGCGTCGTGATGACCGCAGGCGGTACATCGACCTCTTCAAGAAGAAGAAGCAAGGGCTGCAGCTCGAGCCCGACGAAGCCAGCGACCTCGACAAGCTTGAGTTCAAACTGAGCTACGAGGACCTGAGATTTTGGCGATCGTTGGCCCGGAACCAGCTGAAGAAGGAGAATGCTGCCGCCCTCAGCAGACAGCCTCAACAACCGCAGCAGCAAGGCTGGGTTGCGTGGATGTGGGGTTCCAAGCCGACAGGAACCATCCAGGAAAACGAAGAAAACACGCAGATGACGGAAGAGCAGCGAAAGGAGCTCTACGAGATGATTGATTGGGACGAAAAGACTGCGCTCGCGGAATCCGTGGACGTTCCCCGCGAGGCCGTCAACATGTGCATCGAGGCGGCGCTCGGCGCCGGCAGCTTCACCCTCAAGAAGAGCCCGCACCACAACTCCATGGACCTCCTGAGCCTGCACTTCGACGTTTTCAAAGCCAAGGCTCTGCAGCGGAAAGATTCGGTGCTGGCTAGTGTCAGCCTTGGCGGCCTGCGCGTCAATGATGGAACAACCCCCGACTCTCTGTATCCGGAGATTGTTCGAGTCAAGGATGCCCAGACACGAAAGCCAATCTCCCTCGAGGAGCTGGAGACCACCGACGAAGAGCCATTCTTCGAGTTTGAGATTGAGCAGAACCCTCTCGAACGCGAAGGAGACATTGCCGTCGTCGGTAAGCTGAAGCCTCTCGAGGTTGTTTGGAACCCCAACTTCGTCGTTGGAGTTGTCGACTTTTTCCGGCCTCCTGAGAGGCACATGGAGTCTATCGCAGCTCTGATGGAGACTGCCGGTGCCACCGTCGAGGGCATCCGAGAACAGACGCGGGTAGGCTTGGAGTTTGCGCTCGAAGAGCACAAGACGATCAACGCCGAGCTGGATCTGCAGGCACCGCTTATTATTGTCCCCGTCAGCATCACCAGCAAGCAATCCACTTGTCTCGTTGTGGACGCAGGTCACATGCATGTGAACAGCCAGCTGGTAGATGAAGAGACATTGAAGGAGATCCAATCGAAGCAGCGCCAGTCCTACAGCGAAGAGGACTTCAAGCGCCTAGAGTCTGCCATGTACGACAGGTTCATCGTCAAGTTCACCTCGACTCAAGTCCTGATTGGGCCCTCGATTGAGGAAACCAAGGCTCAGCTCACCACGAAATCTGGCGGATCTCGGCTCCATGTAGTGGAGGAGATCAATGTCGATTTCGTGGTGGAAATGTCAATTCTGCCCAAGGCACCTAATCTCACCAAGTTCAAGGTCTCTGGCCACTTGCCCATGTTGCATGCCACTGTATCGGATGCCAAGTACAAGAATCTGATGCAGATTATCGACGTCGCCATACCAAGGTTTAATCACCAGGACGAGCAAACGGCAACGACTCCTGCGGCTGCTCAAGAAAGGCCTTCTTCACGCCATTCCTCGCGACCGCGACTCCTCAGCAATGCTTCCAGCCGGTCGGCGCTCAAGACGACGCGCGACCGCCGACAGTCCGCCTTCCCATTCCTCCAGTCTTCCACCGCCATCATCTTGGAGGACATTGATGACGACGACGATGATTTCGAGGATGCGGAAGACGGAAATCATGGCGACCAGGTCAAGATGCAGCAGCGCAGTTTCGAGTTCAACTTCAAGGTGGACACTCTGAAGGGCTCGCTCTATCGAAGCGACCCGAATCGGTCGGCGCCCGATGTTCTTCTCGTGGAGCTGGTTGCGGAACGCTTTGATCTCTCTTTCTACACTCGACTCTATGACATGGCAGCCGAGGTGTCCCTTGGGTCAGTCACCGTGGATGACTTTGTGGACAATCCCCCTGCCGAGTTCAAGTCGATTGTGTCGTCCGGAGACCGAGATGACCTCCAAGCTGGAAGAAGCCTTGTTCACGTCAAGTTCGTCAGGGTGAATCGCCAGTCACCTGAGTTCATGCCTGTGTACGAGGGAGTCGAAACCAACATAACCACCACCATATCTACCATTAACCTAGTGGTCACTCGAAAGACTCTACTCACACTGCTCGACTTTATCCTCGTCACCTTTACAAACAATAACGGCGACGGGCAGTCGGGTCAGGCGAGTCCCGCTCAAATCGACGATGTTGCTGACGATGATGTCGCAGTTGAGGGCGTCGTTATACAGGAGCCGAAGCAGAACGTAAATGCCGCTGGCTCAATCCGCGTCAAGGTTGAATTGAAGAGTATTCGGCTCATTCTAAACAACGACGGCATCAAACTGGCAACACTTTCTTTCAACCAGGGTGATGCCGGCATATTCCTTAGGGGTCAGACGATGCGCATTTCCGCCAAACTCGGCGACCTGTCTCTTATCGACGATGTAAACTTGGGCGTTTCAGAGGAATCACATCTTCGGAAGCTTGTGACCATCCAAGGCGACGACCTTGCTGACTTCCGCTATGAAACCTTCGACCCTGAGAACCCCCAGGCGTACCCTGGATATGACAGCTCGATATTCCTTCGTGCAGGATCCGTGAAGGTCAACTTTGTGGAGGAACCGTTCCGCAAAATCATCGATTTCTTAGTCAAATTTGGAAAGATGCAGGCACTGTACAACGCTGCACGCCAAGTCGCTCTGAACAGAGCCAACCAAATCCAACAGAGCCCCAGCAAAATCAAGTTTGATGTCGTCGTCAATACGCCCATCGTCGTCTTTCCGCGGGCCGTGACCCCTGGCCGGCCCCAGCGCGATCTCATCACAGCTTACCTTGGTGAGATCTATGCACAGAACAAGTTCGTCCCTCTCGATGACAGCAACAGTGCAGCCGTCGCGATGAAGGTCTCTGCAGGAATCCGGAATATTCGTCTCACCTCGGACTTTCATTATGCTGGTAACAAATCCGAAGAGTTGGAGATGATCGACCACGTCGACCTTGGATTCCACATTACCCATGCTGAACATACCGACGGCGCGAAGCGACCGGAGACTGAGATCGAAGGAACCGTGTCCGACATCAAGCTTCACTTGACTCAGCACCAACTCAAATTCTTAATGGAGATTTCGAGATCAGTCCCCGCTGCCTTCGCCGGAGATGGCGATGCGAACGCGGATGCCGAACGGTCAGTTGATGACCAGACTCTGGAGCGTGCTAAAGCTGCGCCTTCGGACGATGAATCCAGTGGCAATGAGCAACCGTTGACTAGTCTTGGCCCCGAACTTGGCTCGCTTTCTAACGCGTGGACCAAGCTGGATTTCGTCTTTAACGTGAATACCGTAGGCCTCGAGCTCATCATGGCCCCCGAGGACGGCCCAGTTAATGATGTGGCCGCCTGCAGTCTCTCGCGCTTTTCTCTTGACGATACACGAGTCAAGACGAGGATGATGTCTGACGGCTCAGTAGAAGCCGAGGTCCTGGTTCGCTCGTTTACGATCTACGACAGCCGCCCCAGGGAGACAAACAAGTATCGCCGAATCATGACATCTTCCAACAAAGAAGCGCAGCAGCTAATGGCCAGCGTGACAATGTCTGGCGGCAAAGAACGCAACGTCATTGCTATGGCTACTATTGACAGCCCTCGCGTCATTTTTGCTCTGGATTATCTTTTCGCTATCCAGAAATTTGCCGTCGAAGGGTTGACAGTGGAGGAAGCCAGTCCGCTGGATACCGAGAGCATTCTGAGTTCTCCCGAGGAATCGGACACGGAATCGATGCAAGTTTCTTACTCGCAGCGGCCATCCATCAGCTCTCCACGGCCTAGTATCTCTGCAGCAGATGCCTCGCTGGAGACCCAACAACAGCAGCCGGCCGCAACCCCTATGAACATCTCTTTCCGAGTCAACCTCGTGGATGCTCAGGTCATCTTGATCGCCAATCCGCTCAGCTCCAGCTCAGAAGCAATCGTCCTTGGAATCCGCCAGGTTCTTCTCTCCCAGCAACATGCCCTCACGTTTCAGATTTCGCAGATTGGCATGTTCTTATGCAGGATGGACAAGTTTGAGACTTCTCGACTGAGGATCATTGACGATTTCTCAATTCAAATGAGCATGAATACCCCACAGCCAAACTCGACCGACATCAATATCGAGATTGAGCCACTCATTCTGAGGCTCTCACTAAGAGACATCCTGCTTGCGCTTCAGATCATTGGAAGAGCTGGAGAGTTATCTGGAGCTGAGCCGAAGGGGCCAAAAGAATCGGCTGCCGACCAAAAGGCAAAACAGCTGCGATCGAAGACCAGGCACAGGGCGTCCAGCGGGCGTGGTGGTGCTTCGACAACCGCGAAGAGCAGCCATAGGACGAAGACAATCGACACTTCAGCAAGTTCGAGGGTGGTGGCAACTACTCAGAAACCCTCTGGACCCCCAAGGAACGAAAATGTGTCTGCTACCATAGATGGCGTCCGCATCGTACTGATTGGCGACCTCCATGAACTGCCAATCCTCGACATTGGAATTAAGAGCTTCACAGCGGTTGCCGAAAATTGGACGTCGAATTTGAAAGCCGAGGCGGCTGTTGACATGTATTCCAACGTGTACAACTTTTCCAAATCGAGCTGGGAGCCCCTGTTGGAGCCCTGGCAAGTTGGCCTTGGAGTGGCCAAGGACCCGGTTTCCGGCCTTCTCTCTGTCGATGTGGTGTCGAAGAAGACGTTTGATATCACAATCACAACGGCAACGATCGCGCTTGCTTCCAAGTCCTTCGACTTCTTGACGACCACTGAGAATGTACTCGACAAGCCCCGAGGCGTGGAAGCTCCATACAGAATCCGAAACTACACTGGTTTCAATGCCATTATCGAATCCAGGAGCCCTACCAGCTCGGAACCACTCACAGTGCATCTCGAAGATGGCCAGGAAGCTCCCTGGAGCTTTGAGCATTGGGAAAAGATGCGTGAGAGTATCCTTGCGGAGACGCAGCCGACCGACGTAGGCATCAAACTCGAGGCGAGTGGGTTTGATCCCATCAAGAATGTCCGGTTGAACCGCGAGGGCGAGTTCTTGTACAGCCTTCGACCCAAGACTGACAATGTCTTGCATAAACTCTGTGTGGAAGTGAGCTTGGGTGCAGACAACGTCAAATATGTCACTCTTCGATCCCCGCTTGTCGTCGAGAACGCGACGCAAATCCCCGTTGAGCTCGGTATCTACGATGCACAGGAGGGCCATTTGCTCAAGATTGAGAAGATTGCCCCCGGGGAGTCTCGGCCTGCGCCGGTTGGAGCTGTGTATGAGAAGAGGGTACTTGTGAGGCCAGACAGCGGCTTTGGCTACCAGTGGAGTGCAGAGCAGCTTTGGTGGAAGGACTTGCTGAAGCGCCCGACAAGGCAGCTGGTTTGCAAGGGAGATGGCGATGACCCCTTTTACTTCCAGGCACATGCATCGTTCAACAACGTCAATCCGATAACGAGGTGAGCGCATTCTTTCGTCTATGCTCCCCGTGTTTTTCGTTAGTACACGTAGAGCGACAATAACTGACATTTTCTCTCTAGGATTTATCCGTACATGAAGATCAAGCTGTCTGCGCCAGTTACGCTGGAAAATCTGCTCCCGTATGATTTCAAATACAGAATCTACGACAAGAACACAAAGAAGGACTGGTCGAACTTCCTTCGCAAGGGCGGTGTCAGCCCCGTTCATGTTGTTGAGCTCTCCCATCTGCTCCTGCTCAACATTGACATGCAAGACACCGTCTTCAAGCCCAGCGACTTTGCGATCATCAACTCTGGTACAAACGAGGATTTCCGCAAGGAGTCTCGCATCGTAGTCAAGGATGATCAAGGCCTTTCTCTCCACCTCAGCCTCCACTACCACAAGGTTCCCAACAGCGGTGGTGCCTTCAAAGTTACGGTGTATAGCCCGTACGTCATCCTCAACAAGACGGGGTTGGATCTCACGGTCAGGGCCAAGAGCTTCCTTCAGCAAGCGAAGTCGGCGGCTGGCCAGTTCCCCCTCATAGATACCTCGAATAGCAACCGACCAAAGGCGCTGCCATTCATGTTTTCGTTTGGCAATGACGACAATCGCAACCGAGCTCTGCTCAAGGTGGCGGATTCCGAATGGAGCAAGCCTCAGAGTTTTGATGCGATTGGCAGCACGTCCGAGGTGGTTCTCACCTCGAGCTCCAACAGAAACAAAGAGATTCACCTGGGCATCACCATCAAATCCGGAGATGGAAAGTACAAGATGACCAAGGTCGTGACGCTCGCCCCGCGCTTTGTGCTCAAGAACAAGCTCGATGAAGAGATTCTCATTCGGGAATCCAGCTCGTCGGGCTACATGACACTGGAGCCTGGCGCGCTACAGCCGCTTCATTTCATGCAGAACTCTGCGGTCAAGCAGCTGTGCCTTTGCTTCCCTGGGATGAACAACCAGTGGACTTCTCCCTTCAACATTGCGGACATAGGAACGACTCATGTCAAGATTGCCAAGGCGGGCCAGCGTCAACGCCTCATCCGGGTGGAGATCCTTCTCGAGGACTCGACCATTTTCTTGCACTTCAGCTTCGAGACCAAGAACTGGCCGTTCTCCATGCGGAACGAGAGCGACACCGAGTTCACCTTCTACCAGGCGAACCCCAACGTCGAAGAGGACGATGTGGAGGACCGAAGCGGCTGGAAGCCTATCCGATACCGTCTGCCACCTAGAAGCATCATGCCGTACGCATGGGACTTCCCAGCTGCTAAGTTCCGCGAGGTGGTCATTGCGACGGCTGGCAAGGAGCGGCACGTCAAGCTGGCGGAGATTGGCAACCAGTTCCCCATGAAGTTCACGAGCCCCAACGGCACGCAGAAGATTATCGACATCAATGTTGCCGCGGATGGTCCCACGCAGACTCTTATCCTGAGCAATTTCCGCCCGAGCCAGAGTCTGTACAGGCAGAAAACCCTGTCCAGAACAAACACTGGACCAGAAGCTTTCGAGGTCAAAAACCAAGACACGGATGCGAAATTTGTCGCCCAGCTCAAGTTATCCGGTATTGGCATTTCCTTCATCAACGCTCAGCTGAAAGAGCTTGCATACGTCACGTTCCGGGATGTGCAGCTGCGCTTCCTCGACTCGCCAGTGGTCCAGACGGTATCGTTGGCCATCAAATGGATACAGATTGACAACCAGCTGTATGGAGGACTGTTTCCCATGGTCCTCTATCCGAGTGTGGTGCCGCAAAAGGCGCAAGAAATCGAAGCTCACCCCTCGCTACACGCCATGGTCAGTCGAGTGAAGGATGACTCGTACGGTGTGTTGTACATCAAATATGCAAGCATCCTGCTGCAGCAGATGACGGTTGACCTCGATGAAGACTTTGTGTTTGCTGTGCTGGAGTTTTCGAACGTTCCCGGCGCAAGCTGGAGCTCGGTAGATGAGGAGGGCAAACTTTGCGACGAGGATCTGGATATTCCGGAACCGACTCATGAAGAGTCTGGGCAAGACATCTACTTTGAGGTTCTCAACATCCAGCCGATGCAGATAGACCTCAGCTTCATGCGGACAGAGCGTATCAACGCGGAGGACAAGACGTCAACCCACAACCCGCTCATGTTCTTCCTGAACGTGATGACGATGGCCATCGGAAACGTCAATGATGCACCGGTGCGGTTCAATGCCCTGATACTCGAAAATGTTCGAGTATCGACGCAGGTCCTAATCCAGAACATCTCCAACCACTACAGCCAAGAGGTCATGTACCAGATCCACAAGATCCTGGGATCTGCCGATTTCCTGGGCAATCCCGTGGGGCTGTTCAACAACATCTCGTCCGGCGTCAACGACATATTTTACGAGCCGTACCAGGGCCTGATCCTCTCCGATCGGCCAGAGGAATTCGGCATGGGCATTGCAAAGGGTGCCGCGTCTTTCGCCAAGAAGACTGTCTTCGGATTCTCCGACAGCTTCTCCAAGTTCACCGGCAGCCTTAGCAAGGGTCTCGCCGCGGCGTCCATGGACAAGCAATTCCAAGACCGGCGACGTATCACCAGGGCGAGGAACCGACCGAAACACGCCCTGTACGGTGTGGCGGCTGGTGCCAACAGTCTGTTCACCAGTGTAGCGTCTGGCGTCGGCGGTCTGGCACTCAAGCCTCTCGAAGGCGCCGAGCAGGGAGGTGCTCTGGGCTTCTTCAAGGGTGTCGGCAAGGGTGTGCTGGGTCTGGCAACCAAGCCGGCAGTAGGCATCCTGGACATGGCCAGCAACGTCAGCGAGGGCATCCGCAACACGACAACAGTCTTTGACGGAGCTGAGCTGGATCGCGCCCGATACCCTCGCTTTGTGCCCAATGATGGCATTGTGCGGCCTTACAATCCCAGAGAAGCCCTTGGGCAGTACTGGCTGAAGCAGGTGGACAATGGGCGATACTTTGACGAGCAGTACATTGGCCATCTCGAGCTGCCCAAGGAGGACATGGTCGTCATGGTCACCTTTGCACGCATCCTGTTGATTCGATCACGGCGACTGACTAGTGAATGGGACGTGCCCCTGAAGGATGTGCAAACGATTGCAAAGGAGCGTACGGGCATCAGCCTGTCATTGAGAGATGGAGCGAATGGGCCGTTTATCCCCGTGGGAGAGGGCAGTGAGAGGACCTTCCTTTACAAGATGCTTGGTGTGGCTGTTGAAGAGTTCAATCGGAGGTTCAGGGGAGGTGAACGATGATTGGTGCATTCTTGCATTGTTTTAGTAGTATTTGTTATGTGATAGCATTGAAAGTCGAAAAGGGAGGCTGAAAAGGAGGGAGATAAAGGGTTGGACTTGGTTTTCACGATTGAATGAATTATGCATAGTCACAGCTTGTTACTTGCTTCCTAGTATTGTTCCGCAGAGAGTTGTGATTTCCTTTGAGGCTATGAAGTTGAAATGATAAGGAAGCATGGCGTAGTATCTCTCGACTATGAAGCATGAATCCTTCGAAGACTGAGAGTGTAATAGTTCCCCGTCACGGATGGAGTTGCGAATGTTGCTTAGCACAACTGTAAACTTGACAGCTTTCGTGAAGCAATCGATGAATCGTATTGCCAGTGTTAGGGGGTTATTGTCGAAGATTTGACTGCTCCGCTTCAGCTGTGATACTAAGGGTGTCTCAAAAGTCATTCTGTCTACTATGTCTTTAGAGTTCACTGGCAATCGTTATTGTGGATGACGGAACAGATGTCCCCCATGCAGAAAGTTGGATGAAGCCCTCATCAGCTTCCAGTCACGAGAGCCACGAGTTTCTACTACGTACGGCTGGGATCGCAAGGCATGGAGCATTCTTTGGGACCTACCATTCAATTCTTCCTCTGCCGAAGCATCCGATAGATTGCTTCCGTACGAGGTCTACAAGTCTCATTTAGACTAGCCACCGGAGCTCAGCTGATTGCACTTGGAATTGACATCTCGAATGGATCGCTTGAGCCGGGTTTGTTCAACGTCCGGCCGGTAACGAGAGCTCGTCCTTCGGGCAGTGCCGATGGGATGGGGTATTTTCAAGTGTCAGAATAAAGGACACTGCGCACTTCGTCGCCTTTGTTGGTTAGAGCTCGAGCTGTGTTGATGAGCTTGCTAGGAAGAGGCCTGTTCTCTCGTTAGGGGAGACCGAACGAATAGTCCGCGGAAAGTAAACGCAGGGCCATGATAGCGCACGCACGCCCTTGGTTCGTTCGGCAAGGCACGGCGCCCTTGGCTGAAGTTGCAGCTCTTCCTTGGCCGTGGCGTATGTCCAAAGGAGATCATGGCTAGGATACTCCGTAGACAAGAGGCGTAATTGCGGGTGGGGATGACCAAGATTTGGTGTTGGGATTGATGGGCCAGGGCTGGTGTTTAAGTGCCCGGAACGCCATGTACGGGTACTTGTCCGCGCGGAGGGCGATTGATGACCGTGATGACGATGCTCGTCGATTGCCTCGTGGTGACGATGCTCAGACGCAGACAACATGGGACCGGGCAACATGACGCAGCTAGGGAAAGTCATTCGCGTATAATGAAGCTCGTACCCCATGTTTTCCCCAGGCATCTCCATTCTCCCCAGTTTCCCCAGCTTCTCCCCTCGCTCGAGGATCCGACAGAATGGTTTGGAAACTCTGGGGGAGACAGAGCCGTTACATCGGACGCCGCCGATGGCCCTGGCGATATTTGCGGGGGTGGAGGAGGCCCGGACGGAGGAGGCCGAAAGACACGAGGCTAGAGCATAGTGAGCCGTCTGGCTTTGAGAGAAGGCCGGATTTCATCCCCACCCCGCTCACTTTGGTGCCCCTTGGATTTCTTTCCATGACTGCTAGTCATGCTCCATGCTAGGAATTTCCAAGCTGTCTTTCCCCCCTGGATAGGAATCAATGGCAGCGTTTGGGGAACTTGATGATGGGGTTGGTAGGTAATGATTAGCAAATACCGGAGTCCGGGGCTGGAAGCGGTAACGTAATTGTATCTGAAGCGCGGAGCTGGCTTGGCCCTTTTGGGTGAAGACTCCAGCGGATTGACGGACTAGATTCCCCAATGTCAGGAGATTCTTACCGAGAAGAGATTGAGCTGCCGACGAACAAGAGGCGCAAGCCTTGAAAGCAACCCGGCCGAAAGCGAACGGCTCTGTGCTACGGCGTAGCGTTGCGCAGCAGAAATAGTCTCCGGGTGGCTTGCCACGAGGCAAGGCCGTAGGGCGTAAGCTTCTTTTGTTCGAAGAGGTTCACCTCGTGGTCAAGCTGGAGAAGTATGGGGCCGGCGGTCAAAGGTGGCGACGATATTGTGGGATCAAATCGGTAAATGAAATGAAAGGTGGAAGTGGAGGAGGTTGCTTATTTTGATGAAGATGAGAAAGAAAAGGCATTGGTTCGAAATTTGCGGTATGGGCAGATGCGGCTCGAAGCGGGTAGCAAGAGCCGGCAATCTCGTGTCACGATTGTATTTGCCAACGAACTGATTCAGGTCTGCTTTGCGAGATGCCGTGCCGTTGGTGTTGAGCGAGAGGCCCCTATTTAGCTTGCACACAACGGAATGCAAAAACTCTCTTGCTGGAAGTGGTGCGCGCAGGTTCACCGCTGGGGTCGGACTCGTTTTTGCTTCGCCTGTGCCAGGGAGTCCAGCTGATTGTGCGTTAGGTTCGTGAGTGCTTGATCCATTGATTGCTGAGTAGGAGTGTGAGTGGAGAACGGGCGACTGATTGCTGGGGTTGGAAGCCGAGCAATATGGGCCAGAACCGGTCCGTTTTGAAATCATCGTGGTCGCGTGTCTGTGTGAAAATCCGGAGAGCGCAGCATTGTGTCGCCCCCACATTATTGCGGGTTGCCGGTATGTATGATATTGACCTTTATGCGGCGCCAGTGGGAGGGCGTCCTTGGGCGTGCATGATGAGGGTATCATTGTATCGTGGTGTTGTTGGTGATGGATCGGTGGCGATGGCTTCATTGTCGCAGACGTTGCTCGGTCCCCGGCACAGAGTGATCACCGATCACTGTACTTGTGCATGCCGTCTCTCATGTATGATGACAAGCACGAGTTGGCTCGAAGGCTCGGTTCCCCCAGACATCCGAGAAGCTTTCAAAGTAGCAAGCGTTTCCTCCCCTTCCTCTGACGCCTCCCGAGTTGTCTGTCATACCTGTGAGACACCTATTAGGAGGCTGAATTGACATACACATACAACTCACGGGGCTGTCCGTCCTTGGCTTGACCCATGGACTAGGAAACGCCACCTCCAACCTAAAGGAATTGAATCCTACTGCTATCAGGATACCTCAATCAGAGCCCCGAAAGCTGTTGGCTTGCCGTCAGACAGTCGAGTCCGCCGGAGCTGGCCGAGGTGGTTGTGAGTGAAGTTAGCTAGTGTCTCTGCGATGCTTGCTCGCATCTACCCAATTGACAACACTGGATGCTATGTTCCGTATTGGACGGGCTGGGATCCCATGGATCAGATGGGCGGCCCAGCCTGGGCCTCCGGAACACGAGACAGCGGAGTGAGCTGGGAAGATAGCACCGGATAGCCTCTGGGGTGTGCATCATCGATTGTTCACGCCGCTTGTAGTACGTAATATCCAGGCCAACATCGTCGTTGGACGGCTGATTGACGAGCCAGGGGCAAAAGCTGGGCAGTTGAATCGAGACTGACGCCACAGATGTTGTATGATGGCTGCTGGCAAAAGGTCCCTTTCTTCACAGCTCGCAGTTGCTACGCGAGCCGAGCCTTATCACGGGCCTGACGAGCTAGACAGGCCTCGCCGGGCTTTGGTCTCTCCCATGTGCGAGCGGCTGCTGTTGGTGTTTGGCGTGCATGCTTGGCACTGCACTTCTGCATCACGGCCTTTCTCTTATCGGCTTGTCAGCTCGTGCACCCCCGGAGATTCAGAGCCCCTCCCCTCCAGCGACTCGGCTGGCCAACTAGAGGACGGATCGCAGCGCCACCAGCAGAGCCGGCCGAGACGTCTCGTTGGCTAGACGGGAGGCCCTCGGTGGCTGCTGTGCGAACCTTCCGCAACGGGCAACGACTTTCAAGGACGCCACCGATCCCAGCATGACTCTATCCAGGATCTGGACGAATGTGTGTCGATGTCCGTGGACTTGGGGAGGGATCCTTATCGCTACCAGACCAGACCGCGAAGCCTTATCTCGTGCTGACTGGGGGAGAAGCTGACAAGGCGATATCGCGTGCATTTAATCGTACAAGATAGCATTTGTCTGCAAGCCCGAGCCAGAAGCCCATGACATGACAGATTAGCGGAGAAAACGGGGCGTCGCTTTGGACTGGCCTGGAGCGAGGCACGGCAAGGGGTTGATGGGGCCGAAGAGAAGCCAGTTTCTAGAGACTCACTTGTGCGTCTGGATGGATCGTAGGGTGTATCGTAGGGCACACCACTGATAAAGATGAAGGGGCAGCTCCTCTTGCGGTCTCCGAAGCGTCTCTCATATCGCAAGGTATGCAGATGATGGAGATGGCTGAGCTTGGGGAGATGGTGGCTGTTGTCGTAGCTCACTTGGTCCGGGAGACGGAAGAAGAGAAGACTTGCAGATGATGGCAATCAAGTTCGAGTACCAGCTTCTTGCATTCTTCGGCGATAACATTGGCAACGAACAACTGGCGATTGGCTGTCCGATCGAATGATTGATAGACTGAATTTTTCCTTCTCGAATCCTGTTAGTGTCGATGCTTCGGTGACGGGACTAGCAAGAGCAGAAGTACCCTCTGGCCGGTGGAAAAGGTCCCGGCGGTGGTGCTACAGTGAGGATTGTCTGATTTGCGTACCGTGCACAGATTGCCGTTGAGGGATTGCGGGGAGAGACTTGCGAGCACGGGTGTGGAACGTGCCGGGAAGATGTACCGACACGCTATCGATAGGCGAACGCTGTCTTCCATGTCGGTCACGTTGAGCTTTGATACCGCCAGGCACGCACCATTCTGATATGTAAAGTGAGAGAACGCTGCTGAAATGCGGATCCCAGTCTGACACATTCTATTCTCTGCGTTACGACGACTTCAATTGATGCCTTAGTCTAGCTCTCCAGCGTTGCATCGAGTGTGTGTTGATATCAGATGCTTCATGACAGGCATTCATCCACGGCAAGAGGTATCGCACAGTGCGCACAGCGACGAGCCGTGTGGGGTGTCCTGCCCAGTACATTCATGCCCTGCCCTGTGCGGTGGCGTGCCGCCAAATCTACGGCCTAGGGCACTTTGCAAGCGCGCTTTTTCTCGGAGCAGCGCTGCCGCTTTGGGCTGGACCCTCGGCTCTCCAGGCGCTGGCACCCCCTGGAACACGCCCCAAGAGCCTCCAACAGCCCCCCAAAAGGGCCCAGAAGAGGCCTAGGCAGCGCTAGCCGGACCCATGCCGTGGATAAGGCCCAAGGCCAGGGCTTCTCCACACATTCTTTTTTTCCTCGTCAACAACCTGAATGATGCTGGTCTGGTCCATCCTCAGCGAAACGGCGTTGCCGCTGCGCGTGTGGGCTCTCGGTACCGTTGCTGCCACTGCTGCTGCTCGACAAGTGCTGTACCAGCATCCATGCTCCTGCTTGTACGAGTAAGAGCGCGCATGACCCGGTCGGGCGGCGCTGGCGATCGCCCGAGTACAAAAACGCCAGCCTCGACCCACGAATCCGGCGATGCTTTCTTTTTTCTCCCCAGGATTCTCGGGTTCGAACGTCACGCCGTCCTTCGTCCGCTCCTTAGGGCTTCCTCCCAGGTTCAGCGTCCTTGCTAACCTGCTCTTACTTCTTCCAACCCATTTCTTCCACGCTCTCTGTCTGATTGGCTGGCTGACTGATTGACCGTGACACTTTTGGTCCGAGTCCAGATCAGCTTCAACAGACCGTGATAGCCTTGCTCAACCCAAGGCTACATCAGCTCAGCTTGTGAAGCGTCAGACGGACGGACAAGCTTGAGTCCGTACGTGGAAGCGGTCCAGTCACAACCGGGGGAGAAGAAGAGAAAACGTCAAGTCGTCAACGACTCGACAAGTCTTCGAGACAGGCACAGAAGACGACAGCCAGAGTCTAGACAGACAGTCGCTTTTGTTATCGCCACCATGGCCGACTCTGCGCCCCAGCAGGATGCCGTTGACGGCATTCACCACAACCCGGATCCGGCCCTGGAGCCCGCGCACCAGCATCAGCACCACCACAAGCACCACTCGTCCCGTGTCGATGCCGCTGGCCACGACGATGTCGTCTACACCAATGGTACCAACCTGGACCCGGACCTGGTGCCAGTGCAGGACCACACCCACGACGAGAAGCACCACATCCCCTCGCCCGAGTACAGCGACCACGAAAAGATTGGCCAGACGGACATTGTGCGCACCGGCATCGACTCGGACGAGGCCGACTCGCAGCGCCGCTGGCGCTTTGGCATCGCCTACCGCCACTACCGCGCCTTTGTCCACATCTTCATCTTCCTGCTCTTCACCGGCTGGTGGATTGCGTCGCTGATTCTGCATCGCCACGACAAGAACTGGGTCATTCCCTTCCTCCTGTGGCTGGCCATCTCCATCCGCCTCTTCTTCTTCCACGTGCCCATCCGCTACGTCTCCAACGCCATCAAGTGGGTGTGGCAGCGCACCGCCCTCGTCGTCTATGCCCGCATCCCCCCCAAGGCACGCACCCCTGCTGGTGCCGCCGTGGCCCTCGCGACTGTCCTGGTTGGCTCCTTCGTCTCTGAGGAGAGCGCTGACAACACACGCGAGAACCGAGCCGTCAGCTTGTTCGGCATGCTCGTCATCCTCTTTGGCTTCTGGATCACCAGCAACAGCCGCAAGCACGTCAACTGGCGCACCGTCATTGGTGGCATGTTGGGCCAATACATCATCGGTCTCTTTGTCCTGCGAACTGGCGTTGGTTACGACATCTTCAAGTTCATTGCGGACCGCGCTGGCGACCTGCTTGGCTTTGCTCACGATGGTGTTGCCTTCCTGACCACCGAAGACGTGGCCGCGCTCCCCTGGTTCTTCTTCGGCGTTATCCCTGCCATCATCTTCTTCATCTCCCTTGTGCAGGTCCTGTACTTCATTGGCTTCATCCAGTGGTTCATCAAGAAGGTGGCCATCTTCGTCTTCTGGGCTCTCAACGCCTCTGGTGCCGAGGCCGTCGTCGCTGCCGCCACGCCCTTCATCGGCCAGGGCGAGTCTGCTATGCTGGTCCGTCCCTTCGTTCCCCACATGACCAATGCCGAGCTTCACCAGGTCCTGACCTGCGGTTTCGCCACCATCTCGGGTTCCGTCCTTGTCGGCTACATTGGTCTCGGTCTCAATGCCGAGGCTCTCGTGTCGTCTTGCATCATGTCCATCCCCGCTTCGCTGGCCATCTCCAAGCTTCGGTACCCCGAGACTGAGGAGACGCTCACCGCCGGCCGAGTCGTCATCCCCGACGACGACGAGCACAAGGCTGAAAACGCCCTGCACGCCTTCGCCAACGGTGCCTGGCTCGGCATCAAGATTGGTGGCACCATCATCGCCTCGCTGCTCTGCATTCTCGGTGCTGTCGGTCTCATCAACGGCCTCCTCACCTGGTGGGGCCACTACATCAACATCAACCACCCTACCCTGACTCTCCAGACCATCCTGTCGTACGTCTTCTACCCGGTCGCCTTCTTGCTCGGTGTTCCTCGCGACGGCGATCTCCTCCGGGTTGCCAAGCTCATTGCCGAGAAGGTCATCACCGTAAGTGTCTCCTTAATTCGTAATAATCACGATTGGTCTGCCTTTGCTTGTGATGTGATAATAACTCTTTGCTCCTTCAGAACGAGTACAATGCCTTCAATGCCATGGCCACCGACCCCTACTACGAGGACATGTCTCCGCGCTCCCAGCTCATTGCCACCTACGCCCTTTGCGGTTTCGGCAACATTGGCTCCCTGGGTATCCAGATCGGTATCCTCAGCCAGCTGGCCCCTTCGCGTGGCGGTGACGTCTCTCGACTTGCTCTGTCTGCGCTCATTTCGGGCGTTTTCTCGACGCTGACCTCGGCCTCCGTCGCCGGTCTGGTCGTCACCACCCAGCTCTCACACTTCACCCGACCTCCTGCGTCTGGTTAAAGAATTTATCTCTGTTTTTTCTCTTGTGCGAATAGTGTGGATGGTTTGTGCCATGTACGAGACAACATGTGTGAGTTTTGAATGAGCAATGAGCAGAGGATGAGTCACTTGAGGTAGAAGAGAAGATGAAGATACCCCGCCACTATCTGCGCTCGGATGTGAGTGGTCAAAGTAAGGAGCATATTTAATCGCCGTGATGAGATACACATCAATCCAACAAAGTCGCCCGTAAAGGAACCCTATGGGTCGGGCATGACGAGTTTTGAGTCTCTATTCGCGTGATGTCCGTTTTCCTGTACTTGCGAAGCAGGCTGCCTTTTGTCGTGAGTGGCTGCTCAAGATGACCGATACCTTGTCTACCCATCAGATGCCGCGTACTCAGTGATGAGAGCACACGATGGTTTCATCCCCAAATTCTCAGCTTCTCCCAAATCTCCGCATCTGGTGAATTAGAGTTGGTTCCTGCGCCTCAGAAGCAAACTAAGCTGTTATTAAAGGGTTGCGACACTGATCTCGGAGATACTAGTGCTGTCGAGATCGAACGTCGGACGCCTTGTGCTCCACAAGCTTGTCACCCCGCAGACGACTCGCTTCTCCAGCTTTTTAAAATAGCGAGCGGCTGCATCTCTACACTTTCTTTTATTTTTGTCAGCGTAGTTTCACCTTGGGAGAGTACACAATCGAAGGTACCAAATTCCTTGTTCCATTTCTGATCAAGTGAGGTCACCATGGCCAGCATCTCAATCCGAAAGTTTATTCGATGGCTGCCGGACGAGGCGAGCGAACCGACGTCCACCCTCGTTCTGACGTCTCCCGAGCGGAGATTCGTTGACATACGAGTCTTGTTGGAAGATGGCAGTGATGTCCTGCCTGACACTGAGCGTAATTCTACCCCCAAGGAGAAAGAAATGATCGATATGTGACCGGTGATGGTTCACTACTTACATATCTTGTAGAAGTTCTGCCCTTGAGTCGTCTAGATTGGGCAATAGCGGGGACTTCCTCCTCGACTGTGCTAGCAGACGGACACTCTCATTCAAAATGGGTGCACTGGATTGATTCTCGTGCTTTGGAAGCGCCCCCTGATGAGGGATATATGTATGCTCAGCCGGATGGACTGAGTACCCTCGAAAAAGGCAGGATGAAGAACCCTGATTCTGGAAAAGATACGGACTATGAAGAGATGTGGTTCGATCCGCCGCCGAAAGCGACAGATGGTGGGAATAAGGCGCTTTGTGTCGTGCTTTTGATGGAGGATGAAGCAAAGGGGAAGAAGGGGATGTTTGTGAGGCTGGGGGAATGGGCGCAGGTGCTTGTGCGGGATGGGGCTGGGGAGGGTGATGTTGTTGCTGAGAGGTGGGAGTGGAGGGACGATGGGTTAGGGTGGAGGAGGAGGGTGAGGCTGGGGGATGAGAGGAGGAAGATGCCGTGCGAGGAGGTGCTGAGGGGGGAGACTGAGTTGAAGGTTGGAGGGGAGGTCAATGTCGGGGACGAGGTCTGGAGGGTTGTTGAGGCTGGTGAGGTGTAACAGGATACCTACACATGTGCTAGACTTGCGAAAATGGATTGATTAATATCTATTTGGGGTTCATGGCAACCGAGATGTATGTAATGTCTTTCTAGTCTATGAAACGGCACTCTTGCGAGGCGTAAGCTCAGTCGGCATCTTCTGGATGGCTCGCGCTTCCCTCTTGGTCAAGGGTATCATGAACCACTTCTCCAGCGCCCTAACTCTGTCCTCCTCATTTTCCATCCTCTCAATCACTTCCATCCCCGACACGCCTTCAACCCGTCTTCTCACTTCCCCCTGGACCAATGTCAGAACGCCGCTGAGTCCATCTCCCTTGTCGTTCAGGATGCCCCTCAGCGCAAAAACCTGGTTGACGAAAATCGAAGAGCGGATCGTGCTGCAGTAGTAATTGCCGACGAAATAGTCCTCGCGAAAGAACTCCATGTCCGTGAAACTGTACCTCTCGATCCATTCCGCTGAAGGGTCGTCCTGCGAGGAATACACCCATACGGACTGCGTGGAGGGGGAGGTGGACTGCGCGAGGGGCCGGAACTCGAGTTTCCCTCGACGGGGGGCAATGTTGTCGAATTCGAGGCCCGGGGTTAGGGGCACGGGGTGGAAGATGCCGTAGCTGCCGAAGGCGACGTCGACGAGGTAGCGAGTCTGGTTGATGGTGACGATGTTGGCGCAGTGAGTCCTGGGTTGTGTGAGCTTTTTGCACGATTTCCACATGCTACTATTACTCTTTTCGAATTCCAGATAGGTGGATGTTTATGTGTTCGAGAGAGATGAGTAGCGAACTTACAACCCTCCGAATCGAGCTCCATTCTTGACTCTTGCGCCAATGCTGAGGACGGTGAAACCCAAGACTCGAAGCATGTCGCCGAAGAAAGTGTTCATTTCCATGCAGTACCCGCCTTTGCTCCTCTCTACGACCTTTTCGAATAGGTCATCTGGGTCGATGGACAGCGTCCGGTGAGGAGAGTAGTGCAGACCGATCGAGTCAAAGGGGACTCGCGCAAGGTGATGAGCGTGAAGCTCGGTGAGGAGCTGGAGTTCATCCCGGGGATGCTTGGAGCGCGGATAGGATATGTGGTCTAGGTAGCGGGCGAGCTGGTCTTGTGTATACATGTAAATTGCCGCCATTTCGAATGGCGGCGGGTTAGACGTTGAGAGAGTGAGTTGAATGATCCCATATTGGCATCCATAGTTTTCCCTACCTATATATACCCTTCAGCACCATTGCTACTATACGGGATTGATTAGTATTAGAGATCCATAGGTAAGAAGGCTAGTGCTAACATGCAGAGCTCATCATTTGTAAGGCTGCCCGATCCGCCGTCCAGTCGGATACCGTACCGGCCCCATCGAAGACCTCTGGACCCCGCGGAGTAGCGAGTCCGATTCCCGGTCGGACAATGAAAAGCCCGAGCTCGTTCATTACATACATGTAACGAATCGGGAAGATGTGGGATCAACAGACACAGGAACGGAATCATTCATGAGCATGAGTTTGTCGTCTCGTGAGATGGTTTTGATTGCAGCTTAAGAGCGAGCAGGCCGAGGATGGGTATGATATCGATTGTGTTGGTACATGTTCGGAGTGAGACGTGGCGGATGGCGAGTCGATGCCCAGCTGCCCAATGCCAGCGAGGTGGTGGGGACGGGCTATGAGGTATGCTGATATATCTGCTTCTGATGGAATCATGTAGATGGGTTCTTGCTGGATTCAGAAGCATCAAGTGGGAGAGATTGGGAATAGCATCATGGAGACTGCAACGCCAACGAGCTCCACCAAGGCCGTATCGCCAAGGTAAGGGACAGCATCAAGGGAATTTATATATCCACTTACATACTTCAACACCTCACTGACGCACGCAACAGGTCGAAAATCCCCATCATCAAGTCCTCTCCGATGAAGCCACCCCTCAAAGTTCCCCTCAAGCTCCAGCGTGGCGCCCCCAACTACGCCCAAATCGCCTACTTCAAGGTCTCCGACAGCCTCCAGACGTCGTCTCGCGCCCCGTCCCTTAAGGCCCTAGACATCACGCGCCTCCCCGACGACCTCAAGCTCATCGGACCGGAGAACTGGGCGCCCTGGTCGAGCGCCATGATGGCCATCGCCGAGCTCTCGGGCTTCGACGTGACGGTGCTGGAAGAGACGCCGCGGGCGGTGCACGTGAGCTGCTGGCACAACGCCGAGAAGACGCGGGAGGAGGTGCGCGAGGGCAAGATGCTGGGCCTGCTGATCAAGTTTAACATTTCGGCGCATATGAACGACTTGGTGAGTTTGACGATGGACGGGTATGAGGTGTGGAAGGTGTTGAAGCTGTATTGCGCGAGGTTCGTGGAGACGGATCCGTCGAGGATGTTGAAGAGGAACGGGGGCTGCATTCGCATTTCATAGGGATACTGATTATGTGGATGGTGCCCCTGAAGAAGCGGCATACCGGGGGCAAGAGTCATATGCAGCTTTTGAAGGACATGCAGCTGTGGTGAAGATGAGCAGCATACGCATAAGATGTTATAGATTGCAAACCATACTCTGGGTAACTTACAATTGCTTCACTGTCCCCTAACGATTACTTGCGGTCCTCAGCTTTTTGATAGCAAGGGGCTCACCAATTCAGACCACTTTCGATGTGCCAGATGACCTGTATACGGACGTGAATCCAAGCGTCATCAATGCCACAGCAGTATCTCGTGCTCGTAGTTTGATCAGCGGCCAGTGTTTGTCCTTGTTAGATGCGGTAGCGCAAGTAATGGCCCGGGTCAATCCAGCTTGGATTCACTTCTGAAGCATGTCTACTTAAGCCCCCTTCTCTTGGCCGCTCTCCATCCCCCATTCCTCTTTTCTCAACAGTTACCAATTCCTCTCACCGTTCAAGAAACTACTCCAACAACAACACGAACCCAGTCCTCCATCGCATCTCCGCCTCCGAAATGTGTAACTAGGATACATACATTTACCAGTGCGGATGCTTTCAAGTCAGGTTCAGTCAGCAATGTCCTGACGCCGCCGCGGTAGGCGTACCAGCCTGCATAGGCGGCGTGCAAATGGTCCACGAGGCCTTTTGTTATAGACTGAACACCGTCTGCCATAAATGCGCGCGGCTAGAAATGGAACGCGGCTGCCCGGTCTTTCGGCATACCGCCAACTGGAGGGACATTCAGGCCGAAGCGCAGCGTACAGCTGAGAGGTCAGCGAGGCGCGCTGCTTACACGTCTAGGTAGCGAGGAGATGCTCGGTTGCTTGCGGTGGATATTGTTGAAGGCGTCATGGTGAGCATGATGAGCGCTTGAAAGCGATGGGCCTCGAGGACTTGTGAACGAGGCATAAGTGATTGGAGGATACTGGAACAAGAGACCTTTCATGTCATGAGCACGAGACAGGATGATAACGATCACGTTTCAATGGAGTTTGCGGCAAATGATGGTTTGTTTCCGTATAATGACAGTGACTCGTCTTCACTTATGTAACATGATTGACGGAGACGCAAATAAGTCGCAAACGTATATGTTGCTGGGAAAGTGGACATGCTGCTTGGTGGGTATTCCGACATGGCTTCACTACATAGTACCTAAAGCAAGGGTTAGAGTAACATATTAATGGAAAACTGCTCAGGTGGGTTATCGTCATATTTCCTCTAGAGACCTCGTCGGTCCTGTCTCTTGACTCCACCGCGTATACTGAGCCAAGAGACACGGATACTCCTTGTCCACCGCTGTCAGCACCCATCATCTTTATGCTGAGGTCGGTCTAGTTCAGGTTCAACCTGCGTGTCTCTTCTCAGCATTGACTCTGCTTCCCCAAGCGCCAGATCGTCCATGTGCGACTCCTTGTGCTCCACAGGCTTTTCCCCCGGAGAAGCAAGTGGTGATGGCACCTCCGGCTCGGTGAGGCTCGTTCCGTTGTCTGAGCTCGACACATGTTCGTCTTCACTCGACGCGTCGGCGATGGTAAGCTTCGCTTGCTCTGCTTTGAGCTGTTTGCACTCTTTCAGATGCTTCGAGTAGTCGCGTCGCAACTCGGTGAGCTCCCGCATGGATTTGAGGATGGACTCGGCCTGTGCTCTATTTCCGTGTGTTTAAATAACTGATAATCAATACAGCGAACAAATGAATGACTTACTCATGGTATGTGCTCCTCAAAAGCTCCACGGAAGAGATGAACGAGTTGATCTCGTCAGGCAGCCTTTCGATCAACTCCCCAGTGCCGACATTGTACACATTGTCGTCTTCGTTTCGCAACACTGCTTCGATCATGCCCTGCGTCTGTACAAGGCTATCATGGCAGATGCCGACACACATGTCGGACCCCGGCATTGTGTCGTATTGCGAGAGTTTGCGGTAGATTGTGCCTAGCAGCAGGACGCTGACCTGAAGGCGCTTCAAAAAGGGCGACAAGCGTGTGATGTTTGTCATGGCGGCTGCGGTGCTGCGGATTTGGGTGATTCGGGGGAGGGAGTGCTTGATGAGGCCTTCTAGGCCGACGACGACGGGTGGAGGGATATCCATGTTGGTGAGGTAGCTACAGAATAGAAAGCTGGAAGTATACAAAGCAGGTAGTGGTGAATAGTTCGATGACAGGAAAGAAACAAATGAAGGGACGGGCACAGGCTACACGAGTGGCTGGTGCACTGGGAGATGATCAGGGCAAGGAGAGACAGATGACGGCGAAGAAAGAATGACAATGAAGGAAACGAAGCAGGGAGGAACATTGAGAGGACGAAACGAGAATATGTTCTCCTCGGTACTTGGTAAGAGCGAAGTTTATAAGACACGGAATATGGAGGTGTCGCACAGGAACCGACACACCAGTCACGAGCAGGAATATCAAGGGCTATGTCTTCAGCAACGTAATAGTGTAAATTACGGGAGGTCCGAAGGTAATGAACCGGCGAAATATAGAGCGAAGGATGAAATGAACTGTATCTATTCATAGCTCCCAAGATACACGTTCACCCTTGACTTGCAAAGTGTATTTATAATAGGGCAAGACTGGCCATCATCTTATCAACATTGCTCACTTTCGTGTACTAGTACTCTGATCAGCCGTATATCTGCAAGTCGATAAGTAGCTGAACAGAGCTGAACATGTGGACGATGGTGGGCACAGTCATGCAAGTAACCAGGCACCGATGTTCACAGGTCACTGGGCGTAACGCCATAGTATCCAAATGGGCAGCCACCGCGGTGCGTGTCTCAGCATTGCCGGGTTTAAATGTATGTCGGGTGTTACAATGTGCTTATCGGAAGATGAACACAAGCCGCGGATACCACTGGTCGTTTTATCTCATGTCCTAGAAGCCTCTCGATGGATGAGATCGGACTCAGGCCAAGGAGAGGAGATGGCATCATCGCACAGCCCAAAGACGAAGTGAAATGGTCCTGGCTGTCATAAAGTCATCGGTGCACTTGGTCCACAGTACTGGGACAGACTTTTATCCTGTTCATCCCCCATCGCCCCTCTTAGGATTCCTTTCATCGCCAAGCCTTCATCCCTTGAAATCGACACCCTCAATCCTGACGTTATGCAGCCCTCCACCAGCAGGGATCTTCCTCGTGGCTTACCCCCCAGCTTATGTGGGATACAACCCGCCCTTGCCTACCCAATGAGCATGAGAGTCCGCCTGACCATGTTCAAGATCGACAGGGCATTTGCATGTGGCGGTTCAGCTGAAGCATCAAATATCGACGGATGAGAGGCACAATGCAGTCAACTCCCCGTTGAGACGGGGAGGCCGGTATGTTTATGGGCTTGTGTCAGATCTTGGCTGCTCCATGTGTTGCTCCCTCACTCGATCCATCTGTATCGATTGCTTCAGGATGGAGAAGCCACATCCTTCTTGGGGTGGCTTCACGACAGGAGCAACACGTCACGTTAGTATCACAAGTGCAACCTGCAAGGAGTATGATGCCAACAGTGCCCTGATCATCCTGGATACGAGAAGCTGTTCGCGATGAAAAAAGAAAGCGAATGCTTCATCGAACGATGGGCCGTGGACGATACTGCTTATATGGACGATTGCTCGTTGCTATCAATCGCCATCATGAGCGACTTAGTATTCTGTCATGCTATTCGTCATATCATTCTGCATGCTCCTGCTATCCGTACATCAGAAACAGCAATCATCTCGGTTCAGTCTCCGATCGGTTCTCCATCATTGCCCACATCGTATACACCGCTTCAAACCTTTCTCCATCAATACCCTATACCATGCTCCAAGTTTGTCTCCCTTTTTCTGTTTGTCCCAGTATCTTGCTCCCCCGACATCACCAGTTCGTCCTCATATCCATCTTCTCCTTGAGAAACGTCTTCATGTCCTCCACCCCCGTCGGCGAATTCAGATACGGCCACCCGTTCATGTACTCCTTCCAGCAGACGAGTTCCACGCCCGCGCTGTGTCGGAGATAGTCGCGCAGGTCCCTGCCCCTCTGCATGTAACTTACGCCGCCGTTGTGAAAATGCTGCAGCAGCATGGGCGTCTTCTGCAAAACCTGGTTTCCCTCGGGGGCAACTTCGTTGGGCGTGAGGAGGGGCGTCGAGATGAGTGTTGGGATGGAGGCGGGCAGTTCAGCCGATACCCCGATGAAGCTGCCCAGGGGCTGAGGTCTGTCGTCGTCTGTAAGGCCTGGCGAAGAAGTGTCGTCCAGATTGATGAGAGCCATCAGCGCCATGCCCGCTCCATGACCGATTCCCCCGAAGATGACCCTGTCCCAGCGACCTCCTAGCATGACGACCTCTTTCCGTATGAGCTTCTGCAGCTCTTTGATCCTCTGCCCAAGCCCATGCATCATATCCCATAATCTCTTCCCCTCCTCCTCCTCCTCCTCATCTTCCTCACCCACGGCTTCTTTCCACCAGCTCGGCTCCCCTCGTTGTACACCATGGTGTATCCCTGTGGAGATCGACAGGAGCGACGGCATGATGGACTCGTCGGTGGGTGCCTGGGGGAACACCCATCTGGTGGAGGCGTAGTTCTGGATGATGGAGCGCCAGGAGAGGTCGGTTGCTTCGTGGAGCTGGTTGACGGTCTCGCGGGCAAAGTGCCTGTTCCTGTGGAGGAATATGACGGTGTGGGTGTGTGGTCTGGCGGGAGGGATGGTGTGGAGGGGGAGGTCGGAAATCATAGTGTCTGGCATCTTGGATTGATGCTTCACAGCACTCTGCATCCAGGAGAGTATCAAGTGTATATCTCATGAAAGAGAGGGAGATAGAGAGGAAGGAATCCCATCACATACCTATTATAATAAGACCAAGATCATCAACAATCTTATAGACTACACCAAAGATAGAAGAAGGCAAATAACCACCTACCCTTACCGCAGCACAGCCCTTCTTATCCTCAACCTCCGCACACAAACACAAACCAAGAGCCATCTCGATCGATCGATCTCCCTCCCCGAGCCTAGACCTCTCTGTCCCCGCTCTCTGCCTCAGCACAGAGATCTGCTGCCCAAAGCATCACAGACTAAGGCGTCCGGCAACAGCAACACAAAAGGCGCGAGCACAAGGCCGACAAACGGCGGCGTGAGAGAACCGCCGACGAACGAGGATGAAGGAAGATTAGGAGCCAATAGAGAGCAAAGCCCAGGTTTGTATGGGAAACAAAGAATGACAGCTGTCAGACCAGTGTAACGGTTACCCCAACTCACCAGAGGCCGGCAAACAGTTGTTGCTGGGAAAGGAGGGAGAGGGGAAGGGAAGGGGGAAGAGGAAGCTGGCTGAGATGTTGCAAACATGTGACGTTGGCTTCGTATACCGGCGTATCCGGGACTTTACGATCTAGGCACTCCTCTGTGTTCCTCATCAGCATATTCCTCTCTTCCGCTCATTGTCTTCTCCAAAGAGCCGCATAACCGCGGACATCAGCCACGTACTTTGAAATGTGACAGACTTCGGATATGGAGCGGCTATTGCATAGCAACCGGCACAGCAGTAAAGACGGACAAATCACTTGGAGGAAAACAATGCAGTGTGCCATCTGTACAACGTAAATTTCGTGCCAAGATTCATGCAAAAAGCATCTCTCATTAATTAAAAAGGTAAAGACGACAAACCATTTCTCGAATTAGACTCATAAGAGAGTCCAGATCGAGGTCTAAAGATTCGGGAGCCATTGTCCGAAGCTCGCTCCCCTGCAATCGCTATAGCGCCAAGGCACACCCCTCCCTTCGGGGTCGGCCAATTTTTTTCCTCCTCTTATTTCCGCTTGCCCCCTTGATCATGTATTCTTTGTGTGATATGCATGTCGTATAGTATCGAAGGCCTGGACCGAGTAGGAATATGCAGCCTCCGCGGGAGAGGGGCAAGGGAGGCAAAAGTTGGAGCAAACATGGTTAAGGTAGTAGTAAACTGGTTGGATTGGGCGCCACATGTTCGTTTTATATACGAAGTGAGCCAGAGAAATGTATCGTCGAAAAAGGGACATCAAAAGGGGGTTGCGAAGAAACGTAGAATAAAGATAGATATATGTAGAAGTAGAATAATTAGAAAAGAGGAATTAGGGGGTATCATCAGTTGTCCTCCTTGATTATTACGGCATCCGTCTGAACCTCATCTTGGATGCTGTTTTGACTGCTCCCGTGACTCCGGCTCTGCTCCTTGGCGCGCTTCGTCTCGAGGTGCTTGATGGCATCGCCCGTCAGCTCCTGACGCGTCAGCAGCTTCCATACGTCCTTCTTCCTCGTCTTGCGGTCGCCAATGGTAATGACGAGACCCGCGGTAATGTTGCACGTTATGCTAACACAGAGGATGACGGTAGTGATGGCAAAGGGCCGGTGGTGGTAGTCGATGCCCCAGGTGGTGGCACCGAGGGAGATTTGCAGGCACGAGTGGCAGTCGAGCAGGATGACAATGGCGATGAGATAGCTCAGGGGGAAGGCATGGTGCGTAAAGGTCTCGTCGGGCTTGTAGAAGCTGTGCGACTTGGCCAGCTTCTTCTGGTGGTGCCGCATGCGCTTCCACTGCTTGAACGTGAGCGGCGAGTCCTGGTCGTACTCAATGTCCAGCTTGGCCGCCTCGACGTCTGCGTTGTGGTCCACCATGGCCTGCTCGAGCTCGGGGGCGGGTGCAGGGACAGGGACTGGCATTGGGGCCGGCGTACCCGTCGGAAGATTGCTGCTGCTGGAGGCGAGTCGCTCAAACGAGACACCGGCGCTCTGGGGGTTGGAGCCGAGACCGGCGCCGACCTGGGCGGCGTTGTCGCGTAGGGGGTCGCCAGACGCGCAGTGGGCGAGCTCGACGCTGTCGCCGCCGACACCCTCAATGACAGCAGCTTCCTTGTCCTTGAGCTTCTGCTTCTGTTTCTTGGCCTTGGCAATCTTGCGCGAGTAGTGCACGACAAAGGCCATGTGGTACGTGTCAACGGCCCGAAAGGGGGCCAGGCCGTCGCCCATGATGGCGAACAGGGCGACCAGCACGCTGTCGATGATGTGTATCGTATACACTTGCTTGTCGCCAACGTAGATCCAGCCGATGAGGAACAGCACCCACGCCAGGCCGAAGAGGGTGATGAGCGTGGCATACAGCGTGACAAAGAAGCCCAGGGGCCGCCGCACGTACTGGCCGAAGCCCTTCATGGTGCGCTTGAAGCGAGACCGGCGCGAGTGCAGCATGTGGCGCACGCGGTCGTCCAGCTCCATCTTCTCCTCCTCGGTCCAACCCTCGAGGCTAAAGCCGTGCGGCAGCGCGGCGTAGTGCGAGTCCGTGAGCCTCGATGTGATGGTGTCAGACCTGCGCAGCGTGGTCGGACCTTCAGCCTCGGCCTCGGTCGTGGGCTCGACGCCGGTCTGGACCGCCGAGGCCTCGTCGGGTATCTCGGGCAGACGCTCCTCCTCGCGCTCTGCAGGGCGGGCCAGTCGAGAAAGCGGCCCAGTCTCACGCTGTGACAGCACGTACGTCGGGCGACGGTTTATCCAAGGGCCAAGATCAGGCACGAACAGCGAGTTCTGCACGTTGGTCAGGGTCGAAAGGGTCTGGACCTCGGGATCTGGTCACACAAAGATGGTCAGCATATGCCGGCAGTGGTTCTAGACTCAGACACGCAGCTTACCAATGATATCTAGCCAGTCGACCAATCCCTCGCCGTATTCGTCCGACTGCGGCTGGGGGCGTCCCTGTGCATGTCCCTGTGCGGCATTGCCACCGGCCTCCGTGTCGCTGGGCGGAGCGGGGGAGCCGCGGTTGAGGGAGCCGGGCCACAGCAACTTGCTAAGCTTCCTCTTCCTGGTCAGCCGCCGGCCGGGCTCCGAGCCGGCTGACAGGCGGCGGCGTTGCTCGTCATCGTCCAGCCGGTGATCGGGCAGAGACCTCGCCGGCGACATGGGAACGCCGAGCTCGGCCATGGTCGGGCGTGATCCCTCCTCCGTCAGCCGGGGCAGCGCCAGCTGGGGCACGCGGCGCGAGTGTCGAGCAACGTTGCCGTCATTGGACTGAGCCGCAGGCGAGGGCTGCGAGATGCTCCGGGGCCGGATGCCGAAGCGCGTCCCGCCGTCGGTGTCGCTGCTCTCGGACGCATAGTCGATCGGGGGCGCCTGCGAGCCGCTGGAGCTACGGCGGATGCGAATGCTAGGCTGGCGAGTGCGCTCGTACGTCGGACGGCCCGCATCGGATCCTACGGTGGAGGGAGCGCGGCCGCGGATGCTCGAGGCGCGCGAGACGGCGCTGGACGTGGTGCCCAGGGCTGGGAAGTACTCCGTCTCGGAGTCCTCAACCGCGTCGGGCGTTGCGGGATTGAGCGACTGGCGGGACAGCGATCCTAGGCGACGTGCGAAACTGTATCGCGGCGGCGGCGGTTGCAAGTTGTTGTTGTTGGTGTTGCCTGCTGGAGCTGGAGACGTTGTCGGCGCCGTCGATGGGCGTGACGCTGCTGCTGCTGCTGCCGCTGCGGGCGGAGGCGCTGAAATGACAGTGTGCGGGTCGACGTCTTCGTCATCGTCTCGCCGCGGCGACGAAGCAGAGCGCCATCGCGATGATCGAGCGCGGTTGGAATCCATTTGCGTGTGTGACTCTCGCGAGGAATACAAACAGAGAGAAGGAACCTGAAAGCAGAGGACGGTGCAGTATCAGGCCTGAGCGGGTGGCTGCGATTGATTTGAGTGACACACAGCTCTGCTTAGTCAGAGTACTCGGACACGCAAAACAGACAGACAAAAACAAAGCAGCGACGCCTAAGTCTGGACGAGAGAGGATTGGGATGAAATGAGATGAAATGAGATGAAATGAGATGTAACGTGAGGATAAACAGAAAAAGATGACGTGGGATAAAGAACACACACACGTCTCAATTGGTTGCCAGCAAAAGGGGGAATCAAGTCAAAGAGTAGCAGTCGGAGGGAATTGACGGGCTATGAGAGGAACCAAATCAAGCAAAAGAAAAAAATTATTGCCGCCGTGATAACAATTGATCTGCCGCCTGTGCCTCTCTTTCTGTAGTAGCTCTTCTCCGCAACCCGGCAGTGTCAAGGTTCTCTTCTCTCTTCCTCCGGGCGGCACGACGGATCCTTCGGTTCTGGGCGGCAAACCTTAACGAACAACGGAGAGGGAAATAAAAGAGAAGAGGAAAAAAGAAAAACAAAAAGCCACGCCCTCTTTATCAAGCATGGCGTCTGTTTTCTACGCCTTTTCGGCATATTTCTTAGCGCTGGGCGAGGGAGGCATGGAAGCAATCGCTGCTGAAGAAATCGCCGTCAATTCACGCCAAAGCGTGCCATTACGTCACCGGCGTCAGGGCTGCCCGGATTGAGTAGCAGTTTGATGCTGCTTTGTCAGACGGTGAGGATGAATTAGAAATGGGGCTAAGCTTTGTTTGATGCAGGTTTGATTGCTTTTAGTTAGACGCGATGAGACAATGATTGATAGATGAGGCCGTATTATTCAAAACATTCTTGTCTTGATAACGCTTCGCTTCCCTCTTCTCGCTTCTCTCTTTTCTAGCGAAGGCTTCAGACTCGGTTGATTAGGTTTAATGCATCCATCTCGATGAAGAAGTCTTGCACAGTACGTGGCCGCGGACTATCAGATTGCAAATCACAATATATTTCTCAGTTAAAGACTGCACACGGCCCCGTAATTAATCAAGAAAAACCACCCTTCTTATAAACTGGAGCCTCCGGCATCCCCAAGACACGCTACCGGCCCTCTACGCACCTCCGGTAGGCTGTTGCTGGTACAGCTACTTCGTCAAACAAGCTATGACGGAGTGGCATCATGCTTGACACGGAACCCCGAATTATGTGCGTGCCAGCTGATGCCGTGCGTGAGCAGGGCATACAGTATCATATATTATAAACGAGGCCGATGGTCATTCTTCCATCTATATATCCCGAAAATTTGCCTCCCTGATCCACGTGAGGAGCTGTCAGCGCAAGCCATGAATTGGCCCGTTTGCCTCAGCTGGGCTTTTGTTACCAGATCTGTCGTTGCTTACCCGGAACTACGGCTGGGATTGCCGCGGCTATAACAGACTCGAGGCTTCGTGAGATACATATATGATATAACTACAGTATGCACAGTAAAAGATGTGATCATGAGTCGATTAAGCAGAATATCTTCTTGTGCTGCGGGATCAAACATCTCAGCAGCGGTGGTATCAAAGTGTTATGTAAATGATACTTTTCAGGAGCAACTATCAGAGGTAGGTATATATATAGAAAACTGGTATATGCCTTCAACATCATTAAAAACAAACGCTCCAAATAACATCTCTCAGTAAAATCGTGTCATGAAAACGCCTAGTATCCCATCATGAAGAAGAATCATCATCCTGCCTATATCGTTCCGCATTCGCAATTGCAGACTCAACCGCCTCCTGCAGGTCAAAGTGAAAGTACGGCCGGTTCAGCCCCCTGATGGCAACCAATCTTCTGCTGCTGGGATGCGCCGGCACGTCCTTCTCGTCGGATGCCTTGGAGATGTCGTCCGAGTGGGTCCGCTCCACGTCGTACTGCACCGCCCGGCTGGCCTTCTCCTCCGCCGCTGCCGCCGCTGCCGCGCTGTCCGAGCCGCCCAGGTCCGCGATGCTGAAGATGGTCTTCCAGTGGCCCGCGCCCTCGCCGTTGTCCTCGGCGATGTGGCGGGGGGTGCGGTAGCCGAAGCCGGCGGCGGCCAGGGCGCGCTTCGTCCAGCGGTTCTCGATGTGGGCAAAGTGCCAGTCGACGGTATGCGGCGCGGCGTAGCGGTCCAGCTGGTTGCGCACGTCAATCAGCGCTTGGGCTGCCGTCACGTCGACGATGTTGACGGTGGAAAAGTCTAAGATGATGGCCTTGAGCGTGGGTCGGCTGTCGTGCTCCTCGGTCTTCGCGTTGCGCGGCGTGGGGTCGTTCCAGGGGCGATCCTTTTCAAATTGTTAGTCCCATACAAATAGGTAATGTTCAGCTCTATGGAGGACACTTACTCCAAGCTTGGCAAGCGTGTTGATATCAGTCCGTCGAGTCTCCCTGAAAATCGTCTCCGTCAAGTGGTTGAGATACCGCGTGGCATTGGGGTAGTTGAAGCCCTCGGCGAAGCGGTAGATGAAGATGCCGGGGTACGGGCTCGACACCGTCACTCTCGGGTTGGAGCCGTCCTCGTGGCCCAGGGGCAAGAAGCCAGTTCGCTCCGAGTACTCTGACGGCTCGGCAACTGCCTCGGCATCTCCTCCCTTGTCTGAACCCTTAGTCGCGCGAACGGTGCGCACGCGTGCCACACCCAGGAAGCGGCCGCGGCTGAGGAACAGGCGGAAGATGACGACGGCGAACGACATGCAGATGGTGGTGTAGATGCCGTTCTCGATCGTGGAGAAGACCGTCACCAGGACACCCGCCAGGAAGATGATGACCTCGAGGGGCGACACGCGCCAGAACTGGAAGACGACGGGCAGAGGAGTAATGACATCGCCGACGGCGTGGATGATTACGGCTGCCAGCGCGGCGTTGGGAATGTAGAAGAAGAGGGCGGTCAGAGCGTAAAGGGCAAGCAGGACGACCATGGCCGTGATGACACCGGCAAAGGGCGTGCGCACGCCGGCCTTGGACTTGATGGCGGTTCGGGAGAAGGATCCGGTCGCGGGATAGGCACCCAAGAAGGGGCCCAGCAGGTTGGTGATGCCAATGGCGACGAGCTCCTGGGACGGGTCGATGATGTAGTTGTTGACGCGGCCAAACGACTTGGAGATGGAGATGTGCTCGATCAGCATTACGATCACGGCGGCGGGGAGGTCGGGGAGGAAGGCCTCGATGATGGAAGAGTTGATTTCGGGGGCGCCCGCGTGCTGAAAGCCTGTGTAGTGTGTTAGGTCGTTACAAACTCGAAGAAAAGAACAAGGTGTTGATCAGTTGAACATACCCCGAGGGACCTTGCCCAGAATGCTGATCCGCGGATGCGCCTTGTTGTGCATCGTCATGCCCGCGCTGATGCCCGTGTACAGCAAGATGACAAACGCCGTTCGTAGCGTCGAGATGAAAAAGAACAGCTTGGCCCGGTGCGGCTGCTTCTTGGCCATGTGCGTGCAGACGCCCCTGACGAGGTACAGCATCAGCAGCGAAGTCAGGCCCAGGGCCGCGTCAATCGAGGTCGTTGGCAGGCCCTTGAGCGTGTTGATGATGACCATGTACGGCGCGTCGCGGGTGTTAACGCCCTTGATGCCCATCAGCTTGGGCACCTGGCCGGCGGCAATGTTGATGGCCGAGCCCGTCATGAAGGCGCAAATGGACGGCAGCGGGATGAACTCGACGACCCAGCCCAGGCGGGCAAGGCCCAGGAAGCAGATGATGGCACCGGTTATGATGGCCAGGGCCGAAGCAATGACGTGGCCGGGGACATCGGGGAGGCGATCGGCCGCCCTGAGAACGACGTCGCCGGTGACTTGAGACATGACGGCGACGGGCTGTGATTGTCAGTGCCGAATTCATTTCATGGTATTTGAAGTTTAACTGTAGGGGATACTCACGCCAATGGTGATATCCTTGGAAGTCGCAAAGAACCAGTAGATCAAGACACCCATAAAGGAAGAGTACAGGCCATATTCGACGGGCAGCTGGGCAAGCTGTGCATATGCCATGCTCTGAGGCACAACTACTGCTCCAACCGTGATGCCTACAGGATGACTGGTCAGAATGCATCATATAACGGCTTGTGACCGAGACTACTCACCCGCAATCAAGTCACCAAAGAACCACGTAAAGTTGTATTTGCCGATCCAGTGGATGAACGGAAACAGATTGTAAAAGTAGCGGCCGACATCGTGTAGACTGGGTCGAATCTCTTCGAGGAACTCGCCGACGGTGGGCTCCCGCTCGATAAAGGGGTCTGCGTTGGATATTGACGGGATGTCGCTGTCGCGGTCTTCTGACTTGAAGCCAAAGGTCTTGGCGAGCCGTTCCTTGGTTGCTGAAGGCATATCGGCGATGTGACAATGTGAGGAGGGAGAAGGAGAAGAAGAAGAGGAAGAGAACAATGAACAAGTAGAAACGAAAAGGCAATGTAAAGTAAAAATGAAACAGAGTTCAAGGAGGATGCCGCCGCTTTTTCCAAAGCTTGATATCAACCCTCAACGACTCAATCAGTCTAGCTCCTCACGGCACGGCGTTGTCCGTGGTGTTACCCAAAAAGCAACACCAGGAAGCTTGGAGACGACCCCTATTAGGAGGCAAGGTGTCCTGCTGCTGGAGGAAATGGCAGACGATATGGGTCTTACTGCTGTAGAATCACGATTGAACAGAACAAAAGCATGAAGAGAGAGAGGGAGAGAGGAGGCGTGTAGATGCGGGTCGAGGAGATGGCAAGGCAACTTTATTTATGGAGGTAGCATTGCAAATGGGAAATATTGGGAGGTTCCGAGCCTTGTCCCTGTTGCTGTTTTGGATGTAGGTAATGTACAGCTAGGTACACCCTCGACATTGCATCCATGCCATGTGCTTCTTCTCTTTGTCCTGGTTCCATCTCATTAGCTTGACGGAGTAGGATCAGCCACGCAACCTGTTTGATGCTCCTCCAGGTCATGATTCGCGGCTGGTTGTACACGCAAGGTATCCCCCCGGCCGTGGACCCCTAAGCGGGTACCGATGGAGTACATCTTCGATCATTGCCTTTTCGATGAGATGAGAGACAGGTACATGCAATACTGCCCTTATCACAAAGCACTTTAGTTGCCGCCATGTTTTCCAAGGGCCAATGTCAAGAGGAAAATAGAAGGAAAATACGGCGTCAAAATTGGGTGCGCGGGTCCCTAGAAGCTCCAGATTGGCAAGCTTTCGAGCGTTTGCCTCTTTGTCTAGAGAGCCACCGGATTGCGTGCTTCTGGCTAAGTATTCGCTTGCAGCTAGAGGGCGCCAGGGGGGTAGGAAGAACGGCTTAGTGTGGGTTGGACGGCCCATCTTTTCGTTCCTTTTTGCTCTCTTCAGTTTCTGGGACTTGCTGATTTTAGCGGGAAGAGATGACTGGGGGCTTTGAAAGTAACGGCCGCGTAGTTGTGTGGCGGGAGAGGTACTTGGCGAGATGGGCCGCTTGTCTGTGGGCTTGGGGGCTCCAGGTTGTGGATGGATTGCGTCAACAGTGGAATGAATCTCTGCCTCCAAGCCCACTGATATCGTTGGGTAATAAAGGCACGGAGTAATGGTATACTTTACTTTTCCCTCTTTGCTCCTCTGGCACCTCAATGATGGGTTGGTAGTGTTGATGATTTATAATATCGAATCTTGATCGCGCGATCTAATCATTCCTCTCTTTTAGATCCATCTACCAGCATCGTCCGACCAATTCATGTTCGTGATTACCGAGGCCTTCATCACACAAACGGCGAGATGGAACATCACCATCTAAAGAAACTCCACAACTCCACGGTACGGCTACGGCATTGCCCTGCAGCGCTACAACCCCTGTCTCCCATGTCATCACTCGGGCTGACGCACCTCTTTGGGGGCAAATATCTGGACACATTGCCGGCGACCCGACACCCTCACGATGTGCCTGAGATGATTTTCTCACCCTCAAGATTTTGGCTCTGAGAGGCTTCGGCTGAGATGAAGACAGAAACCAAAGTTCCAGCTAAGTTAAGTGAGATCCCGGTGTATCACCACAGCCTGTAGAGCGCATATTTGTACATCATCTCACCACAACTTTGTGCCTATCCGTCGCACATGGCGCTCTCGTCAAGTTCCCAAGAGATCTAGCCAAGCCATCCGGACCATCGCCCGCCTAACTCGATTTCAAATAAGCTACGACACTAGAGCAGCTGCTGGAATCGACCAGGCGCCGGGTATGCGTATTATTCCGTGTTCCGCGTCGTTCTGCTAGTGACCAGGATTACATTGCATGAAGACGGATGGCAGTGTGCAAATCCCTCTCATCCCGCCATCTCCGCTCTCCAGCTCATATTCTAGGAGAACGAGTGCTTCACGCTGCCCGCCATGGACCTATCAGCCCCCTAGCATCTTGACTGATGAGCTTACACCACGGCATGATGAACACATCGTCTGTCTTGTGACTGACTGTCCGTCTCCAGCTGCATGGTTGGTCTCATCAGCCGCTGCTTCAGCTCTCTTGCGCTCTCATCACAAGGATCCAGAACCTCGTCCATCCGCGTTGCACAGCTCCAGCCGACATGGGGTTCCCGGAACCTGCCCTGATGACAGACAGACAAAACTCCAATCAGAGATGAAAAAGCAAAAGGGTCTCCCGTTATGGAGCCTCGGGTGGTCGCCCTGTTCGAGCGACTTCCAGCACCTCCATAAAAATACGCTGTAATAGCGCAGATGGCGCAATCTTCCCTTGTACTCTCGTTATGCCCGCCTTGCTGAATCCCGCCTGCAGGCTCTGCGAGTTACATGCAACAGGCGACGCGCTGAGAGCAAGGGGGGGCGTCAAGCAACAGGACATGGCCTTTTTGATCGCCGACGGACAGATAGTTCTGGGCCATCGGCGAAGAGGTCGTGACGGTTCAACAGTCATCTATTGCGTCTTGGGCGTTGGATATTAGTCATATGGCTGTCGGATGCTTGCCGCCAGTGTTGTTGCCGCCTTCAAGACGCGGGTGGGCTATCTATCAGGCCGCGGGAGAAGCTTGAGCAAAGGCCAGCGCCGAGCCAACGGGCGATTGAGGAGATTAGCTGCCTTTGGCATATGTCAGCCAATGAGTGGGATGCGGGATAGGTGCTATGCATGGCCCCAGAATACCTAGTCGACCGAGCCCGTGGAATGGGAGAGACGGTGGGCTGCGTGTCTGCTCCCTCAACTCCTGTTGCGGTGGGACGCCACTGCTGAGACCTACTCAGAAAAAGAACACCGGAAGTCGTCTGATGCTCTCACAGCAGACCATTATACGATGGCATCACTCGTTCCATAAGCTGGGCTGGACCATATCGCCGCCTCGGTAGGCTACACTGACCCCCCAGGTGCGACGGGAAGTGAGGTACATGGATGTACTTCATCTCCAACCTCCCGCTCCTCTGTCCTCTTCTATGAGGCTTATCCGAACATTGAATCATTTGCTGGCGCAAGAACAATAACCGGCATCCTGTCAACCTAGCCTCTCGAGTGGCAACCTTTTGCCCGCACCTTGCCGTAGTCCGCGGCCAGAGGCGAGGAGAAGCTGAAGCCCAAGCAACAGTCTCAGGATCACTCCTCCTCTCGTATCAGAGGCGAACTACCAAGTTTTCACCAGGATATTCAGCTGGATGCTATCCGTTCCGTCCTTACATGCTCTGTTGGAGGCTACTAAAATCTCGATCTCTCCCCCCTTTACGACGAGTTGCCTCCCCATTGAACATCCGGCATATCGCTTCATGACACCATGGCACCATCGGAAGGCGCAATTCCATCCATTGCATGCAATCTCAGCTATCACCTATGCCTGCTAGATGACCGAGGCTAATGACGGTCTCTCAGCCGCAAGTTGGACTCAAAAGCAGGATGCGATATCAACAATCATTGAGCTATGTTGCAGAGTCTAGAGGGACGCCACGATGACTAGCTTCTCTCCATGTGCTATAGTACTAGGACCCTTGGTCTGGAATTCTCGCAAATGCCCAATCCCAAACCCTGCGTTGATTGGGCTGCAGTTGGACTTCCGCGGCATGAGGTTGGCCCTGAGATGAGAGTCGATGCAAGCTTGGCTTTGACTCCACACTCGGACTGTCGCGTGCGTAGGTCCAGAGAAGCGTTGGGCTGGGAGAGAGCCAGTAAAGTCTTCATGGCAGGGCTCGTATCGAATGAATGAAGGAGAGACGTGAGCTGAACCCGATGGTGACTATTTGTTACGTTAGGCCTGCCAGGACCTTCAAAGGAGGCGGCAAAATCAGCCTCAATAACCATCACGCAATTAGGAATCGAGACCGCTGGGGAGCATAGTGGTAGAACTGGGGACTTTACAATCAGGTCCGGAGTTCAGGAAAGGGTCACTTGGTGGCTTGACGTAAAAGGTATCGTCGCCGGTAAGTGCGGAGAAGGGTGATAGAAAACAGCGGATGAGTGAATGATAGAAGCAATCGTAGTCGATGTTGTCGGTCTACTGGTCCATCCTACACGAAGGATGTCCTTCAGAATTACGCATATTCCCAGAGGCTGTTACCGTGGTATCAAACCCGTTCAATACGAATTCTCCAAATACGGCAATGGTGGACCACCCATCTTGATCACGGACTGAGCAGTGTCCATTCGATGGAGAGACGGCCACCTCGAAGTCGCTTGTGAACAGCAGTGGACAATTGTGACAAATCTGCCATTTAACACAGCTCTATGGCGGTTGTCAATTACGTTCTGTATCGAAGTGTAGTACTAGATAATGTATCCCCTTGCCAGGGACCTCTGGACGAACTCGCCGACGGTCTTTTGTGCCCTTTCGTCACTTGGCGGCTCCAGCCCAAGCCTCTCGTTATCCGGATTCTGCCAAACGGTCAATCCCCCTGTGAACGGGATAGTAAGAACCTCCGCGAACTCTTTCCACGTAAAGGTGCCGTTTCGCATATTCTCGTCTGCCATCCTCTTTTTCTCGGCGATTGAGAATGAAGTGATCTCCCATGGATCTCTGGACTCTGAGGCTTCCTCGAAGCTTTTCACGATACGCTGAAGGGTGGTCTCGCCATCGCAGATATAGAAGAAGCTGTTCTTGACTTTAGGATATCTGGTCAGAAGGCTGTCGAGTCCCTTGGTGAGTGTATCAAGGCTGGATACAGAGATAAGGCCGTGTCCACCGTCGCCGAGGAAAGCAGTTCGTTTCTTTAGATCCATGGGAGCGAAAGAGCTTATGTCTGAATGGATCAATCAGTGGACGAGCTTTAACGACTGATGACGGGCTCACTTACTCAACAACAAATTGCCAACATGCAGACTCACAAAGTCAATTTTGCCCTCAGCAGATCTGCACATCAGGTAGTTGTGCACTACTCTCTTCGCCGCAATAGCTGGGGTAGGAGGAAGAGTATTGGGTCCAATTCTCTCCAGTGTCGCTCCATTTCCGCCCGCGGTATCAGGGGCCCATTCTGATGGCACGAAGAGCTTCACCTTGGCTTCAATGGCCGCATTGATGAGCGCAATTTGGATGATGTCGAGGTCTGACCCCGGGCCAAATTGCGTGAATACGACCACGGCATCGGCACCAGTCAGGGTCTTGACGAGGCGTTTGTGATCCTTCAGGTCAACCCGGACGATGGGAATGCCTTCTGGCACTTTGCTTTTGTAGACGGAAGGGTCTTTTAGGCCGATGAAAGTGATGTTGTACTTGTTTGTGGCCGCCACGCGAGATAGGATCTGGCTGCCGAGTCGGCCTGCCTGTTGGAAGAATGAGTTGAGAAATCCTGTTGGTCTCATTTCGTTGAGGGCCTTTTACTCACGCCGTACCACACGATGCTCTTGATAACAGATTTGGATGCCATGATGAGTCACGACGAAAAAGCCCCTGGATATTTCGGGCTCTCGATCGTATCGAATCGGCTGTGACTTTTGCTCACGAGTCTTTGCCTCTCGTTCTTTCGACCTGGACAACGCTCGTCTTAAATCATTCCATACAACCGCGATAGCGACGGCACGTTCCGAATGATTATTATTTGTTATTGACTCCATTACGAACTGTCGTTATATCCCACCGGCGATCAAAATCTTCTACATTGTATACCGAATCCATTGTCTCGTCATCCAGTGCACACAGCATTTGCCGAAGAGAGGTCTCTCTCCCACTTGGTGATTAATAATCGTGGTATATCTGAGGAGCAGGTCATGATTCAACAAGAGAGATGCCAGCATGTTGAGGATGAAGTGTCGGGGGAAGGGAAAATGGATGTTCAACAAAGAGGCATTCAACAGAAATTGTTTGACAATACGGCCCTGAGCTTCCAGTGATACGACATCTGATACATGCACAGCTTTGGGATTACTGATCTCGCCGGGAATAGAGGATGTAGAAACTTGAGACCAATCGAAGACAGGCAAGGATGGCCTTGTCGACCAACATATTTCGATTGCTCTGGATAGTCTCGGCAAGCTACGAACTATTGCGTAGGCCGTTGGGGGTCCGAAGACAGGGTGTGACTCCGCGAGGAGGGGTTTTACGAGCCCTCTGCTAGAATCCAGGCATCTCTGAGCTTCCGCACAGTTTTGCAAAATAACAAGCAACGTTGATTCCTCTTATATGTACTTGTTAGAGGTATTGGCTTCTCCTAAGTCTAGTGTTAGATCGATCGTCCGTTGATTCGCGACTTGGTGGCACGCCGCGGTCGTGATATCGATGGGCAAAGGGAGGAGAAGGTGTGACGGACGCCACATCCTCATCCACAAACTGAATTCCTTTTACCAGATCTACCGCGGGCCATCCAGTCGGCTTCGCTATTATAATGTTGCCTCTGAATCAGCTACATTTAGTAGGGCTGGAGAATCGTGGCATCGTGTCGGTGGGGTGATTCATCTCGAAATGGCGGCAATTGGCGGCAATTGGCGTCCCTGCTTCGTGAGTTACAGAGCGGCATCACTTTCAGACCAGATGCCGACGGAAGAAGGCTCTTTCTATATATATGAGATATCCTTCCGTTATTCATACCTTCCAGAATTCGCCTGTCATAGCATTATGCATCAACTGACCAGCTTCATGTTAGTTCTCATTCCGATGACTCTATACTTGCGCCAACGGTAAGCTGATTCGCCCCGTCCAGCTTGTTTCCCACGCCACCGAGCTCGCCCGATGCCCCGCTTAACGATCACGACATCTCTTCAGGGCCTTCGTCATTCTGCCGCTGCTGAAAACAGCAATAAATAGAGAAGAGAATCCCTTGAATCTACAGACTTCGTATTTCTGCTGAGGCAAACTGATGTAGTGAGATGCCTCTCTATTTTGTGTATGAAACATATCGAGAGTACAACTGCAAGTGACCCAACCAGCTATTACTCACTTGCGAACCTGGCTGGAACAACTTCCTTGGTTCGATCCTTCGGGTCATACGGCAGGGATCGGTTATCATCATCAGGACGCTCTGATAGAGACGTATGATTCACCAATAGAGCATCTGTCGTACTGAATAGACCATGAACAATCCCCTTGCTTACTTGCCCTCTTCTTTTGCCTGTGATGACAAACAATTGTGGCGAGCGAGGGCACATCGAACTCTTGGATATCCAACTGGCTACGACTCTACCGTATAGGGTTCCTGCGGCTAAGAGAGCACTAGTTCTACTAGGGTAGATGCGTGCTGACCATGCAAGCCGTACGACGATTGCTAGACAAGTTGATGCATGATCGTACTTTAGCCTTGAGTAGATAAACCGCCGGGGGGCTTGGGACCACCTTGAGGAAACAGCAACCTAGCTCCCATCGCGCAACCACAAGTCTATGACAGTTGCCCGCTCTGCAGGTGTCTCTTGGATTCTGGGCACTGGTTCATAGGCTTCAGTACAACATAGCAATCAAATGACGGTTATAACATCGTCAAAGACGATGATGACGATTGCTGAGGCTTCTACCCTCACATCATTTGCAACGGCCACCTTAAAACCGGTACCCTACTCTCAGCGACAGCTGCTGCTCCACGATCCTCGACAGCCATACAAACTCCACACCGACAAAGAGATCCCTGAGCTCAGATTCGGAGATTTGTTAGTTGAGGTGTATGGAATCGGCTTGAACCAAATCGACTGGAATACAACGTGCGTACGAAGCATGTGCGGTCTTCATTTGCCCCGCAGAGTTATTGCCCGGTCCTCTGCTGCGAGATATTTGACTAACATAATGAGTTGGACATCAGAGATCTTGGACTTGTCCTCCCATCACTACCTTGTGTCAATGGGCGCGAGTTTATCGGCAGGATTATAGCCTCAAACGTCGACCGGAAATGCAGGCTTCAGCCTGGGGAGTGGGTAAGTTGTCTATGTCCAGATACTGCCGCATTGATCCATGACTCACAGGATATTGGTCAAGGTTCTCGCCGTGTCTACTGACCACCGCGACTTGAGAAAAGCGGCGTTTCAAGAATATGCCATTGTCTCTTGCTACAACGCGATGCGAATCCCTAAGCATGTCGAACCATTCCAAGTCGCTTCTATGGGCGTAGCCTACGTCGCCGCAGGTATCGCCCTCGGAGTCTGCTTGGGCGTTACGTTCACAAAAGGGCCAAAGAAGAGAGAGTTTAACCTGCTAGAGAATGCCAGAATGTACCCGGAGGATGTGCCCGACGATCTCGCAGATGAAGTCTTTGATGCCATGGCACCTTGCTATCAAGCGCAGCCCGGGGAATGGCTCTTGGTCTATGGAGGTGAGTGGCGCTATTTGCGACGACGATGGGACAGATTGAAAGGATGCAGAACTGACTTTTTTGCAGCGTCGACGATTACTGGGCAGATCGCCATTCAATTGGCGAAGCTGGGAGGACTGAAGGTGGTGGGCGTCGCCGACCTCAACAAACACAAGCCACTTTTACAGTTGTTGGCAACCGGTGAGTCAAGCACAAGATACCGATAAAGATGAATCTTACTTACGACCGCATCCAGACGTCTTGGTTGACGGCAGCGACCTTGATCAAGCGAAGCGGGACATCAAACGGCTGATTCCAGGCTCTCTCAGATTCGCCATCGACGCCGTTGGACCAGAGACCGCAGAGTGGTGTCAGCAAGTCCTTGCGGACCGCACAAGTTCAAGATACTGCCGCCCAGGGCAAGAGAGCCCGACGAACCCGCCACCCGTTGATCCGGTTACTCGGGGAGGAGGCAGCAAGCTGAGCCATCTCGTTGCTCTGAGGGGCAAGCCTGAGACAATTAATCCCAACATCCAGGTGCATACGGTACCTATCAGGCTGTTTCACACAAGCCAATACGTCGGAGGCCATTTGAGTAAGTGGCTTTATGAGCTACTGGATACGAACAAGCTACAACCTCCCGAGGTCGAGTTCGTACCTGGAGGGCTTGCTGCGATCAATGGGGCTTTGGAAAGGTTGAAACAGGGTAAAGCGTCAGGCAAGAGGCTTGTGATCCGAGTCAAGGAGCTAGACGTGAAGATTGGGCAACTATCGCAGATGGAATAGAACTGTTACGAGCGATTTTTGTCGGTGCAGCTTTTCGAACGTTCTTATACACCTAGACATTCTATAAACAATGTGATAATTACAAAAGGAAACAGAGGAACTGGGTGAATGGTCTGAGAAGCATAATCGCTACCAAACGGGCGAATCCTCCTTTTACTTATCCCGAACTTTTCGACTGGTCAAGATAGCATCGTCGCCGCAACCTCGGGATGGTATCAAAGCACATCTTGCGCGAATAGAGGCATATCCATTCCGAAGTATATGGTAGCTCAAGCAGCTGTGGTACGCTTCTTGAGATAGATGTTCAATGGCATACGCTCCCACACCAAGAACGTGCGCAGCGCATCATGCCAGCCCTCCTGGCCGGGAGCCAGATCGAAATCGAACCCGAACAGCAACCGTGAAAGAATCAGGCGCATTTCGGAGTAGGCAAGGTTCTTACCAATGCAGTCTCTTGGTCCGTAGCTGAAGGGCTTGAAAGTGGCACGATTGTCAGCTGCGAACTTGTCATCGTACAAGGGATGAGACTTGGGCAGCCATCGCTCAGGCAGGTAGGAGTCAGGCTCAGCCCAATGGTCGGGATTGTGGTAGGTGGCCATCTGAAAAACAGTAACAGTAGTCTGCGTCGCGTGTGGTCAGTCAAACAATAGTCCTGCCAGGGTAAATAAATCTGGAAATGACTTACTCCCTGGGGTACCCATTTACCATCAATCGTTCCTCCCGGACTTTGTCGCGGGGGCGTCTCAGGAACCGGAGGATACACACGAAGAACTTCCTCGATGCACGCATGGAGATACTCTAGCTGCTGCGTCGAATTGAGAGTAATCTCTTCTTCATCGGAGAAAGCGGAACGAATCTCCTCTGCCAGCCTTTTGTAAGCAACTGGGTTGCTACCAAGATAAAACACCAAGGCGGATAACGTTGAGGAAGTGGTTTCGCTGCCTGCTGTAATGATAAGAGGAGAGGAAGCCAGGATTTCTGGGACGAGAAAGCCGAATTCGCCGTCGCGGTTCTTCTTGAGCATGAAGGACACGAAGTCGCGGTAGCCTTCGATGGCGCAGTCGCCTTGTTTGATGCGCGCCTGGGCCTTCTCCACGATATAATCTCTATTGTCGGTGCTGCTATTAAGATCGCTAATGACCCGAAGCCTTTTGACAATCTCGTGAGCCAGGGGGAACTGGCTGAGGAAGCGGCGGTAGGAGTCGCCGCGAAAGCCATTGAAGAAGGCGGATACCCAAGGATGATAGCCGTTGTTTTCAAGACAGTGGAAGGGCTCCGAGTGGTAAAGATGGCCGATAATATCGAATGTTGTAAAATCGAACCATTTGATGACGTTGAAGCTCTCTCCAGTGTCGGCCCTATCGGCGAAACGCCTCATGAGAAGGTCGACGTACCGCTTCATGACGCTTTCTTGGTCCCGTAGTGCAGAATCACTGAACGCATGGGCGAGTTGCCGTCTCTGTCGCCTGTGCTTGTCTTTGGGAGCCGCAATGAGGGCGGTGGTGTCCTCCTGAAACAGAAACCCGGGCACTTTGCCGAACTCCTCTTGGCCAGCCTTGTGCCCGTAGACTTCGGGCCAACCAACGGATCCGTCAACCGCGAGATGATCTGGGCCGACACGCACAATGGGGCCATACTTTTGATGAAGCTTCCTGATTGTGTTGTGCATGTTACCACAGATGAAGCTGTCATACATGTAGGGAAGATAGAAAGCAGCCATGTGAGTTGGACCGGGGAATTTAGATAGCGGATGAAACCAGACGTTGTAGAAAGCAACCCCTACACGCCATGTAATGAACTACACCATTGGCAAATTAGTCTCGGAGGAACTCGCCATGTTTCAGAGACGGGTTATAGTCGGATGATAACTGACCATTCCAGCAAATATGCCTAGCAACTGGAGGCCACTCTTTTGTGTTAACTCCTCGAGGATTTCTTGCACAAGGCCTTGAACCCGTGGAACGGCCAAGTGTGGCCCTTTGGCGTTAGTGAGGACACTATCCATGGTGCCGTATCAGAATATTCGAGTCTGATATCTCTCTCAGGCTGTATGGACTTGCTGGGGGAGATATTGGTGTGATGGTAACGATCTATCCAAGGAATCTGGCTGTATTTGTACCTTTTTCATCTCTGTCTTCGCCTCCCTATTATTCGATTCGTCATCTTTCTATACCATGCTTTTCTTCCCGGTTAAAAACATTCCCAGGACGGGAAATGTTACGATATGGTAATATCAAAGGGGTACATCATATGAATAAGGAGCTAAATGCGTGTACGTAACTCCCAAGGTCCAAATGTAAAACACGCGCGTTCAAATTATCGTCTTTGCGGGGTCTCGGCAAGTAGACACTGTCCGGATGAATCTCACCTTCCTGAGTATGATCGTAGCTAATGTACAAAGTTGGGCTTTTACCACTAAGCTGATTCACTGCCATCCTTTCACATAAACGCCTACAATTGAAACACCCTCATTGGACAGCTGGCACAGAAAGACTATTAGTGTTGCAACATGATAAGCGCCCATGTAAAGGCATCTAATTACTTTGTTTACAATGAGTGGTATCAAATAAGTGATGGAGACCTGGTGGCTGCGAGTTACGACGAGACGTGACGTCTGCGATAGACGCCCCAGTAAGAAGTGGGAGCTTATCAGGAATGCGACTTAACTTACAGTTGAAACACCTTTCGGAAATCGAGTAGTAATATGGCTGGATACAACAAGATGAGATTCGCGTCATGCTCTAGATTCAGTATGTAACTCTCGCGCAGTCGGAAGTTATGTATTCTCCGGGTGATTTGGCACGGGTCTCCTACTGCAGGCAAGGCAAGGAATTCAGACTGTCGTAGACTATTTTATCAACATCCTGGTAACGCGTTCAGTTACTGCTTCTGGAATTGACTATAACACACGTACTATTCCTGACGGTGGGCCATATTCCCGGCTTACGGACGACGTGCTTGTACATGCTGCGGCGGACTTCGGCTGAGTGGACATGCTATTCTAACTTCCCTTGCCAAACGTTGCCCCTGTGATTCCTGAACGCATTTGAATAGCTATACTTGTGCTTTCACAGATGAGATTAGCAATTGCAAGCAGCCAGCAGGTAAAGTAGCTGGCAATGGGATGTCTTGAAGAAAGGTTAGAGTGTTGGTTGAGAGAGGTTGCAAAGTAACCCTTAGTTTGAGATACAGGTATAGGCAACTGATTGCCTGAGATATCGGTGAGACTATCAAGATGTGTCCCTTCTCTCCCCTAAGAGCCACAGTGGCCTGGATATTACCAACGCTTAAAGTTGTTTATGAAGCAAATTAGCCGCTCTAAGCTTGCATATCCAAGTACCATACTTTCCCTTCGGCTATTGGGCTTCACTCCTTACTCTCTAGGAATATCCTAAGCTTTTTCTGAGCTATCGGATGCTTTGCGAATCATCCAACCGGGGGCCTGGTATCTTGAAATATTTTTCATTTAGAGTGCCACAGCTATAATAAATTCGTGATTCTAGCCTCTTTTGCAACGCGCGCGGTAGGGTTATATCGGGAAATATGTAAGTGTCATAGGGTTGAGTTCTATCGGGAAATAAGTGTCACAGAGGGAGAGGCGGAGTAGAAGCAACGGGTGTCCATGATTATCCCCCACGCTTCACCTAACTCCTCATTGCAAGCTTTTCTCGACGAAGTATAGTTACAGTTACTACGGGGTTATGCAAGCGGATCGTGCCGTATGCAAAACAGCCGAACATGGCCGAACAAATTAACCTGCCGAAGAATGACGGAGATAGGCTGCATATCAGTTCCATATCTGATGGGAGCCAGAAGGTTAAAGCTTCTGTAATACACGTATTAGGAGGAGCTTCCCAGGCTAGTAGGATAAGAATTCTATCAGGCCATATCAATAACCAAGAGATGGGATTCAGAAGGTACTCGTCTTACAGAGAAGTTGGATTTATCCAAGTACCTGCGTAACACAGGAGTGTTACTGATGGCCTAAACGCGCATATTTCATGCTTAGGGCAGCGGTGTCTATTCCATGTCTATTCTTTTCTCCCTCCTCCGTATGGTTACGCGTACCTGTATATTGCAGTTACAGCAACGGATGAGGCTTGTTCGGAATTGCATCTCCGAGTTTTGCGGAAAGACAAACTCCGCAATGTCTTTTTATGCAGTCATCAGCAACTCATCCGACCCTGTAACTACCTTATCTATCATGCAAGCAGCATACCGCCAATCACAGGTAATAGCAGGTAGCCAGGAAAACTAAAAATAGACCATTGATCTTCAACGCAAAACGGCAGTTCATTTCGCTCGCAGGTCCTCCGGGGTATCGGGCTGGTTCTGCCAATGCGCCTTGACAACCGCTGGATGCTTGCTCAAGTTCTCGCTAATCCTCGTAACAATAGGAAACGCATCCAGATCAACGCCGTATCTCCGAGCATTCCACACGGCCGGCAGTAGACATACATCAGCCAGGGTAACGGCATCTCCAACCGAGTACTCGCCGGCCCAGTCTTTGACGGCCACCTCATAGGCTTCGAGCACCTCCGTCATGATCTCCTTGTTCCACTGCTCTGCATTCCCCCCGATTGCTCGGATACGCTTCATTATCTTCATGTTTGTGACGGGCTGCAGGTCGCAGGCGATGATTGCGGCCAGGGCACGTGTAACTGCTCTCGCCTCCGGATTGGACGTTGGTGGCAAGATGTGGTAGCTGTCGGGGTGTGTTTCCTCCAGGTACTCAATAGCAGCTACTGATTGGCCAACCGAGAAGACATTTCCATTGCCAGAGGTGCGCACCAGCAGCGGCACTGTAGCGGTTGGATTGCGGGCTTTGTAGTCGCTCGCCAAGTGATCCCCTTTGAGGAGGTTCACGGCCTGTAGTTCATAATCGATGTCCTTGAGGTTCAGAACAATCCGAAGCCGAGCTGAGCAGGAAGAGCGGAAGTAGCTGTACAATGTGTATGTAGGGTCCGACATGGTGATGGGTTCACCTGGCTTTTAGAGAGCGGGGTTGTAGGGTTTGGGCCAATATTTGTTGATGCCTCGTAGTGTCTTACTGCTGTATTTTGGATAATGCTGCAGACAATGAAACTCGACGGGCTAGAATGGCCAGCTTCGAATCGGTGATTGACAAATTGAAGCTCTTGCAAATGTCAATCAAGGGACGAGCTTTCTTGTCTGTATTTGACTTTGGAGGCGCTGCGCGGAAAAGGTCCGCAGAGCCGATTCCGAGCTTAAGATCATCCCGCCGATAGCCTGCCTGGGCCGAGATCTTGAGTTTATTCAGATGGTCTCGTTGGTTCTAACGCTGGCGGGTAAACAGTACCCTCGCAAGCCTTGTTGCCTCGCTAGGACACTCACTGGTAAGGGTTAGTACTAAAGTTGCAATAACCTATAGGTATTTTTAGGTATAAGGCAGCATGCTAGCCTATAGGCGGGGTTTAGGTGTAAAAATAGGCATATTAATAACTAGCGCCTAATTTAAGCGCCTAATTTAAGCGCCTGGTATTTTTTAAGCAGTTAATAGGCTATGCATATAGGCAATGCCTAATAGGTATACCTATTTTAGGCAGTTAGTTTATAAAGTGTTTAAAAATTAAATAAAGTTCTTAAATAAATTATTATAAGAGATTATTATAAAATATATAGTATTTTTAAAAGATAATTATATATACTATATATTAATTATGCCTTAATGCCTTTACTATTAGCTTTTTTAAATGCCTTAATAATTATAGTTATAGCTAGGTGCTGTTTTATTATAAAGATAATTCTATATATACCTTTTAATATAAGTAGCTAGAGTAATAAGCTATTAATAATATTTAAGATTAAAAACTTAAGCTTATTAAAATATTAAGAGTTATAAACCTAAGCTAGGGTAAATAAAGGCTTATAAAAAGATAGCTATTATTATTATTTTTATTATTATTAATAAAATTAGTCTTTTAACCTTTTAAAATAAATAAAAATAATATAAAATTTAGCTTATTAACTTATTAAGCTATTATAATCTCTTACTTTACTAGCTTTATAAGCTAAAAGAGTATAATAAAATAAGTATTTATAGCTTATAAAATATATAAATAGCTTAATGCCTTTTTAAGTTTAAAAAGCTATATATTATATAACCTCTTAATCTGCTAATTAAGGTAATTCTTATAGCTTAAAAAAGAAAGTTATTATTAATAATCCTTTTATTTAAAAAGGTAGATATTATATTACTTTTAAATTATTTAAATATATAAGTAAGAGTAATTAAAATAATAAATTTAATAATAAATACTTTAACCTTTTTTTAAAAAAATACTGCTTAGTTATATAATAAGAAAGTCTTTAGCTATTTAAGCTAGGTAAATATATTATAAAATATAAAAAAAGTATAATTAAAATTAATAAATAGTTTTATTCTTATTATAAGCTAAGATAATTAAACTTAATAATAAAAAAAAAAGGTATAAAAACTAATACCTTTATTAAAAAAGTTATAGTAAGTTTAATTTACTTATTATAATAGATTTTAAGTTTAATAAAATAATTAATTAAAAAGAGATTAATTATTATATATAATTATTATAAAAATATACTTTATTAAGGCTAAATAAGATTATATAGATATTATTTTATAAAGTATAAAAAGCACTAGCTTCTAGTGCTATTAAGTAATAATATTACTTATAATTACTAATAAAAGCTACTTTAAAAGTATCTTTTAAATCTCTTAATAAAAAATTAAGGTATTTAGTACTAGCCTATCTTATATTTAAATTAAGATAACCTTTAGGTAAATATAATAGCTATATAATATAATATATATTTTAATCCTTAAGTATAATTATAATATACTTTTCTAGCTTAGCTTAAGTAAAAGTAATAGCTAGAATAAGAGAGTTTTACTAGCAGGTAGTTAATAAAGACTAAACACTTTTTTAAAGGTTAATTAATATAATTAAAAGATATAAGGTGCTTACTTTTAGGTATTAAATAGTTATTACTAAGGTAGTATATAAGTAGTTATTTATATTATTTATTATTTATAAAAATAAATAATTAATATTAATAAGATATTTAATTTAATACTAGTTTTTTATAATAATAGCCTATTTTTCTTTATAAAGGCTTAATAAAAAGAAATTAATAGTATTTTTTAAAAGCTATATATAAATAAGTATTAAGGTTATTAAATTCTAGTATATAAGTATATTATATAAAAGGTATAAAGGCTTTTTATAATAAGGTAGTATAAGCCTTAAATTACTTTATTATAGTTAAAGGAACTTTATGCTTTATTTAAATTTTTTTTTAAAAAGCTAAGCTAGGTATTATATTTAATATAATATAATTAGCTAATTATTATATATAATTAATATAAAAAGTATACTTTTAAAATAGTATTTATAATATTAAAGCTATTAAATAGTAACTTATTATCCTTATCCTTTAAGTTCTTATTATTATAAATAGCTAGGTTAAGATTATATAAATAAATAAATATTATAAGATTATACTAAGCTAGTTTTTATATATTAAAGATTTTAGCTACTAGAAGATTAATAATATATACTATATAATATATTTATTAAATATTAATATATATAAAAAAGCTAAGTTAGTTTTAAATAATAGTATTTAGCTAGCTAGTATTTAAGTAAGAGCTATTATTAATAGTAATAGCAGATATATAATTAAGTAGTATATACTGCCTTAAATAATTAATAATATAATTAACTTAGGCATTAGTATTTTAATTCTTTAAAATATTAATAAATACTAGAGTAATTTCTTTTAAGCACTAATTTATATTAATAAAGTAGCTAATAACCTTAAGGATATAATATTTACTAAATAGTAATATCTAGCTATTAATTATAAAGGAAATATTTATATAAGGTAGTAGGTTATTAAAGATGCTTTATTAAATATCCTTTATATATATAAATATATACTTTATAAAATATAGATAAGATAGTATTTTAAACTTAAAGGAAAGCTAATAAAGAAAGTTTTATAATAATAGATTTTAAATAATATTTATAAAAAGGTTATTTACTATAAGTATATAAATAAGCAGTTATATAGCTTTAGTTTATTACTTTTATAAGCTAGCCTATATCCTTAATTATTATATATAATTATTATAAATAAAAAGAATATATTATATAAGTAAGTTTATTCTTCTTTAAACTATAAAAAGCTAACTATAAGGTATATATTAATTTATATAGTTAAAAGACTTTATATAATAATTTATAGCTATTATTCTAGTTAAATTTTAATTAAAGTAAGTAAAAGTCTTTTTATAAAAAATATAAATAATTATAGGATTACTTATTAAGACTTATATATTAAAATAAAAAGATTTCTAAATTACTATAAGTTATTACTTTATAAAAATTTATAATACCTTTTTTTAATATTCTTTAAGTAATAAATATAATAATAGCTTATTAAAGTGCCTTTAGGTAATATAATAGTTATACTATTAAGAAGATTACTATTAAAAAAGAAAAATATTACTAGCTGCTATATTAAATATATAGCAGAAAAGGACTTTAAGCTCTTAAAGTATTAAAAAGCAGCTTAAAGCTATAATAGTAATACCTTTACTATAGTATTAAAATAAAATATAAAGATTACTTTAAATAATTATTATAAACTATTTATAAGTATTTTTAATATTTTAAGGTAGTTATACTTACCTTTTTCTTTATATATATTAAGTATTATAACTTATATAAAAAACTTTTTACTTATAATATATATACTATAAGGTAACTTATATAATATCTAGTCTAAACTTAGCTAAATCTATATAATTATTAGCTAATTAATATATAGTAGTAATATTTTAAAATTACTTATAAGGATTAATATAAGTTTTCTTATATTAATATATATAATAGCAGCTTTATAAATACTTTACTAACTTTTAATTCTTTTTAAACTAATTTTTTTATTAAAAGTGCTTAAATAATTATTAGTTTTTTATTTTTTAAAGTTAAAAATTTAATATTATATTACTTTTTCTTATTTAGCTATTTTATTATTATAATTATTTATATTAATTATAGCTATTATATTAATTTAATAAATAGCTTAATAAATAGGCTTTAAGATAATAAGACTTAAGGTTAAGATAAAGAAAATAAAAGTAGTTTTATAAACCCTTAACTTAAGACTAAAGCTAAAAAAATAATAATAGCACTAGAGTAATATGTCTTTTAACCTCTTACTATATATATATTTTCTTATAATAAATAGCTATTATTTTATAAGAGATTAAATACTTTTAAAAAAGTATAAATCTTATTATTTATAAAAGTATATTTTATTAGCTAGTATATAAAGTTATATTTAAGATTAACTATTAATTATAAGTTTATAATAATATCTTAAAAGTAATATAAAAAGCTATTAAAGCCTTTCTTATCTGCTTATTTAAATATAGGTTATCTTATACTAAGTACTTACTATTTATTAATATATTTATAATTTATAAATATAAACTTTTATATAATTTATATAAAAAGACTTATTTTTTTAAATGCTAATATTATATTAATAATAAGAATTACTATTAAAGTTAGTCCTTAAAAGGCGTATTTATTAAGATAAAAGTAATAAATATAATTATTATTTTAAATTATTATAATTATAGTTTTTAATTTACTAAAAGCTTATTAATCTTTATAATCTTTATTATTTAAGTTCTTAAATTTCTTAAAGCTATTATTATTTTCTTCTTTTTTATCCTTTTTAGTATTATTTATATTTACTAATTTATTACCTTTTATAATAAGAATCTTATTTAATACTAAAGTAAAGTTTATAAGCAGTTTTTAAATTAATCTTTTATAAATAATTTAATATTTAAGCTTTTAAGCATGCTTTATAAACTTATTATTTATAAAAATTATATTAACTAGTTATTTAATAAACTTATTATCTTAAATTAATACTAAATTAAGAAGAGCTTCTTATTTAAAGCATTAATTTAATTATTAATTTTAATAAATATAATAAATTTAGTAAATAAATATAGTAATTATATTAAACTAAGTAAAGATACTATATTATAAGCTATTAAACTAGAAAATACACTTAAAATTAGCTTTATACTTTATAATAAAATAATAAAATATACTATAAACTAGTAATTAATATAATTAATTATTATAATAATAAAGGATAAAGAGTAGTACTAACTATAGCGCTTATTTCTTCTTTAATAGCTTATTATTTAAGCACTTTAAATTAAAGAGGTATTAAACTTATATCTTAATTAATAAAAAGAGATACTATATAGTAATTAAGATAGTAGTAATACTATTTAAATATTAATAAATATAGATAATAAAGTATAAGGTAATTAAAAATATATATATTTTACTACTGCTTTATTTAAAGGTATGCTTTTTAAATAGCCTTTAGCTAAATAATTTATATTTATAGCTTTATAATAAAGCTATTTAAGGTAAAGGTAATAAGATTTTAGGCCTTTTTTTAAGTAATCCTTATATATTATTAAGTAAAATTATAAGCTTTATATAATAATTTAATATAATAATTAGTAAAATATCTTAAATATATTCTTAAGTATATTTATTAAGGCTATAGTAGGATTTAAAAGTGTAAAAAAAATAAGCAGCTTATTCTCTTTATTATTATAGATTAAGTTATATACTTTTAGCTATAATGCTTTAGCTTTAGTAATATTAGTATTATTTTTATTTTCTTATACTAGATTATTATTATCTTAGGCTATATTATAAGCATTAGCTTAAAATTAAAAGATATTTAAATTATTATAAACTTAATTAAAATAATTACCTTTAAGTATATTAAAATAATATTAAATTAAAAATAAAAAATAGTATAAAATACTTATACTTTATTATTATAAGTCTTAATATAATTAGCTTTTAGTTATTTCCTTATCTTTATATTACTATATTTTTATTTATTTAACTTTTAAAGCTTTAATTTTACTTATTAAATAGCTTAAGCTAGTAACTGCTTTTTTTATTTATACTTATACTTAATTTTTAGTATATTAATAAGGCATTAGCAGGCTTTTTTTATATATAGATTCTTAAATAGTTCTTTATTATTAAGGCATTTCTTATTCTTACTTAATAAGTAATTATAATTATGCTTTACTAGCTTTATTATTAAGCTAATTATTATAAAGGATTATTATAATTAATTTATAGTAAATAGTAATAAACTTAAAAGGTAATATATACTTACTAGTTAATAGTAATTATAAAAGAGAGGAAAAAAATATAATAAGGCTGCTAGTAATAGGATTTTATAATAAAAAAAAGAAAAAAAAAAAAAACTATAATAAAGAAAAAAAAGAAAAGAAAAAAAAAAAAAAAAGAGAATAAAAAAAAAAGGATAAAGAAAATATAAGTTAATATTTAAAAAGGGCCTTAGGTAATAATAAATAACTTCTTTATCTTTTTAAAAGTAAAGTAAATAAAATATAAATTTTAATTTACCTTTACCTTACCTTTTTTATTTATATTATAATAGTTTTATATATAGATTTACACTTTAAATAGCTTTATTTAAAATAACTATAATATTAAAAAAGAGTTTAACTATTTACTTTATACTTACTTTACTTTATTTTTACTTTTATTTAATAGTAAATTACTATTAATTTTAATTTTAATAGTAAATTATTACTAATTCTTTATTTAATATCCTTTTTATCTTTTTTTTTTTTATTTTCTTTTTCTTTTTTTTATAAATATTATTACTAATACTATTAATAATAATAATAATAATAATAATAATAATAATAATATTAATATTAATAATAAAATGCTATTTACTTAACTTTATATTATTAAATAGCACTATAATAAGGCTAAAAGACTTCTTAATAATAGCACTGCCTTAAATATAATAGTATAAGCTATTAAAAGAAAAAAATAATTTTACTTTAGCAGTATATATTTTAATTATTATAGCTAATTATTATATATTAATTCTTTTATAGCTATTACCTTAAAAGAAATCTACTGCTATTAAAATACTACTGCTTTAATTATATTAAAAGCGCCTTTTATATACTTTATTAAAGAACTTATCTTTAATATAAGCCTTTATAAATATATTAAAATATATTATAAGGCCTTTTATATACTATAAGAGACTATAAAAATATTTTTTATTAAAGTCTTTTAAAGCAAGTCTATCTTATTATTTAGTTATTATACTATATTAATATTCTTAATAGCTATTAACCTTTATGCTATTTATACTTAATATATAATTATTATGCTAAAGGATCTTATATTTTTATATTTAATTTTTAAAATTCTAGCTTTAAAGCATGCGCTTATTAATAATATAAATAGTATTAAAAGTATAATAGCTATTAAAAACAGGCATTAGTAAAGATAAAGTATAAACTAGAATTAAGAATTTATTTTATAATACTTATAAACTAGTTTAGCAGTAGTTATAATTATTATATTTAATTAATATATTATATAGGTAGCTAGTGCTTATTAAGTACTTAAACTTATATCCTTTTCTTTTAAGCAGCCTATTCCTATCTATAGGCTAATTACTTAGCCTATCTAGGTCGCCCCTGCCTATTAGGCGGCCTATAGGACCTATAGGCTGGGTTTTTGCAGCTTTAGTTAGTACTACCGGGTCCGGTTGTAATACACGGAGACCGAATGGATTAAATACACCGACCCAGACCAAGAGGCATGTTTGGATGGACCATACAATATGCGTACATGACGGAACTAGGCATCAGCCTGAAGCTACAGCCTCGTTTAACAACGGACAGCAAGAAGCCTTCAACTCCGAATAATTGCTTTGAACCCCTAAGTCATCATTTGTCGGTAGTTCCTTGAACACTGAATTCACCTGGAACTGTTTGCCTAAGCATTCAGCTAAGGTAGTGTGGTCTTACCACCATTGAGTGATGAGAGGGGGCGGGCAATATGTCGCTGAGATGATGTCCGTTCCGCATCTCAACTCGATAATTGATTCCGTCGTGCAGCCAGGGTTATTACTTCATACACTGCGAGTTTTAGAGCCACTTGTCGGGGTACCACTGCCAAGAAACACATATGCTCGTTCAAACGCGAATACTGTTTACCAGATCAGCATCAGCCAGGTTTCAAAGCCTCAGCCGGGATACGCAAATTGAGATCATTCGTGAAGCTTCGATGTCCACCCCCGGCATCTGATGAACACTCTTCAGGATTCGTAAAAGTCGGGAGCCTCAGACTTCCATACAAAGCTCATTCAAGTGAACAAGTCATAATGACTCTGGTGTATCATTCGGCGACATCATTTGTCCGCCTTCCGCTTCCCCGCCCGGTTCTTCAACACCACTTCCGACAGAACCAATGCGAATTCGGGCTGCTATCCGCACTGAATACCTGAATTGGCGACCCCTCAACTTTGCATTCATGCGCTTTTGTACTGTATGTCAACTCGTGGGAATATCTAGACAGAAATGTAGCCTACAGAATTGGCGTGAAGCATGTATATTAACTTATATGAAAACTGTTACAGCACTAAATATGCTTTAAACTGGTTCAAGCTCATCTCAATTGGTACCGTCTTTTCAGCTGGTGCACGCCCATGTCGTTGAGATTGAGAAAGCAGGCCATCCTTGCGATGAGTATACGGACATATCGAGAACTTTCAATTACTTCAATGGTCGACAATCAAGTCCGCTTAAGCCAAGGTGGATTGACAAGTGGCCTGAGTGAGTAGCCCAAGGTAATGATTAGCGGTGCATAGCCTTTACTGTTGGGCGCCTCGTATCCGGTATGCTGTGCACGAGACCAAGTTTGAAACACGACCATAACTACTGCTAGCCTAAAGTAAGGCTTTGCCAGGCAAGACGAATGAAGCGTCGATCATAAAGCTTGGAAATGCAGCCAGTAGAAAAAACTACTGTATGTGAGTCGGCTGATGTATGGTAGGAACAGCAGTTCTGGGCAAAGACCGATTTTCAGCCGCATGCGCCGAAGGGGAACTTCCCTATTCCTACTCACAACCATCATCAGAACGAAATCCGAGCAAAGATACTTGATAAATTGACCGAAGGGGAAAGAGGAAAAGGGGAAAAAAAAGGAGAGATGAGAAAGCTGACCCAAATATAGTTCTACGGATTACCTATGTGGCACAAATCGATGTCATGTTCCCGCTGTGTCTTATACGCGGAAGCAGCTCAGCTTTTGAAGACACGTTAGAGTAAGTTAACGGAGCCAGACAAAGTCTATCGATTTACAGCGAGATGGCCACAGAGATTGGTTGAGTTATCTCGCTACGGAATAGTAGCACCACAAAGGGCAGACGAAGATTTTAAAAATAACATCTTGAGCTCCTTCGTTCGGTGGACGGTAGCGCTCCAACCAATGGCAACCTAACTCGAGATCGTTAGCAATTCTCTGTTAGTCTTTAGTAGGCCGACATCGTGTTGAACCACGCAACTTTGCAGTAGTTGGTGTCGAAAGGCTACATGGGTTTTCTAGCTTAAGCGGCTTCATGAACGAGCCTGTTGCTCTGGGGAAGATGAATTAGAATGGGCGAACCCCACCCCCCCCCCGATTGCTAATGCTAGGTCAGAGCATTTATCCGCGTTCTCTCGCTTGAAGTCAGTCAACATGCAGTCCCAGCTGTTGCTGCTCTGGGCAGCCACTCTTACGAGTGCCGAATTCTTAGTCAACTTTAATCAGAAGCTGGAGGATCGTCCTAGGGTGCACACAGTGATCAAAGAAGAAGTCGGACGACTGGATGTACCCGCAAAGTCCAACTCCAAAAAAGACGAGGGAATAGTTCCTCTTGGCTCTGAGTTAATGGCTCGCCAAGCTCTGGACGTCTTGCTCGCCAAGCTCTGGACGTCTTGCTGGGCAAGCGACAGTCTTGCGCTCAGGGGTTCGGATACTGTCCCAGTACGTTCCTCTCAACATGACGAAAGGAAGACCGTTATGTACACGGAGCTTGCTGATGACTCATTGCGTATATATCTAGGCGCCGGGGGCTGTTGTGTTGCGAATAGCCTCTGCTGCTCGTACGGATACTGCCATACCCAAGGATCCGCCTGCTGCCCCACCGGTCCATGTGCAGCTGGCCAAACATGTTGGGGATATAGCCACTGCATGCCTGTGGGAGCCCAGTGCTGCACAGATGAATCCCATTGTCCGGCAGGAAACAACTGCTACCTCTCTGGCTTGACCCATCAAATGGTGTGCTGCGCCGATGCAAAATGCACGGCACATGTAGATAATGGAAAGACGACGTATGCGCCAACCACGACGAGCACACATACCTTTACGACGACTTACTACCAGTATTATTACTGGACTGTAACTTGGTGAGCCTCGGTAATCGTGAGTTGAGTTGAGTTGACGCTGATTATCTTCTGCAGGTACTATTGGTACTACTACTGGACTTACTCGATCGACATCCAAGCATCAATCGTCGCCTCGTCTCGTTCATACCTGGACAACATTCAGCGTCAAGACAACAGATGCCAGTGCCGCTTCCGAGTACTTCAGTTCCAAATCTAAAACGCTGTCCCTTGCAACACCTGCTGCGGCAACTTCCCTCGAGTCTCTGGCTGGAAGCACATCATTCGTCTCTTCGCCGCCCTCAGATTCTCCCTTGAGTCCGAGCCCAAGTCCAACTGATAAGCCAACCCTTTCGATGTCACCTCAGCCAACTCTTACTCCATTTGTGCCTGTTGATAGTACTAGCAGTACAAGTAAATCAAGGAGTAGCAGCACCACGACTTTGTTTTGAAGTGGCGACGATGACAATGGTGGTAACAACGGTGACGGTTCGTCTGGAGCAGCGCCTTTGTGGGTGGGATCAGATTGGAAGAAGGTCTGGGTCTTGGTACTTGGTGCTGGAACTGGATTACTGGCTGTAATTTTATAAGACGGCGAAATATGAGACGAGATTAACGATAAAAATGACAATGGACTTCCTCGACGCTGCAACGACGACATCGTTGTTTGATCAAGGAAGAGCATTTGCATATTTGGAAAGAAAGCTATGATAAATGATGAATACTAGTGGCCGCTTTCCAATTACACGCCATTCCATGGCAACGTAGTAGTCGGCAATCAGTTACCGCCATCACAACTCTTGCTTGATTGCCGCCTCCAACGTCATATGTTTCTCCAATATGCTCTTCACCTTGTCCAAAGGCAAAGAGTCTACGTGGAAGCCCTTGAACCCTGTTAAGCTCTCAGCCATACACAAAGTGTTGTAGATGGCTTCTTCAGTAGCATCGGCAGCACCCTCAAACAAAGCATTGATGGTCGAATCGTCGATCGACTCCGTGGGCAGGGGATTGGCCTTGAATGGATCAACAGACCTATGGTTTGCACCCACAGTCTGCACAGGAATCTCGTTAGCCGTGCTGAATGCCATGAATATGTCGCCACTGGGATTGTGGCCGTAACCTCCGACACGAGAGAGACCGCCAGTGGCGCGTTTGGCCAGACGCTGCAGCTGGATCGGGCTCAACGGAGCATCTGTGGCGAGGATGATGATGATGCTTCCGTCGCGTTGATCCTTGGCGGCGTCGTATTCCGCTTTTGCCTTGGCTGCCTCCTTGTTCTTTTCAGCTTCCGCAGCGAGGATCCTTCCCACAGGAACTCCCGTAATGTGAAGATGCTGCATTCGTCCGTAGTTTGCCTGGACCAGCGCTGCGACGGTGTAGCTCTTGTCGTTCCCTTTGCTGTCATAGCCCGGCACCACTCTGCTTGAGGTTCCAGTGCCGCCCTTGAACCCCTGACACAGCATTCCTGTTCCACCGCCGGTGTTGCCCTCAGGGACCGGGTCGGAAGAGGCTGCCTTGATACCATCGACGACGTGTTGTGGTGTCACAGCAAACTTGGTCAAGTCGTTGAGAAAGCCGTCAAATGTTTCTCCTACCACGGGCAGTAGAAACCAGTCTACACTTCCATCGGCCGCACCGTGCTTCTCGATGGCATATTGGTAGATGCCGGTATAGCAGTTGCCAACGGCAAAGCTGTTCGTCAGGATGATGGGACTGTGGAGGAGACCCGTCTCTTCGATCCAATGGCTGCCTGTCATTTCTCCGCTACCATTGTAACGGAACACGCCGGCGTAACATGCATTGTTGAACCAATCTTTACGAGGAAGAATGGTAGTCACGCCAGTATTGACAGAGCCATCAGAGTTGTGGATAGATTGTGTGTGGACCAGCACTCCAGCGACGTCTGTGATGCCGTTCTTCGGGCCGGTGGGCCAGGCTCCCACTTTGAGGCGCGGGACAAGCTCGCGGAGGCGGGCTCGAGAAGACGATGAGCGGGCCATGATCGGGTCGGGTATCAGACAATCACTGCTTCGTGTTAATCGCGAATACCCGGTGGGCTGATGTAGCAGCTGTAATCCGAATCTGACAGGGCGTGTGTTCGGATGTCGTAACCCTGACCTATCCAGAGGCTCGCTGATGATTATTCGCAAGCTTGGAACACACAATCGCCCGGAAGCATCTCGACAATGAGGGCCGAGGCCGACGGTCAATTGATGATGTTATATAATGCAATACAGATTGATAAGCACGCAGCCCTATGTCTCTAATTCGAGATCCTGCGCGGACTGTATAATCGAAGAGGAGGAGCGATGACTCACGCCGTCATCTACAAGCCGGCTATTAGTCATAGAGGCGAGCTGCAGGTCTCACGACTTCGAATGCCACCTGGCACTTTTGGTTATGAAGATCGGCCGACACAAGTGTTGTACCTATTCCAGAGTCGAGAGTCTTCTACGACGTGTTGATGCCGATGCTATATGACATAACATGGTTTGACGTGTAAACAAAATCTTCCATAGCCGACCGTTTTTAAACCGCCGCCTCGTCCAGCCTTTGAACGTGTGTGGAAGCTCTTTTGACTCACGGGGTACTTACTCCGCCCGCTAGCCATTGGGCTCTACATGTGTTAGCAACAATATGGGGTTGCTTGAGTGTGTTACTAGTTGATAAAAGCTTCAATGCCAGAGATGCACTGGATCGGGAAATGGTGGACACTCTGGCGGCTCCCAACCGTTGCTATTTGAGCACCCCTATTGGCACTGGGCAAATGGTCTATAGCCACTGGGTACGCCGCGCTAGAGCCTTTAAGGTTGCGATAGCGCTGCGCCAGACAGAAAGTACATCAGTCTCACAGCAATTCCATAAGGATTAACGTACCTACGTGCAGTAGCCTCAGCCGCAGATAGAGAGTGTAAACGCTATAAAGCGTCAGGTTTAATTATAGTAGTTGCAGTACAGAGTAGCTGTAAATAGTCTACATATAAGTAGGTAGTAGACAGCAACTATAGTAGCTATAGAGCGTTTAATCATGGCAATTGCAGCAGCTATAGAGCGTTTTATTGCAGTAATCGCAGCACTGCAACTATCCCTCGAAGTGCTTGCGCTGTAAAGCGCTGTAAGAGAGCAATTACAGTGCTGAGGTATAGCGCTCATTAATCAAGTACTTGGAGATGTACCCTCAGTCTAGCGTGGCGCCGGTCAAACGCTAGCGCCTTGTTCAGTTAGACCCAGTGGCTATAGACCATTTGCCCAGTGCCAATAGGGGTGCTCTTGCTATTTGCCATTTGCCACCACATTGGGTGACACACTTGTTCCAACAGACACACGCGGGGTATCATTTTTGCAGTTTGAAGAGGGATGGGGGCATCTGCAGAGCTGCTGATGGTCTCCGCCTAGCTCTTGTACGACATCACCATGCTCCGCTACGAAAAAAGGGGCAATCTTCGACGACTCATCTTGACGAACCTTGATTATGTGTGGAACACAGAAGATGTAAAGCCTCTGACCTTATCAACGATGCGGTGAGAGCAAAGTGTCTGAATAATTTCCCGTATTTGTACCTACCGCAATATATTTTCATGCGGCTGCAAGATGGGAAAACGAGGCTAAACCTTTACCCCTGGCGCGCCAGCCCAGTGAGATTGGCCGAGAGGCTTCGGTCTTCCGAGAGCCAATCTGAGAAAAAGAGGACCTAGCCGTTCTTTGCAGTTGCATAGAAACTTCCCTATTCGCGAGCCGCCTTGTGAGAATTCATTTTAGTCTCTTCGCCTCTCTCGCCAAACTCGGCTGCAGAGCGTCGGCATATCTGATCGGGAGAAGAAGCAGAAGAAGGCACAGGTTCTATCCAGTCTGATGACAACCTTGACAGCGGCTAATGTTCATTATTATCAAGAGAACTACTTCCATTACATAGCGCAAACACTGCGTGCAAAGCAGGAGAAAAATGCCCTGAGCCACAGGAGCCAACAGAATAGGACCTCTTGTTGGCCATGTGAGACGACGACTCGCGCTTTTGGGGGCCGTTCCCGTCGCTCGCACCCGCTTCGGTCTCGGCCGCCTTGATGGGCCGGGCCTCCTTAAAAATTAGTCTCGTGTTGCCGTGTTCGGGTTATTCAGCTTTCAGTTGTCATGGAAATGGCAATTGGTTCTTTTATTAGGCTCGGCAGTAGTTCTAGTAACGACGGAAGTCTACTTAAGCCTTTAGTTGACAACTACAGATAATATCATGTCTTCGCCGTGAGGTCGCAACCCAGTGTGGATCAGCGACAAGTGACCTTATTCGGCTGCGGACCCGTGCTTCGGCAAGTCGAAGACCAAGGCGAAGCAACGGATATCCTGCTCTCCGACGGCTCTTCCTTCCATTATCACTCTCTGAATCTCGTTGACTTCATCTGTCGCCTTTCAAAGTCGTCGTCATGTTCACGAGTTCCAACTCCAGCGGCACCGCGCTAGAGGACGTTAATGATACCGAGCGTGGCATCGCCGTCCTCGAAAAGGACATCAACAATGTCTCTGATCGCGAACAGCCCGTTATGACGAAAGAAGAAGGGGTCGGATATCAAGCCGCAGCTCCTGCGCCTGTTGGCAACGGGCCTCCAAACGGTGGCCTTCGAGCATGGCTCGTGGTGCTGGGAGCCTGGTGCACCTCTTTTTGCAGTTTTGGATGGATCAACAGTACGTTCACTTGTGCCCAAAGAGCCGACATGGAGGACTACTCCAGGCTAACAGTTGCACAAAGGTGTTGGCGTGTTCCAGGACTACTACGAGGCTACGATTCTCAAAGAGTACTCGGCTAGTACTGTTTCGTGGATCCCCTCGTTGCAAATCTTCTTCATGATGGCCTTGGGTCCGGTAATTGGTCTCATCTACGACAAGTACGGCCCTCGTTGGCTCATCATTGGCGGGACGTTTCTTCACGTCTTTGGCTTGATGATGACGTCCATCTCTACTGAGTACTACCAGCTCCTCCTCTCTCAGGGTGTCTGCAGTGCCATTGGCGTCTCTGCCATCTTCCAGCCAGGTGAGCACATCTTCTCGTCCTCCGCCCAGCAAAATTAACGTAAAGAAACAGCCCTCAACAGCATCGCGACATGGTTCACCACGAAACGCGGCGCCGCCTACGGACTTCTGGCTACCGGCTCGAGCTTGGGAGGCGTGATTTTCCCCATCATGGTCAGCCGCCTCATCGACGAGGTCGGCTTCGGCTGGTCCATGCGAATCTCGGCCTTCTTGATCCTCGTTCTGCTCATTGTCGCCATCATCACGGTTGAAACGCACAACCCGCCAAAGTTTCAGCCCATCACCTTGAAACGGATGCTTACTCCCTTTACCGAGTTCCAGTTCTTCTGTCTTTCTGTGGGGCTGCTGCTGTTTACCTTTGGGCAATATGTCCCGATCGATTACATCTCCGTCGAGGCTGCCGAAGCCGGCATGGACCCTAATCTGGTGCAATACCTGATTCCCATCTTGAACGCCGGAAGGTAAGCATACTTATGTCGGTCTATTTAAGGATCTTTCTTGCTGACTGTCCGTTTTTCCAGTTTGTTCGGCCGTGTCTTCTCCGGCCTTGCTGGCGACAAATGGGGTCGATATAACATCTTTGTCTCCGTCTGCTATCTGGCTGGCATATTTATCCTGGGTCTCTGGATCCCCGCAGCGACAACCGGTGCCCGAATTGCCTTTGCCACCCTTTACGGCTTCTTCTCGGGAGCCTATGTTGCCTTGATCGCCGCCCTTGTCGTGCAAATATCGCATCCAGCCGAGATTGGCTTCCGCACCGGTCTGATCTTCTTGGCTTCCTCTGTCGGTGGCCTTACGGCGAATCCCATCTCAGGCGCCATTCTTGAGGAACCTATAGGATGGGTGGGGCCAAAGGTCTTTGCAGGCGTCTTTTGTATTGTCGGGACGACGTTTGTTTTGGCGGCGAGGATCCACAGGACGGGATGGAAATTGAGAGTTGTCTTTTGAGGAGTGGCACACTGTAGATCATCGTTGCGGAATGGCATACACGCAAGATTTTAGCATATAAATGGTGTTGATGGGTTATATCATTAGCATATGTATTGGGTACAGAACCAAACGTTGAATATTATTAATGAATCTCTATATATAACTTCATTTAAATGCGCCCTCATGAAAGGGGTATAAACGTGTACGCGTCGTCCCTCATCAAAAATAGCTTGAGAAATCGTGCAAGTCCAGATGCAAGTCCTCGACAAGTGTGTTCCAATCGGGCATGGTATTCTGCATCAAACTACTCCAGTCCACGTTTTCTCCGTCAAAACGTCGGACATCCAGTATCGCCTCCTGTGGAAGATTAACCATCTCGTTGTCGTCAGGCATCTCATCCGCCCTAGCCATGGCGGTTGCGGCATCGTTTCCGTTCATCACCGACTGCCGTATCAATTCGGCCTTCTTGTGCAGTCTCTTCAAGATGACGGACTTGAGTGCCGGTCCAGAAACGGCCGTAGAGAGCCTCACTTGCTCCAGCTCGAATGTCCTCGCGACGACGACCCAAGCTCGGTCAACGCTGGGGCCGGTGGGACAGACGCAAAGATGCCAGAGAACGTATAGCAGCATGTGATACTGAGGATGGCCATACATGCACCATCGATATGGACGAAGAAGTTCGTCACTCCACAGCTCGAGGTGGATTTCCAGACATCTCAGGGCCGAAAGCAGATTTGCTTCTGTGGCAAATGCGTTGCGCTTGTCGGGATTCTCCATGTTGGCAAGCTGCTGCCGCGTGACGAAGTCGATCTTGTGGACCATGGCGAGGGCCGTTTTCATGGTCATCCTCTGTACCGGTATCACCGGGTTGCACGGTTTTAAGTAGTGCTCAACACGGGACCTGAGCTGGTTGAGCATGTTACTCCTGATGACTTCTTTAGGAGTCGAACCCGAAGGCGTCATGGAGAGGTTAGCCATGTTCTGCAGCGTTTGGGCTACTTCCATGCATGTCAACTGAAGACTCATTTTGGTCCATCCATTGTGAGGAGGCGGAAGCTCCCTCATATCTGGACGGAGCTCGCTATCGTCCACATTGAGCGGCAGTTTTGTGTCGTAACTGGGGACCGTCGACCATGAGCTGATGCCGTGATCCTCTGCGGCTCTTGAATCCCTCGCCAGAAAGTGCCACCACAGCCGCCGTCGAACTTCAGACTCGAAGGGCGACATCCCTAGCTTGGTTCCGTCTCGATGGAGGCCAATGGAGTGTGCCATTCTCACGGCAAGCCCATTCAGGATCCAGATGCCCCTGCCATGGTAGTAAGCTCGCGCTGATGCCTAGACTGACGTATTAGCAGCTTTCATCTCGGGCCCAGTTGCAAGAGCAGAGAACATACCAAATATATGGCGAGCCCTTGCAGCAGCACGACTGTTGGGTTCTCCAGCATATCTGCCCTTGACAGGTGCATCTGAAATTCCCTCTTAAACGTGCGCAAAGCGGTAGACTTGTCCACACCAAGAACATGTTGAGCCTCATCCGGCTCCAGTGTCAGAGTGGTCGAAAAATATACGGCTGAGACGAGGGCGAGAACGTCGCTGGCTACGGATTCAGGCTGGTGGATGGCGGTGAAAATAGTCACTTCGTCTGTAGGGATATGCAGTAGTTTCATGGTGGCATCGACGTTTTGGACAAAGAGATGCCATAACTGAGTGGCGCATAGTCGAGATAGCCTCCATCCTCTCTCCTTTTCCTCGAAGACGGACGGACTGGATAGCAAGCCAATAAGACTAAAGGGTGAGTCAAAATCCTGCTCTTTGGTCTCGTTGCGCGGTGTATGCAGCAGCGAGGACTTGTCTTGATCCTGGGGATATTGCTTTTAGCTTGTTAATGAAGGAAACAGGTTACCAAGACGAAGCTTACCTCTTCGATCACCTTGGAAATAAGAAGTTCATTGAAGTATTGGCTTGAGGTACCATTCCTGATCAGGACCTCCTCTGAAGGAAGTTCCTGAGGCTCCTGGGGAGACTCATGAGGACTTACCGGCAGGCTCGCTGGTAAGCCCACCGACGCAGACACATGTGTATTGGCATATGCATTGGCCGATAGTGATCGTCGTGCTGTATTCCCATGGTCGATGGACGCCGCTACAATAGTCTTCTCAAGGTCCGAGATCCTCGACGCGACATCAGCTATGGTAGCCTTGCGAACCCGACGAATAGGCTTATCAGAGACCGGATAGGTGCACGTGAGACGAGCTCTCACACATGCCAAGCACGGCGTCTGCCTATCGCACCGGATCTTCCTCCGGTGGCATAGCACACACGATCTGTCCGGCTTCCGGCGCGGGTGCGGCGACGGCGGTGTGCGGCCTCGGTCCGTAGATGCTGGAGGAGTGGTCAGAGGTAGAGACGGCTCATCAATGCTACCTGATCCGGGAGACATGTCTTCCTCATCAAGCAGCTTCCTCGGAGCTTGCTGCAAGTATCGAAAGATTCGGATTCAGTGATCAAAAGAAACCCCGTCCGAAGATGAGCGAGCCTGGGCTATTCAATGTCTTCGTCTCATAATCTTCGGTCTCGGCGCTTGCACAAGGGCCGCCACCGAGCCGTGGCGGTTTTGCCCCTTTCAGCTAGAGGGGCGGAAGCGCCGGTGGCTTCTTAGTAATAGCTGCCGGGCATTTGTGAGCAGGTGAGCTTCATTGAGGGCTAACCCAACAGTGTCGCTGGTGGTATCTGTTGCAACGAGGACGTGCGTTTGTTCAGCAGGAACCTGAACAAGTTAATGTATTATAATGAGGAGAGATGGTCATTGATTTGATATTACTCAACCATGGACGGCACTTGCAGTTAATAGGCTCACTGGCACGTACATACCTCGGATTTGTTGTTCCCCACCTCCGCTTATGCGGCACAAATGCTTCATTTTGCCCTATTTGCTGATTCATCTACCTCGTTTGTCTCAGACCTCTATGTCATTGATGGAAGGGCGCGACCGTCATCTGTATAACAGGTTAGATATTCCACTCGAAGATATCTCATGTCAACAGCCACTGCCCTTGATGCTGTGCCGCATGGTACTTGAAATAGTTTGAACGTACTCCAATCAGGCAACTTTCCGGCTGCCTCTGCCATATTGGCCTGGAAACTGCCAATGACACATCTCGTCCTCCATTACTCGTGGCACTGATAAAGCAAAGCAGGCCCGTGGTTCTTTGGTGACCTCAAGACGCTCATGAGTTCATTGGAATATATCGGGCATATTCAAATATTCCATGAGCGTGACAACGTCGGATTTTAAGCAGCCCGCCCAGGTATTCCAATCCTACCGAATCTCCATTTCTTCCATTACGGTTTCGGTCCCCGGCAAGGCTCATTCGGCAACGAAGCGTGCGTGCGATATCAAAATACCTCGGGATATGGAAAATGGCTCAGTAGCACAAAGAGTCATACCTGAAGAGCCGTCATCATCTTGGCTATCATAAATAATTGCAACCAAGCACCCTTGAAACTGGTCAATAAAAGGGGGCAAGGAAATGAAGATTGATGAGTAAAACTGTTTCACGGCAAAGCAAAACATTGACAGTCGTGAGAAACCGGTACTCCTCGGCTCGGCATATATTCCTTTAGGTATCTTCATCCCCTCCACGTGTCTCTACCGTCTTTTTTTAAGATAACATAATCCTGCGACTGGTGGGTCTCATATGTAGATAATAGTATATT